TGTTCACGTGACAACAATGTTACACAATTTGGTGGCAGTCTGACCCTCATATAAACGTCGCTAGATTACTTGCGTCTTATAATATATTCTAACAACTACAATATCAGGCCTCATTTTGTATTCACTATAGATACCAGTGGGTGTGCAATTTACAATGAAACCATTCAATATCACCACTCCAGTGCTGTCCAAGATATTATGTAGGTAACGGAATAAGCCGAGTGGATCCGAATCCAAAGGTGCAAAGGTGCAAAGGTGCAAGTGATCTTATGATATACCATCTGTCAATCCGTTGTCCATCCGTCCGCAACATTCAAACTTCACTCCGACCCGATACCGTTAATCGATGACGGAGAGAGGTGTCGAATCTGGGTACAGAGTTTAATGATGCTGATGTACCAAATGTGGTCGTACAGGAATGTTTGTAACCATAACATTGTATTGATTTGTGCTTCACAAGCAGATCACATTTATTTAGCATTACCGTATTCGACGTAATAAGCGCCCAGGGCGCTCTCAAAATTAGAGTGAGTGAGTTTGATTTTACGCCGCTTTAAGAAATATTCCAGCAATATCACGGCGGGGGGACACCAGAAGTGGGCTTCACACATTGTACCCATGTCGGGAATCGAACCCGGGTCTTAGCGTGACGAGCGAACGCTTTAACCACTAGGCTACCTGACTGGCCCCTCAAAATTAGAAATAAGGGCTCTTATTCGAATATTATTTTGGTAAAAAAAACAGAGTTGAAAGATAAATTTCGTGGTTTATGCTGACAGCCTGAAATGTTTATGTACGACAGATATATTTTTCTAGAATTTAATTGCTCATAATTAAGGGTGCATATAACACACAAGTGCGTATTGTACGCGAATAAACAAGTCTTGTGAACATTGATCAATCGGAAGGGGTGCTAATCGGGATTGTTTACTAGCTAATATATTAGCAAATACCGCCGTGGCTGCTTATTAGAGTGGGGCGCTTATTACGTCGAATACGGTAACTTAACTTTATTATTGCCACCGCACATTGTTACTTTTTACTGCATATACCTAATACGGCATCGACATATGATGCGTAACAATGACATGACTCAAAAACTATATTTTGACAATTGTTACATTGTCCTTTTTGCTGCATTCCATATGCCCGATGTTTATATAACCCAGCTGTCTGCAATATGACAAATAAAAATTATCTGAAAGTGAAATATGCTATGTTTTTTATTGTTTCTGGTTTCGGGACCAAATGTAGTCTGTGTGAAGAATCCGTCGTCCATTTGCCATTAGCAACAGCAGGTCGGGGTGGAAAGTGTCATGAGCATGGCGAGCTCTTGGACAACTGGACAACAGCTGTTTTCTTCTCAGGGCAAAGGTGATCACTTGACCGAATGTTTTCTTCTTTGAGTCCATCCACCTCATCTGCCTGTCTGAAGTGTCTGTTTATTTGTTTGTGTGTTGTTCGCAACTTCTTCTACTACAAAACATGATAGCAAACTTTTGCATCGTTGAGCCATGAAATCCATATCACCTTTGGGCGGGTCGGTATACATAAATCTCCACAGTGCGATCAGTTCAGGCAATACATACACTCATCGATGAGAATAAAGCTTTATTCAATAAAGGCTTCACCAAGGACACAGAAATGCACCATGAAACACAACAGATGTATATTACAGGGACCTGCACATTGGGAGTTTATGTACATACCAACACTAACAATCATAATACCCCTATGATCTTGGGCTACAGAAATTTTTTAATTTGTGTGCTGCAATAAATGACATTCTTCTTGGCTGATGATACATTAAGTAGAGTGAGTGAGTGAGTTGGGTTTAACACCACTTTTAACAGTATTCCAGTTATATCGCGGCGTGTCAGCTTAATGTGGAAGGAAAGCCCGAAGTGATGCAGGTCTCAGACGTTTACCACTTCGGTGAAACCCACGAGCACAGGTATGGTGCTGACAAACCTAGAAACATAATCGGTGGGCGAACCGGGATTCGAACCAACAATCATAGGTTTATGGCGTGCCCAAGGGACGCAACTCTGCACAGCGAATCGCGGCGCCTTAGACGACTGGGCCACCCGTGCCCCCCACATTAAGTAGACACTCACAAGGTGACTTCAGTGCACAATTACAATGCTTCCTTAGTGACAGTGGAACGGTTATGTATATCAATTACTTGATTTGGAATGAGTGAGTGAGTTGGGTTTAACGCCGCCTTGAACAGTATTCCAGTTATATCACAGCGTGTCAGCTTGATGTGGAAAGAAAGCCTAAAGTGATGCAGGTCTCAGACTTTGGCGATACCCACGAGCACAGGTATGGTGCTGACAAACCTTAAAACAAGATCGGGATTCTGCTGTCTCAAAGGGATGCAACTCTTCATAACCACCTAGGCACCTTAGACAACTGGGCTATCCATGACCCCACTTGCTTTGGAAGCTCCTTAAATTGTAATAACTGTCCAAGTACAACATTACATTCCATTACATTTTAGGCCCCTGAAGATCCGGGGTAGAATAAGTCCTCAGCAGCCCCCGCTTGCCGTAAATGGAAACTATGCTTGTCGTAAGAGGTGATTAACGGAATCGGGTGGTCAGGCTCGCAGACTTGGTTGATGCATGTCATTGATCCCAATTGCATGGATCGATGCTCATGTTGTCAATCACTGGTTTGTCTGGTCCAGACTTGATTATGTACAGACCGCCGTCAAATAGCTGTAATATTGCTGAGTGTGGCGTTAAACAACAAACAAACAAACATTACATTTTATCAATATGTGCAGATATTAAGAAGGAATAGGGATTATAAGCTAAAGGCTGTTCTTTAGGTAAATTACAGAAACCATTACCATTCAGATAGCAAGACAGGTATAAGTAATGCCTATCAAACAATTCAAGACAACTATTAGATACCTTGCCATAATAAAGGAAACATACATACTGGCATATAGAACAGCAAAATAACTCATATTATACTAATCATAATGTTTATAATAAACTGCTTTTCAAAACAAATACGAGGTTAAAAGTTATGTAGTTAACCATTCTAACATACCGTATTCGACATAATAAGTGCCCAGGGCGCTCTCAAAATTAGAATAGGGGGTTCTTATTAGAATATTATTTTGGTGAAAAAAACAGGGTGGAAAGATAAATAACGCGGTTTATGCTGACAGCCTGAAATGTTTATGTACGACAGATATATTTTTCCAGAATTTTATTGCCCATAATTAAGGGTGCATATAACACACGAATGCGTATTATTCGCGAAAACATAAGTCTTGTGTACATTGATCAATCGGAAGGGGTGCCAATTGGGATTGTTCATTTGCCAATATATTAGCAAATATTGCCGTGGGCGCTTATTAGAGCGGGGCGCTTACATCGAATACGGTACTCACGTTTATTCAGATCAAGTTTACCATGGTCTGGGAAGGTCACTGAGTACGTTTTCAACCACTGCTGATAAATGCATGACATAATGTATATTCATGAGGCATCGTGAACACACTAACATATTCAAATACAAGACAAGTTAAATGTAGGACATATTTTGGCAATGTTTGCAATGCAGCAAGCACTCCTGTTTTCTTAGGCTAAACAAAATAATAGTCTTGGTTCTCAGGCTCCGTTCCCATCATCATTAAGCTGCAGCATGTTTCGTTTATATTTCCATTCCAAACAAAAATGAGCATTTTTGATTAAATGCAATGTTTTTATACTTACCTGACGCTACACAGTGCTTTAGCTTCCCTACCTTATACAAACAGACAGTACTGGAACGAAGAGACAGTTTAAACAGACTACAGCCCGTGCCTAGGCATCCGCGAGTTATCCCCCTTGGCCCCTACTCCTCATATTCTTCACTGGATGACATCAGACGTAGAGTACACAGTGGCGCCAACGGTAAGGCGGAGGAGGAGGGAGTCTGGGTGGGCCTATAGGTGTAGCGTCAGGTAAGTATAAAAACATTGCATTTAATCAGAAATGGGGATAACTCGTGGATGCCTAGGTATAGGCTGTAGTCTGCTTAAATTGTCTCTTCGTTCCAGCACTGTCTGTTTGTATAAGGTAGGGAAGCTAAAGCACTGTGTGGCGTCAGGTAAGGTAAAACTTAAAAAGTCCTGCAATCCAATATAGCACACAGTTACTTCCTTTCACATGGGCACTGCTTTACTGTACATCTCGTTTTATGGTCATGGCAGCTATAGGAGTTTGTGTGCCTGTTTATGTGTGTCCCTTTCCCAGGTTCGCTGCTTATTTGGCTACATACTAGTTTGAACTAGGAAAAACAAAGAAGAAGAAAACACTGCCCATCCGCCCACACTATATTTTCAAAGTCATTGTCTGAGACCCAATTCTTTTATTTTTTTAAGCCTTATCAATGAGAACTCATTTTGTGGTATGATCAATGTCCAACTCATGGCCCCCATTCTTGTCAGGTGCTTTACCAATGATTGGCTACGTAAATTTGACAGGGATACAAATATTGAAGTCCTTCATTTGTCTTGTTAATACACACACAAACTTTTTGAAATTTTTGATGAATAAAACCAATATGTTACACTGTAATAACAGAACATATACAAAACTAGACAATGTAACCGAAACAAATACCATCACTGAAATACCCTTCTTCAGTTCTTTAATTTATGAAGAAAAATAGGCAAGGCAAAAAATATAAAAGAATTGGTTCTCAGGCATTGACTTTTGAAAATATAGCGCGGGCAGGCGGTGGTTTTGTTTGTTTGATTTTTTGTTTTTGGGGTTGTTGTTTTTTTTTGGGGGGGGGAGGGGGGGGGCAACCAAACAAACAGTTGTGTGCCATGAACCTGGGAAAGGGCCTCCTACATAAACAAGCATACAAACTCCTATTGCCGCCATGGCCATAATACATGATGTTCAGTAAAGCAGTGCACATATAAAGGGAAATAATTGCTATAATGGATCCCATTGTTTTTACGTATTAGGATTTTTATATTTTTTTAAAAATGGAAATAAAATTGAAACATGCAGCAGACTCTATGATGATGCGGGTGGTGCTTGAGAACCAAGACTTTTATTCTTTTAAGCCTAGTTTAAATAGGCTTAATTCATCCTTAACTGATCCAAGAAATCGGCCTTCTTCATACATATCTGTATCAAACTGTAACAAACCCCTTCCAAACCAGTGGCATGAAAGATGAAGGAGAAGATTGCACATCAATAAATAAGACAACGTCATGGTCAGCATTCCATTACTTCTGCAGGGTCTTTATTCGGCCTTCTAGACTTTCGCAGTTCTTCTTAATGGCGTCGGTGTTCTGCTTGAACGTTGTCTGGAGCTGTAAGATAACATGGTTGCTACAGACCCTCACATCACTATGAAGAGGAGAATGTCCGAGTCACTCCCCATTCCTCAAACATAAGGGAGCAGGGGACCCGCAGGGATGGAGGCCCATTATTTTTAAGGAATGGAGAGTTACGAGGATATTCCCCAACTTAAAACACATCTCTACTCCTACACTTTGAAAACACATTCGGAAGAGTCATACAACATGCACTGTGAAGATCAGCTCGCGACGGAGCAGGTGCAACAGCGGCAGAGAACACTATCATCTCTCCGTTCCCTAAAAATTTGTAGAATTTTCCTATTCGGAATATTCTATAAGTAATACGTTACCACTGTTATACCGAGGCTGTTGTCTCCCACAACTGCTGCTATAGCGAAATCTACCACAGAGATCTCAATTACCTCATGCAGCACGTGCGTAGCCACCTAGCTGCCATGTGACACCCTTCACTCTTGTCTCCTGCGAGAGCAAGTGCTCGGGGGACGGACGGGCGGGCAGCAGCCCAGTGGTAACGTATTACTTATAGAATATTCCGAATAGGAAAATTCTACAAATTACATTAAGTAATACGTTACCACTGTTATACCGAGGCTGACTACCACAGTAGGCGGTGGGGAGCACCTACAACCCGAATCCTGACTGCTAGCGTTCCTTCCGACCAGCGGAAGTAAACACCAAGGCGGAAGCACTCGATGCGCATGCACCTAGCTAGGCGTTACCCTATAGGAATACCAAAGCACTGTCAAGCGCATACCGTAAGGCTCAATCGTCATTGCCAAAACGATTGGTGACTCCAAACGGCCCCACTGGATAGGTATTTCATCGCCGCAGCGGATGAGAACACTGTATCCGCGTGAGCTTAATCTTAGATCAGGTTAAACAGTCGAAAAGAGGGAAATTAATTTCATTCAGACCGTATATCCCAGAGCAAGCCTACTTAAAGTATGCATTAGGCGCGTGACCTAATTCCAGTATTTGTAAGCATGCATCACAAGGTTGGGATACACGACAGACAATTAAAGACATAATTGTCAAAATACAAATAAGGACAAAGCACACAAAAAGCCGCCCTCACCTGTGGTGTGAGTGCGCTGGTTTGCGGGACCCCAACTCCTGTATCCACGGCAGTGGGAACATTGGAGTAGACCCAGATTGACCACCGTGCAAGGTCAGACGCCTGAGGAGTTCGGAATTGCGCTGGGCACACCCCTTAGGTGCCCGCTTGCGCCGCGATCCGCGGGCCAAGACGGTGCACACTCTCCACGACGGCATCAGCGACCTGTTTGAGGTAATGATTGGCAAAAACCGAGTCAGAACGCCAGTAACAACCTCGTAATATTCTGCGAACAGAGATATTCGAGTGTAGGGCAAATGTTGCCGCTAGCGCCCTGATCTCGTGCGGGTTTGACCCCGCTACCGGTAACCCCCGAGACCGGTACGCCAGATTGATGACAGAACGAAGCCACAACGCAATCGAGTTGCGAGGTATGTCAACCGTGCGATTAGGGTTACACGATATGAACAGACGGTCACGCCCTTGTCTACGTTCATTCGAAGCCTTAAGATAATACTTAAGGGCCCTAACCGGACACAGCGCTCTGTCCTCAGTATCAGCAGGATGTAAGATTTCTTTGAGTGATCTTACAGTGAATTCTCTCTCCGTTTGCCCGACTCTCTGATTCTTGGCGACGAAGCCCATGAGCAGGCCCAGGCGGACCGCTCCTTCGTCACCCCTATCGAATCGTACCTTGGCGACATCGAGTGCATGAATTTCGGATACACGTGCCGCCGTGGCAAAGGAGAGGAGAAATGCTGTTTTCCAAGTCACATGCCGGAACGAAGCACTATGCAAGGGTTCATACGGAGCTTCCGTAAGTGATTGCAACACTAGGGAAAGATCCCAGGCCGGTGCCCGAAGGCGGCCCTTCTTAAGATCGTGCTGTTTGAAACCCTCGATAATACCCCGTATCACCGGCTCTTTGGAGAGACTGGTACCCATAGCAACGTCCCGTACCGTAGCAACGGACGAGACATAGTTGGCAATGGAACCCCCGGAGAGTTTCCGGGTCTCTCGCAAGTGAGACATGAAACGAGCAATATCCTGCACAGATACCTTATCTGGCGAATGAATGTGATGTTTACAACACCACTTCGTGAAAATAACCCAACGTGCATTATACACCTTCTGGGTAGAATCACGATGCATACTAACGTATGCCCGAGACGCCCGGCGAGAAAAAACTTTACTCCTCAGACGCTCGGTGACAACATCCACGCGTGCAGATTGAACTGCCCTGCGTTTGGATGAAGCTGACGGGTGTGAGGGTGGATCAAGAGATCCGGTCTCACAGGCAGTGGAAGTGGCGACTGCGTGACCTGGGTCAGCAAGTCGGGGTACCACGATCTGTTCGGCCACATGGGCGCGATCAGTAACATTCGACAGCGAACTCCTCGGAGCCGGCTTAGAATGTGTGGTATCAACGCTGTCGGCGGGTAAGCATAAGCGACCAAGCCCGTCCAGTCTAACGCGAGAGCATCGTGATCGATGGCCCTCGGGACCGGGACTGGTGATACAAACAACGGGAGTTGATTGTTGAACCGCGTTGCGAACAGGTCGACCATCGGACGACCCAAACGTTCGCACAGCCACTGAAACACTACTGGGTTCAGCATCCACTCTGTGGGGCTCGGATCCTGAGGCCTCGATAGAGCATCGGCCAGTACGTTCCGCACACCTGGGATGTGACGGGCGCGTATCTGGCACGGGACACTGTCCACCAGAGCGTAAAACTCGAACGTGAGATCGAGTAGCGAGTGACTGTGGGTTCCCCCCAGTTTGTTCACATAGGACACTACCGTCGTGTTGTCGGTCGCCAGCATGAGCCGGGCGTCGACGAGACGATGCTTCCAGTGATTGACTGCGTTGATCACTGCCTTGAACTCGAGACAAGTGATGTGAAGACCTAGTTCGTCTAAGCACCACAGCCCCGAGCTCACCTCCCCCTTTAGATGGGCGCCCCAGCCCACTAGAGAGGCGTCTGTATACAGGGTCAACGTGGCCCGGTAGGGCCGCATAGAGACTCCTGATAAGACAATGTAAGGGACCGTCCACCACTCCAGATGCGGTCGGAGCCGATCCGGGAGGGCGACGGTCGCACTGTTCACCTCCGTTGCTAACAACTGGATTAAAAACCGTTGCAGCGGGCGGAGTTGGAGACGACCCCGTGCGGTGCAGTCCTGGGCTGATACAAGTAGCCCTAACAGCTGTTCCCAAAAGTGAACAGTCTGTTGCACCGCTAAGACTTTGGCAATCATCGCCTGAATTTTGTGCCACCGGTCTGGGGGGACAAAGAGGCGATGGGACACCGTGTTGAACCGACCTCCGATGAACAGCAAGTTCTGAGAAGGGGTTAACTCGCTCTTGGGGAGATTGATAATCCACCCAAATTGCTCCAAGAGCCGACGTGCGAAATCGAGATGGCGTGACAGGGTGTCCGTCATTCGATTTGCTACTAGCGAGTCGTCCAGGTACGCGAAGTACCGGACACCCCTCCTGTGGAGGAACCCCACTATGGGGGTGGTTAACCGGGTGAACAGCCAGGGAGCGGACGTGTGAATCATTCTGAGTTCGGCACTGTCCTACTTGGGAACGAGAAATATCCTGGAGTAAACCCCCGGTGTTATTTCTGGTAGAGCTAACTCCCGTACTGCCCCTTCTCCACCAACCTGCCGATGGCATCGGCGAGGATGGGAAGATCGGTTTCCGAATCGAAACCTGCCAACGGGGCAACGGTGAGCGGCGGATTCGCTTTGAGATCAAGCCGATAGCCGTACCGAATCGTGTTGACCACCCACGGGTCGTCGAACACTTGTTCCCAATTCTCCCACTAAGTCTGGAGTCTGGCTCCCACTGGGGAAGGAGAGGGGGCCCTGACAGGTTGCGACAGGCGCAACTGTCCAGGGCCAAGTGACTCGGGTTCGCCTAAGGGCCAACCGAAGTTGGCGCTGTCGGCATACGAACCCCTCCAATGAGAGTCACCTGGAGGGGCCCTTGCCGTCCGTCGACGACTTGGGCTTCCCCCAGTTCCCCGTCTTCCCGCGAAAGGGCAGCTGATTGCCCATACCGGAGCCCTCAGGGCGGGGCTACTTCCCAGAGGAAGAAGAACCCGACCCCTTAGACCTACCGGCCGCAGCAGCCTGGGGCGCGCTCCGGTTAGGAGCGGCACCCAGGCGCCTATGCAGGGACCCAACAAGAGCAAGTGTGAGCCGAGAGTCCTCGGCAACGTACTCCAGGGAAGCATTTAAACTGAGCAGGCAGTTGTAAATGCGCTGGACACGGTCCGTGGGAGAACCTTCGACCAGACGGGCCGCTGCAGCCAAGTAAGTGTCTCCGTGAGACATGGAGTGCCGAGCGAGGGCGTCCAGCTGGTGCAAGGTAGCTTGCGTTACCGTAGCAGCCGGTGGGGCACGGACACCCAACCGCTCAACATGGGCCTCCGCGGTAGGACCAGCCTCGGGAAAGGCAAGGTCATGTACCGGGAATAAACCCTTTCTCCACGACGTCGGAGGCAACGGGAGACCCCGACCGGAGGCCGCCGCGAAGGCGTTCTCCAAGGAAGGCTTGAAACCGCGCAGCAAGGTTGATGCGGGGAAAGCCGTGTCGGAAGACTCATCGTATACCTCGGAGGAACCCACAGTCGTGGATTCCCCGCGGTACCGGCCGGAGCATGTCCTCAAAGAGGTCATAAACCATGGCCACGCGGTCCTAAACCGATAGCGGGAGCAACGGTTCGGGGGAAGGACCGGTGACCACGGGAGCCGCCGCCGTACCGGTGGACCCCGCGTCCGACCCCGCGGCCCCCGAAGTGGCCGGGGACGGAACAGCCAGCGGCCTATCCTGAGATAAGGCCGCCAGCTTGGAGTCCACAAGTTATGCAAGTAATGCAGCGACGGAATCCCCGGACAGCACACGGGCCGCCAAGAGATCCGCCGCTTTACCGGTGGACCCCGCGTCCGACCCCGCGGCCACCGAAGAGGCCGGGGACGGAACAGCCAGCGGCCTATCTTGCGATAAGGCCGCCAGCTTGGAATCCACAAGTTTCGACAACAATGCGGCGACGGAATCCCCAGACAGCCCGAGGGCCGCAAGGGGATCCGCCGCAGCCGAGGAGGTGGTACCCGCACGGGGACCCCGACCGGACGAACCGGCCACCACAGGGGTGGAGACGGACTGTACGTACAGCCGGTACCGCTCAAAATCCGCAGGCCCCAGACCTTCGCACAGGATGCACCGGGTGTCCCCGCAAGGAACCCTGCACCGCGGGCAACGATCGTGGGGATCCCGGGACGACAAAAACTTTCTGCACACCCCATAACTCCGAGGAGCAGGGGTAGAGGGGGTGGATACTGGGGACATATCCATGTCAGACATTGATTGTTTGCTATAAACAAAGAACAAAACATGGTTACAACGCACGCACCACAATGATTCACAAACGAACATTTTCACAAGAAAATAAACGAGCAATGTGAACATATAACATACACATATAACTTTTATTAAAGAAATAAGTTATGTTAACCCCCAAAACATACAAGAACAGGGGAAACGTAAAACACAACGTGCATACGCGAACCCCGCAAGTATATAGAAAAAAGGGCGGGAAAAATTTTCCGTTTGGCGGGAAAATTATAACCAAGCGTAGCTACCGCAACGCCCCATAAAAGCACAGTTTATTAGAGAATAAACTATAATAAATATCACCAAATCTTCAAGGAACGCTTCAGCAGGAGAAAACACGTCTTGCTAAGCAGACGAAGGAGACAAGAGTGAAGGGTGTCACATGGCAGCTAGGTGGCTACGCACGTGCTGCATGAGGTAATTGAGATCTCTGTGGTAGATTTCGCTATAGCAGCAGTTGTGGGAGACAACAGCCTCGGTATAACAGTGGTAACGTATTACTTAATGTAATAATGGAGCGCTCAAACAATAGAATGACGTCACCGATGTGTTTTAAGCCAGACTTCTGTATTGTTTGGTTTGCACATTTATTTATGAATCATTCTGGCTGATAAGATTGAAAAAATAATGTATAATTTATTTAGAGATATTTTAGGTCATACAGACACTAACTCATCGTTTTGCCAGACTTGTGTATTTCTTTTGTTTACATGTTCACAGATTTATTAAAGAAGAAAATATTGATAGGTAGGAAAAAATCATGTAAATTTTGTTAGAGATATTTTTGACGTCAAGGCATACAAGGTGAAGTGAAATGTGGTTTAACGTCGCGTTATATAGCGACATGTTTGTTTGGGTGTTTTTGGTCTGTTTCTGCAGTTTAAAGCCACACTCAGCAATATCCCAGCTATATGACGATGGCCTGTAAATAACTGAATCTAGACCAGATAATCCAGTGATTGATACACCTGGGTGCCGTTCTTAGCGCTAAGGTGACTGTAACCATGCCTTAACATAGACTTACGACAGTCGTAGCGCTAAGGTTATCGTAACCCCCATACCTTAACATAGACTTACCACAGTCGTAGCGCTAAGGTTATCGTAACCCCCATACCTTAACATAGACTTACCACAGTCGTAGCGCTAAGGTTATCGTAACCCCCATACCTTAACATAGACTTACAACAGTCGTAGCGCTAAGGTTGTTTTGTACAATGGCACCCTGATCATTTAGTCGCTTCTTACCACCAGCATGGGTTTCTGGGGAGCAATGCTGAATCTGCACCTAGAGGTGAGGTGAAATGGGGTTTAACGTCGCGTCCAAGATTATTGCACTTATATAGCGACGTGCATGTACGTGTGTGTGTTTGTGTGGCTGCTTGTACTAGTCCGGACTGATGCCGATTTATAGTGCTAGCTCACTGAGATACCATGCCGCAGTTTAACATGAATACCCCACTCAGACACAGTATACTGACTCCGAGCCAACCAGTCCTTGTTTAAGCCCCTTAATGCCGAGCAACAGACAGGGTAACAACAAGTACCATCTTTTAACGTCTTTTGGTATGACGCGGCCGGGGATCAAACCCTGGACCTTCCGCTCTCCGGGCGGACGCTCTACCACAAGACCACGGAGGCGGTCTCTGCACCTAGACACGTACCTGTGCCAGCATGTCTGTATGGGCCTTGAGACTGCCATTGATCTCCTGCTGAGATGTGTCCAGGTGGGTTAAGGCCTGGCTGAACTGTAGAGCTGGGAAATAAATATGGCAGTGAATTTTATTGTTTAAAGGGGAAGTGTACAAGCAAAAATCACTTTCTTTCTTGTTTTAAACAAAACGCAATTTTAGAATTAGTTAGTATCAGTTTTTGAAAATATACACTCATTTTTCTCACAGTCAATGTAGCGAGCTCACAATAAGTGTGAAAATGTCATGCCGTTATGAGGCCTTCGTTTTCCGAGCTAAACAGGCCTGAGTTATCCCCCTTAGATTATGACGTAATTGGTGCCAATTCAACTTGGTCCCTGTCTATTCTCAACGCAAAAGATATCAAGTACCAGTTTGCGGTAAAACAACATGGCCTACGACACACTCCGGCGCAGTGGTGTCTCAGCATAACACTATGCTAGCTGGCATCTGAGACGCAAGAATCACACACCTGTACCTACACCACGTGAAGCGGCTCTAACAAAGCATGATGACGTCATAATGTTTATCAATTGGCACCAATGACGTCATATTGCAAGGGGCATAAGCCATGGTGTTTTTGTTATTGAAATAGAACACTTGGTAAATGTGAAAAATATAAATAGCTTTAATGCGAAAAATATGTTGATTAATTGTGATATTTTTATATTTTTGTCTATGACACTTCTATGTTAACACTTTTAATGTGGAAATAGTACAAGAAAAATAGGTTCATTTCCGTGTGAACTTGCCCTTTAACAATAAACGAAACTGTGTTACATCGGTTCTGTTGAGATTCTCCTCACAGCCATATCCTGTTCGCGGAGCTCTCTATACTATTTTGCCACCAGTCAAAGCTCCCCACTGTGATAGGTGGCCACAATCATGCTTGGCCTTGAACTCCCAACCGGCTGACCGTTAGGTTTACAAACAAGTGTTGACTACCCTGACCCCGAATACTCTTACCCCTGCCAAATTATTTTCTGTTTGTCAATCTGGCTATCGATAGAGATTATAGAGATCGATAATGGCTAACTAAATATCAATCAATTATTGATAAATATTGGAAAAGTAACTAGAAGCTAATACGCAAGAAAGTCCTGAGAGAAATCAACATATTTCATGACACTGGTGAATAGTGACCCAGTATACATAGATTATTTTGTGGACATTTGAGATATTACAAAAACAATTGGTTTCTATCTTCGACAATTGACATGACTGACAATAACATGTCTATTTCAGTAAATCCAATTTTATTTCATCCCAATGGTTTATGTTTGTGATTATCAATGACAACAATTCATATCGATAATCGTTAATAGTTCTTCCCATCTACGATAATTCCGATTATCGGTCTTTTTAGCCAGTCCTAATATAATCACATTTTTTGTTTGTTGTATAATGGCACACTCATTAACATTGAATCTACATGGCATCAAATGGTAAATCATAAAGTCTTGACTATTGATGTTTCATATCATACAACATATGTCAGCAATATTCCAGCTATATGACGGCGGTCTGTATATAATTGAGTCTGGACCAGACAATCCAGTGATTGACAGCATGAACATCGATCCATGCAAATGGGATCGATGACATGCATCAACCAAGTCAGCGAGCCTGACCACCCGATCCCGTTAGTCGCCTTTTACGACAAGCATACTTGCCTTTTACGGCAAGTATGGGTTGCTGAAGACCTATTCTGCCCCGGAATCTTCACGGGTCTCATGAAGAAATACTAATAGGTTTTCAGTCATGAGAAATATAACCCAAAGTTTTTAAGCAGAGTGTTCCACTCCTCAGAATAGTACCTTGTTCATGGAGATCTTTGAGAGCCACCATCCTGTCAACTACTTGGGGAAGAGAATCAGCAACACTCTCCCACTTCGTGACTAGCTCGTATAACTCGGACACCTTAAAACATGAAAGCATTAATAAGTGAGTGAGTGAGTCTGATTTTACGCCGCTTTTAGCAATATTCCAGCAATGTGCTTCACACATTGTACCCATGTTGGGAATCGAACCCGGATCTTTGGCTTGACGAGCGAACGCTTACACCACTAGGCTACCTGACTAGTTTCGATGATAGATTGTATTGTGCAATTGGATGCACTCATAATGAACAAACAGTACTTCATGCTTAGTATAAAGACACTTAAGAATTTCCAAATTGGGGTGTAGGGGCTGGGGTGTTGGTGGACATAAACAGTGGATCCTTATATTCCTGCTAATAAGAGTGAAATGAGTGAGTGAGTTGGGTTTAACGCTGCCTTGAACAGTATTCCAGTTATATCATGGCATGTCAGATTAATAGGAAAGCTTGAAGTGATGAAGGTCTTAGATTTTACCACTTTGGTGAAACCCATGAGCACAGGTATGGTGCTGACCCACCTAGAAACATAATCGTGGCGAACTGTGATCGGAACCCACAATCATAGGCTATTGTTTAACACCACACTCAGCAATATTCCAGCTATATGACGGCGGTTTGTAAATAATCAAGTCTGGACCAGACAATCCAGTGTATTGATATCATGAGCATGGATCCCATGCAATTTTGGATCGATGACATGCATCAACTAATTCAGGGAGCCTGATCACCCAATCCTGTAAGTCGCCTCTTACGACAAGCATAATCACGTTTTACAGCAAGCATGGGTTGCTGAAGACCTATTCTTCACAGGTCGAACCAACATCGGATCTAGAGGGATGCAAGTATGCACAGTAAACTGCAGTGCAAAAGACCACTGTGACACCTGACCCCTATGATCAGCAAACAATGCTACCTTTTTCTGTTTTTCCACGTCTTCCTGTGAGGCCTTCTTCTCTGCTATCTGTGTGAGTTTCTGCAGCACGCTCTGTAAGCGGATGTCCACCTGTTCCAGGTTACTCTGCTCCAGCAGCGACAGTTTGGAGTTGAGGACACTCACGGCTCCCTGCACAAGGAACAACAGGCTACAACAGGCTACAACATGGCTGCTCGTAGCAACAAACAATGCAAGTATGGTGTTTGTTTGTTTGTTTGTTGTTCAACGCCACACTCAGCAATATTCAAGCTATATGACAGCGGTCTGTAAATATTCAAGTCTGGACCAGACAATCCAGTGATTGACATCATGAGCATCGATCCACGAAATTGGGATAGGATGACATGCATCAACCAAGTCAGCGGGCCTGACCACCCAATCCCGTTAGCCACATCTTGCATCAAGCATAGTTGCTTGGATGTTCTTCTTGTGACTTACTTAATGTTCCGATATCGAACATATTCAGTTCTGATGGTTTATCAGCAGCCATTTTTTATGGCTCAACATGCAGGCTATCGACATGTTCAAGTAAAAGGCCTAATTTAGAGGTATCAATCAGAAAAGTGATACCTCATTTTAATCAGAATCACACATTCTTCAAAGTCATCATGATAATGGTAGACTAAATAAACACTACCGATCTACAGAACAGGGCCCACTTGCACAAAGCGATCTTAGCGCTAAGATGATCGTAACTCCCATACTTTAACATAGGCTTACAATAGTCTTAGCGCTAAGATCGCTTTGTGCAAGTGGGCCCAGGAGATGAAGATTACAATGTGTGACCATTGTCAGCGATGTGACGACTGAATGGAAGATTTGAGATCATATTATTAAGATGGTAGCTGATAACATCAAATCATCTGTGTTCATAGTTCAACATCAAGTTTTAGCTCCGAGGACATGCCTGAGAATGTAAGCGAATGAGCGAGTGAGGTTTTCTGTCATTTTCAGCAATATTCCAGGCATATCATGGCAGAGGATTCAAAATGGGCCACACTGTACCCATCTCGGGAAACAAACCAAAGTGTTGGTGTGATGACTCAACACTTCATCCACATGGCTACCCCACTGTCTCCAACACACCCCATGACTCTCCTGGATGGAGATAAGATATACGAATATATACTGTAAATCTTAAAATTAACGCGAGCGTCAATTAAATGCGAAAAATGCGATAGGTCTTGGCTCGCATTATTAAACATCGCATTTATATCAACAATAACTGAATAAGATATTTTGTTTAGCAGAAATACCAACTTAGACATACGCTGAAAACAAACAACTATGTTTTCCACATCACTGTTTATTGAGCAGCACTTGTAACAAGTATATAAAGAATGTCATTCAAACACTAATTACATCCTGTGAATTGTCACTGCTGGGGTCATGACAAGAGTTCTACTTACTTATGTCATCACTGATCACACCTGCAAGTCCAGACAGACGCCATCAACGCAACACAGTGCCTTTTTTCTTTACGACTGCATCAAAGGCTGACACGAGCCAGCGCGCATGCATTGTTTTAGCGGAAGTACACTACTCAGCGCTAATAAGCAGTTCTATTTGGTGAGTGATTGGATTAATGTAAGGTTGGATTCATGCGAGGATTCTCCGGTAAACCTGACAGAGGACATTTTCTTTAGATAACATATCCACTGATGCTTGAGAGGAGGGGGTGTCGCATTCATATTGAGTCGCATTTTTGGCAAGGGGCCAGCGTTCGCATTCTTTTGGAGACGCATTAATTTCATGATTTAAAGTATACGATTAGAGACTGAACTCTGAGTGCCTACACTTCTCCCAATCCCACTACCTTCTGATTAAGTGCTCGAACATATACTGGTAAACAGTGTCCAATACATATGACATCATACAATAACTTACCACAACGCTCTTGTTGTCAGTGTCATTTGTCAGCAGTGTCTGAAACATTACAATGTTGAGTGATTATGTTTTGTTTGTGGCTGCTTTGAACAGTATTGCAGTTAAATCATGGCGTGTCAGATTAATGTGGAATGAAAGCCCAGAGTGATGCAGGTATAGATGTTTTACAACTTCAGTGAAACCCACGAGCACAGGTATGGTGCTGACAAACCCAGAAACATAATCGTGGTGAACCGAGATTGGAACCCACGATAATAGAATTCTGGCGCACCCAAGGGACGCAACTCTGAACAGTGAATTGCGGAGCCTTGTCATCTTTGATGAAACCCACAAGCAATCTCATGATGCTGACAAACTTAGAAACCTTACGCCGGCATACAAGGATCGAACCCATCCTAAGGGATGTAACTCTGCACAGCGAACTTCGGCATCATAGACAACTGGGCCAGCCATGTTCTCCAGTGTTGAATGAATGACCTGGGAGATCTCAGGCCCATGGTTACACATTGTGAACATTCAAAACAATACACTATAGCTACATCAATACAATATTGGTTTTGGTTGTTTGTTGTTTAACCCCACACTCAGCAATATTCCAGCTACATGCGGAGGTCTGTAAGTAAGCCAGGACCAGACAAATCAGTGATTGGTACTACAAGCAAGTCCCATGTCATCTGGTTATGAGTTAGAGTGTGAGTATTGTTTTATACTGCTTTTAGCAATATTCCAGCAATATCACGGCGGGGGACACAGGAAAATGGGCTTCACAAATTGTACCCATGTGGGGAATCGAACCCGGGTCTTCAGCTTTACGAGCAAATGCTTTAACCACTAGACTACCCCACCGCCCCCATCAAGTTATGAAGAAACGCAATCAACCAAGTCGTCTGACAATGCTGACTATTTGATCCAAGGTGCCGCATTGTATGACAATAATGGACAAAAAGGACATATTCTTCCAATCTGGTTCTTCTGAGAGAAGCTACCTGTCTTCGCCCTTATCTCACTCCTGTATGATGAAAAGATTTGACAATATACTCCAGAATCTGAGAGCCATCGTATCCTTACCATCTTATCTCCATTTTGTCCTAGGACAGCTTCCAGACGTTCCAGCCTCTCTTCTAGACTTGCCATCTGTAACCGATACAGACCACTTACTGATCGATAATCAGAATTATAGTCAATGGGGAGAAATATTTACGATTATCGATATGAAAATTGTATTATCGACAATATCATACATAAATATACGAATAAGGACTTGTTTTTGTCAATCATGTCAATTGCCGAAGACGGAAAGCAAACTGTTTTTGTAATGTCTAAAATGTCCACAAAGTAATCCATGCATAAATGTGTCACCACTCACCATTGATGTGAAATGTGTTGATTTCTTTCGGACTTTTTCGCATATTTTCTCAAAGTTACTTCTCTGATGTTTATCGATAATTGCTCGATATTCTGATAACAGTTATTGATCTCTGTGATCTTTATCGATAGCCAGCCCTACTTTTGCACCACTCGGATTCGTGGTGTCATAAAAACATGACAGCGAAAAAAAAGGGGTCGCCAAATTTTATAACAACTTTATGTGGATAGCCATGAAAATATTACACATTTCTATTTTTTATAATTATTTACTAGGGACGGGTATTTGAGATTTAAAGTGTATCACAATATTTTGAAATGCACAAGGTCGTGTTGTGATACGTATCACGCTACTCATTCAATAAATATGCAGCCATCTGGGGGCCCCGGATCCTCTCTCTTGGGCACTGAAGGCATTTGGCAAGTATATAACATTAAATACATGACAAAGATCCCAAATTGAAATCATCCGAAATATCAAGCATGAAAAAAATCGTGGAAAGACGACCTCAATTTACTGATATACCGGTAACCTCACACACTTATTTTTTACGCAAACAAGCATCAACCCTTATGTACCGATGATTACAATTACCTACCCGAGCATTTTTACTGAACTGAGCTTGCTCAGGTCTGTAGTACAGCTCATAAGTCACATGATCTGGTCCTCCTTGCTGATTGGCTGGCACATTCTTGGCTGCCTGAACAGGCTTGTATGCATCAATCTGACTCATTAAACGCCTACACAGGGGAATATGATATTGTAAACATAATATTACACAACAACCTGTCTGGACTGATTTACAGACTAGTTAAACTTACTATTCAGTGTCAACTTCTAATCATGCTAACTATTATCCACAAATTCCAAATTATTTTACAAATTATGATTAATTGTGAAAAAATATTGGACAAATTTGCATGTCTAGCATGCAGAGTTACCATGGTTACAGATAGCTAAATTCAAGATATAGACATGCTCAGCAGGACATTTCTGCATTTTCAAAGGTTAATGTTCATACATGTCTTTTTTTGTGACCTATTAAAAAAATGGGCTATTTCAGGTCTGAGTGCATATTGCCGTTGTTAAACTGTGAGTGATGTCGACCTACTTTCTGAGCGCTCCCTGAGGGTCGGAGAGATCCACGGACGCCTCAGGTCCCAGGAGCTTCTCCAGGTGGAGGTCCACAAGCTGGTGTTGCAGGTACTCCAGCTGCTTCCCCATCTGCACTGGCGACAGCTTCTCCGTGGACTTCTCATCCTTCACAGTGTCCTGGAGAATACACGCAGGTGCTTGCTTCAGCACTAGAGCAATGTAACACCACCACATCAAACCTACTTCACATAGTCCTGGAAAATACATGCAGGTGCTTGCTTCAACACTAGAGCAATGTAACACCACCACATCAAACCTACTTCATAGTCCTGGAGAATACATGACAGGTGCTTGCTTCAACACTAGAGCACCACCACATCAAACCTACTTCACATAGTCCTGGAGAATACACGCAGGTGCTTGCTTCAACACTAGAGCACCACCACATCAAACCTACTTCACATAGTCCTGGAGAATACACGCAGGTGCTTGCTTCAGCACTAGAGCAAGGTAACACCACCACATCAAACCTACTTCACATAGTCCTGGAGAATACACGCAGGTGCTTGCTTCAGCACTAGAGCAAGGTAACACCACCACATCAAACCTACTTCATAGTCCTGGAGAATACACGCAGGTGCTTGCTTCAACACTTGCACCACCACATCAAACCTACTTCACATAGTCCTGGAGAATACATGACAGGTGCTTGCTTCAACACTAGAACACCACCACATCAAACCTACTTCACATAGTCCTGGAGAATACATGACAGGTGCTTGCTTCAACACTAGAGCACCACCACATTAAACCTACTTCACATATTCCTGGAGAATACATGCAGGTGCTTGCTTCAACACTAGAGCAATGTAACACCACCACATCAAACCTACTTCACATAGTCCTGGAGAATACATGACAGGTGCTTGCTTCAACACTAGAGCACCACCACATCAAACCTACTTCACATATTCCTGGAGAATACATGCAGGTGCTTGCTTCAACACTAGAGCAATGTAACACCACCACATCAAACCTACTTCACATATTCCAAACATGAATTTGCTAATAGAGTCATCATGACCCAATGGTATGCTCTTGCATTGGCTTACCTGGGCCCACTTGCACAAAGCGATCTTAGCGCTAAGACTATTGTAAGCCTATGTAAAAGCATGAGAGTTACGATCATTCTTAGTGCTAAGATCGCTTGTGCAAGTGGGCCCAGGTAAGCCAATGCAAGAGCACACCATTGGGTCATGATGACTATCAGCAAATTCATGTTTGATGAATCTTACAAGCACTGTTCACCAGAAGCCTCTCCTGTCTCAGATTCCCCAAAGGAGTCATTACAAGTTGCTGTTTTATGATGCCTCCGCACACTAGGTTGCTGGGGGCTACGTCTAACCTGGAATCACCACAATGATGTGGACAAGGACCTACACATAAAAATGACTACAAATGTTGTACAAGCGATGATCGTGATCTTGTATCACGGAGAACTACTTGAACAAGTGACTGTGTCTGTTGAACAACTTTAAACAATGACCCACAACTGACCTTGATCTTGTTCACCTCCTCTGCAAGCTCACGGATCTCATGTTGTAGGCGTTGGTACTTCTGCTGAGGAGTTTCCCTGGCCGTTGACCCCTGTTCCAGCTGGAAAAGGGAGATAACTCTTGGGGCATTTCAAATGCAATGTCAAGGCTTCCTCCCTAAAATTGAATATTAAAATGTCGTATGCCCTGGGACCGTCAGCTACATTTGTTCCAGATGCTGACAATTCCCTTTGGTTTCTGGTGCAACTTTACAAGGCAGCATCCTCAGTCAGTCGGGTAGCACAGGCGTCTAAGGCACTGCGATTCACTGTGCAGAGTTGCATCCCTTGGGCTCGCCAGAAACCTATGATTGTGGGTTTTAATCCTGGTTCACCCCGATTATGTTTCTAGGTTTGTCAGCACCATACCCGTGCTCGTGGGTTTCACCGAAGTGGTAAACGTCTGAGACCTGCATCACTTCGGGCTTTCCTCCCACATTAAGCTGACACCCCGCGATATAACTGGAATACTGTTAAAAGGGGCGTTAAACCCAACTCACTCACTCACGCATTAGAAACATGAGTGAGTGAGTTTAATACCGTTTGAGACCAGTGAAGATCCAGGGTAGAATAGGTCTTCAGCAACCCATGCTTGCCATGAAAGGCGACTATACTTGTCGTAAAAGGCTACTTATGGGATCGGGTGGTCAGGCTCACGGACTTGGTTGATGCATGTCATCGTATCCTAATTGTGTGGATTGATGCTCATGATGTTAATCACTGGATTGTCTAGTCCAGACACAATTATCAACAGACCGGCACCATATAGCTGGAATATGGCGTGTGGCGTTAAACAACAAACAAACACACAAAATAATGCTGTGTGATCAGTATTTCAGTAACACAGCATGTCAGCTGGATGTGGGAGGAAAGCCTGAAGGAATGCAGGTGTTAAAGATTTACCACTTTGGTGAAACACAGGAGCATGCTCTGATGCACGATCATAGATCTCAGGCACATCCAAGGGAAACTACTCTGCACCCCGAATAGAGACAAGAAAAGCCTTCGTCAAGAGTGGAAACAAAATCGAATTTGCTCACGTTTTTCCCACTTGATAAATCTTCAGATCAAGTAAACACATTTCAATCATCGCGTCCAAGCAATAAACCTATTGACCTCATACCAATTAATAATGATTATATAAAAGTAGTGCAGGGTGCCATTGTACAAAGCGATCTTAGCGCTAAGGTGATCTTAACTCCCATACCTTAACATAGGCTTACGATAGTCGTAGCGCTAAGGTTGTTTTGTACAACGACACCGAGGGCGGTATTAATCAGTCAACTTACTATTTCATATTCAGCCTGATGAACGTCGTAGCCAGTGCGCCGTGACTTACTGATCCTGTCCGAGAAGTCTGAAACAGATAGGCCACACATACGCTCAGACGATGGACCAGTGAAGATTCCCGGGTAGAATAGGTCTTCAGCAACCCATGCTTGCCGTAAAAGGTGACTATGCTTGTCGTAAAAGGCGACTAACGGGATCAGGTGGTCAGACTTGCTGACTTGGTTGATGCATGTCATCAATCCCAATTGCGTGGATCGATGCTCATGATATCAATCACTGGATTGTCTGGTCCAGATTCGATTATTTACAGACCGCTGTCATATAGCTGGAATATTGCTGAGTGCGGCGTTAAACAACCAACCAACCAACCAACCAACGTTCAGACGATGACTTTATCCGTGGAGCCCTGAATCACTGCTTGCAGATACATTCAGGATTCTTACTTTCACAGAAATGTAATGGCGGCAGCAATATGCATAAAGGAGTAATGCGGAATAAGCAAACAATTTACACAATGGCTGAAAATATTATCTGGAGTCCATCTTTCAAATTTTTATCTTCTTTAATCGGTGACTTGTGACCGACAAAGAAGATGGCGAATTTCACAGTCTGTACAAAGACCCCTCCCCTTGTTTCATTGAATCAAGTCAACATATGAGTGGATTCAATTGCTAAAGTGAGTGAGTGAGTATGGTTTAACGCCGCTTTTAGCAATATTCAAGCAATATCACGGCGGGGGACACCAGAAATGGGCTTCACATATTGTACCCATGTCGGGAATCGAACCTGGGTCTTCGGCGTGACGAGCGAACGCTTTAACCACTAGGCTACCCGACCGCCCCCAATTGCTAAAGAGTCCACAAGGAGAAGCATTAACAGACTTTATGGTAGGGCTGGCTAAAATGATTGTTAATCAGAATTATCATCGATGGGAAGAAATATTAACGATTATCGATTTGAAAATTGTGTCATCGATAATATCTTACATAAAAAATTGTGATGAAATAAAATTTAAATTTACCAAAAAGATTTGTTATTGTCAAAGAAAGCAACTGTTTTTGTCACACGAAATTGTCCACAGAGTAATGCATGCATAAATGTGTTACCACTCACCAGTGGCATGAAGTGTGGTGATTTCTTTTGGACTTTTTTGCATATTTGCTCAAAGTTACTTTTTATCGATAATTGATAGATATTTATTCAACAATTATCGATATCTATGATCTATATCGATAGCCAGCCTACTTCAAGGACTACATGACGACAACAGGGTGAAGGATGAAGGATGAAGCGAGGAACAAACAACCATCTTAAAGGTGGACACAATGAACTCCACTCTGTGTCGTTATGCCGTCCAAACATATTTGTCTCTGAAACATGTTACATCTGGGCTGATTACCTATGCCAGAAGAGCTGGCCTCTTTCCCCTTGAAAACACCGTGGGCAGCCTTGGTGTCTATAGGCAACTTCTCTACACAGTCAGGACTTAAATCTGTCTGCAAAAGGAAAGGGTGAAAGTGCATTATCAGTGGCTCATATTGGGAAGGGGAGATCACTCTATTTTTTACAAAGCAGACTAGAGTTATCCCCCTTGTTTTCAATATTTGTGCAAAATGGTGTATCCTTTAACATATATTTGAACGATTTAGTTTCATCTTTCTATCAGTACTTTGTGGAATAATGAAACTAACAGATAGCAATTGATCTGTTTTCTCATCCTCTCATCTCATCTGGTACTGGGAACTTGTGTCCGCTTACACAAAAAACATTTAACTTCCATACCTAAACACAGACTTACAACAGTCTTTGCACTAAGATTGCTTTGTGGAATAGGACCTTGTTCTGCCTTTGACATAAGCGCAGTCTTCAAAAAGAGTGAGTGAGTGAGTATGGTTTAACGCTGCTTTTAGCAATATTCCAGCAATATCACGGCGGGGGACACCAGAAATAGGCTACACACATTGTACCCATGTCGGGAATCGAACCTGTGTCTTCGGCGAACGCTTTAACCACTAGGCTAACCAACCGCCCCCACCTCCGTCTAGTGAGTGAGTGAGTGAGTTGGGTTTAACGCCACTTTTAACAGTATTCCAGTTATATCGCGGCGTGTCAGCTTAATGTGGAAGGAAAGCCCCGAGTGATGCAGGTCTCAGATGTTTACCACTTCGGTGAAACCCACGAGCACGGGTATGGTGCTGACAAACCTAGAAACATAATCGGGGCGAACCGGTATTCGAACCCACAATCATAAGTTTCTGGCGAGCCCAAGGGACGCAACTCTGCACAGCGAATCGCGGCGCCTTATACGACTGGGCCACCTGTGCCCCCCACCTCCGTCTAGAGATCAACTTACGGCATCTTTATGAATAGCCTGGTCATCTTCAGGCAGCTCATTCGTCTCAAAGACATCTGGAGAGTTGAGGTCCTGCAACATGAGACCAGGACATACATTTCATGTCAAGATTACCAACTTTAGAGCAACTTCTATAACAATCATATTTTGAAAGGGTGCTTGATCTGAAAAAAGGATATGAGGGCTGAGAGTAAAATTTAGGGTATTCTACTCTAACTCTAACACAACTAATCCAAAGAGGATCAAACTCACATTGCCAGCTTGAACTAGTGAGTGAGTGAGTGAGTATGGTTTTACGCCGCTTTTAGCAATTTTCCAGCAATATCACGGCGGGGGACACCAGAAATGGGCTTCACACATTGTACCCAGCCAGCTTGAACTAGTGAGTGAGTGAGTGAGTGAGTATGGTTTTACGCTGCTTTTAGCAATTTTCCAGCAATATCACGGCGGGGGACACCAGAAACGGGCTTCACACATTGTACCCAGCCAGCTTGAACTAAGATAAGTTAATGGTATAATCTAATTTGCCAACACTTCACCTTAGATTGTGACATGACCACAAGTGCCATCACAGAAAATAAGTGCTTGTTTACCAAGTGATCAGCACTTGATTGTATTCCTTCACAGTCTGAAAAGCCTCAGTCTAGTAAAATTCTAGTAAGCTCAGCTAGCAATAGTCCAATAACAACATCACAATCTACAGAAAAGTCATCCTTATACTAAGTTGTAGTCAAGTTCCAGCTAGTAGGTTTTATCATTTTGGGCACAGGCTGCCTCGTCCACTCCCACAGTAGCCATTTTCCCCGATGAAAATCAAAACTTGATTACATTGATTTAATTTGTTAAAAGGGTGATAAAGGTAACCCATTCCCTTGGGCTGGGATGAGTCCAAATTTAATCCCCGGGTACCCGATGTAGGTCTCAAGTTGGGTACAAAATGTCCACTTTGGAATTGTGTTACTGGAGCCTTGGCAAAAACTAATCAGATACCAATATAAAATTATCTCATAATACCCACAATGAAGTTGACAGAAGCTTCATTGTTATTCAAAGATCTAGGCCTAAAAGTCAGTAGGAATGAGTGCATAGTCATATAGAAATGTGAACATTAGTGGCTTGTAGGTAACCAGTAGTTATAGTAGTGATTTTTTTGTCATTAAACAATGCATCATGTGACTAAACGCTGATCATGTAGCCAGCAACCTCGGTGTATCTGGTGTATCACCTTACTTGTTATGTACGCTAAACGGAACAAAACGGAACAAAATACACTTGGTAAGCTTTATGATTATTCCTGTTCTCTATGTCAGATGTCATTTATTTTATCTAACTATGCCTATATCATGTATCTTACCGATAAAAGTTAATTATTTACATGAGTCGTGCAGATAGAGAGGTTGGCCTCGTGCTCGGTGTGACAAGGGAGAGTACTCCAGCATATCGTGGTACAGGGACAAGTTGTGTTTGGAGGTCCGAATTGGACAAAAACAGGACATGATTCTATCGACCACTAAGTATGATGATGCCTGACTTCAGTGATTTTATCCAGACAAATGCAAACACAGCACTAGTAAAATTTAGTATGTGTAATAATTAATAGGTATTCAATGCATATTTAACAAAAATTAAGAAAAGAAATATCAAAACAAAAACAAAATATCAGAAATGATATTTCAAGATTTTTATTTTAAAAAATGGAAGAAAATAATTTGTCCATAATACATGGAAAAAAATGATAAAAGTTAACAATTCATACATAATAGCACTCCTTAAATGACAACAGTATGAATTTATCATTTGGCTACTGGTGAAGAACTTATTGCTAAGTAGGGCATTAAGGCCCTTATTATCTCCAAACAAATTGTGGCCACATAGTGGGAAAAATGTGCGGACTACATCACTTCCGTTACCTTATTTATCACCAGGAATATGTAGATGATCAAGTTCAGGTCGATAGAGAAATTTCACTTGGGAAACAGTGGGTTATATCGTAGTCCATAGATAGATGGGTGTAAGGCAATATTAAAAAGATACTAGAAGTAAGTATCAACATGTTTATAAATCCTTACTCACAGAAGACGTAACATTCCACAGAAATTGAAACTGTTACGAAGCGAGCACTTCCTGGTTACTGATTTGCATTAGTAAATGGCAGCTAAGACGTTTTTCTCGTGTGCACTACCAGAAATCACAAATGCCACAATACGATGAATGCCGTGGTACCACAGGGTCCGAGTATAATCCTGTGGGTTCCTGGGTTCTGGACGCCCCCCCCCCCCCCCCCCCCCCCCCCCCCCCCCATCCCTGTTGAGCCGGATACTCGAGCTACCTGGCCTGTCCCTACCATACCCCAACTCAAAACTAACCCTAAGGATAGTAAAGTGCTGCCTAAACTGAAGGACATGAAGTGGGGTTTTATCGGAAGAGGGTATCGGGTGCCCCTAATCCTAATGATTGCAAAAGTATGTTTGTTAGGAAATGGGGATCCAGGGATAAGGATAGATTTGGGGGGCAATCTACAGAACTGATCCTTGGGCTACGGGTCGAAAACGAAGAGGCATGTAAGATCAGTGGAGCGGGAACAACAGCCAATTAGCGCCCGGTAACTGTCGGAAACAAGGAAATATGAGTAATCTGCTAAATAACTACCACTAAATGTGTATATGTCAGGTGAGTCACTTGACTAAAGTGTTGTCTGTTGAAATGACAATTGACATAGCGAGAAACTTGAAATCGGCTGGGTTGTACCGTGATAACTGGTGATGCACAGCACTAATTGTTTCACCATCCTTAAAACAACGCCACTACATTTGAAACTGTAAGTTCAGTACATAATTCTTGAACATCATTTTGAAAATTATGACTTACAATCCCAGGAAGATTAGCATATTTTGGGTCAGCCATCTTTATCGTCCAAGATGAACTCTCGCGAGACCGATAATATAAGGTGTACCACTTGTTACAACTCCTTCAATCATGTTGTAATTCTTGTCATTTATTCAATACTTGTGGGTGTTACAATTAGCATAATGTATAAAGTTATTGTCACATATATTAATCTAAAAGAAAATATCATTTAAATGACTTTTTTGGCCCTTCAAATGCCATACAAATTTACACTAGTTAAGCAGTTTAGTCGGTAATAGACTATGCAATGTCACTTCCGGTAGCAGAAGACAGGTGCTTGTTTTCATTTGGTTAGCCAATGCTGTAACAATCAATATATGTTCGTGTAAGTGTCGTTTTAGATTATATGCCGCTTATATAGTTTGTAATGTATCTAAATTAGTGATGCCCCATATGGATTTTAAGTGATGTGTCTTTTTAGGTAGTCGGAACGTTTTACGTTCACAACAGAAACCTTTTTTTATATTTATATGCGTATGAGCAGTTGATCACCTCCCTAAATTCGTCTGCTAGATAGCGTTTAATTTTATGCATATAATGTCTGTCGGTTATAATTAGTATAATTATGTAACCATTTTGAAATCCGTTATCCGGTGTTTGATTTACTATATTCTGGGTCAAATTTATTTATAGGTTTGTCTTTTCATGATAAATCAATATTTGAGTTCGTTTCAACAGTAAGGCGTATATGGACGTTATCAGCATGAAGTGTCAAGTTTCAAGTATGATTTTGTGACATATTTCCATTACAAGCATGTTTATTGAAGCAGTTGATTATATCTATGCTGTCTCCTTAAGGTTATTACCCTGAATAGAATCTGGCATTACATGCGGTTGTTTCCTTCTTGACAGCATATGTCATACCTGATTTTACTTTAGAAGACAACTTGGAAATATTTAATCAGGAAGTATTTGTCATTGTCTCCTTTCTAATCATGATGATTCCACAATGTGGCATCTGGACATTGGTCTTATGTGTGGCAACACACAATTGGCAGTGATTGGCCTCAAATTTGATCATGAATGCCAGTAATTTAATTTTGAAAATCAGATATCAGTAGGCCAGAAGAGCTGAATCTTCATGAATATGTCACATAATGTAACTTTGATTTGGTCATGGCATTAAATTAATTGAGAAGATTAATTACTTTTTTCAGATTGAAAATATCTTCATCAGTTGTGGCAAATAATGATAATTCTTGACAGTTTCCTTTTCATTTAGGGACCATCATCTACATTCATCTTTGTTGCTGCAGGGTTAGAATTAAATTTACACTTTCACCTGTCTGCAGAAATGATCTGCCATGTACATAAATGGTAAAAGTGGTAGTCTACAAGGAAATCACTGGTCCTTCTGAATCTTGCAAGTCTCGGAATAGCAGAGTTATGTTAATTTCGAACCATGTGTTGTTGATGTTAAGGTTAGATTTCTTACAAGGCCTATCCCAAAACTGCATACCAAATGTGGATATTTATGTATGTTACCATAATGAAGTTTAAAGAATAGCATTTTGAACAATGTTAACCATTGTTGAGCTCCTACTGTCCTCACTCACAGACCACATTACCAGTGTGTGCTGATTGGAGCATGGGGCTTTATACGGTAATTAGTGAGCAGCAGTGCCTTGGTACTATGTGTTAGGGATGTCACAGTTCCCCATATATCGATGCATCGATAACATTCAAAGATGATACGATGCGAGATACACATTACCTCCCTTGGTACTATTCTTTAACATGTCATTGCTCACAATATATCAATGCATTGATAACATTCTAAGACAATACGATGCGAGATACACATTTACCTGCCTTGGTACTATTTTGTGACTATGCTTTTAATTTTTTAAATAACAGGATGTGAAATGAAGGAGCATCTTCATAAAGAATAGTTGCCAAGCAACCACGTATGAATACACTCGGACTGAGTTTGATGTTAAAAATGGGCTGCATTTGTGGCAAAGAATCAATCAACATTGACAACAGGAACTTCTACATTCGGTCAAGACTTGGAGAAGGGTAATAATGACAACAAGATCAAGATCTGATTTACACTTCAATTTTGGGGTCGCAGGTTTTAAAATTGGGGTCTGATATAAGTTTGTGTCAAAGTAGGCAAAAGTTTATGGATAACAAAATTCTTTATTATACTGTTAAAAGTGACGTAAAGGTATAGATCTTTATACCGTTGTCAAAAAAGACTGAATAATGAACATGCTACAGAATTATATGTGGTAGGTGATGGATTAACAGTAACAACAATTATCATACATAAGGGGGATTAAGATGAGAAGTTAATCCTACCCGTGAAGATCTGGGTAAGAATAGGTCTTCAGAAACCCATGCTTGCCGTAAAAGGCGACTATGCTTGTTGTAAGAGGCGACTAACGGGATCGGGTGGTCAACACAAACTAAAAAGTGTAACTAATTATTTTCTCTCATGATATTGCAATTACAAATAACTGCACTGCAATTTACTAGCACCCATGAAGTGATGGGAATATATACCCATGCAGGAACCTATGCTGTTTGTAACAGGCGACCAAATGGATCGTGTGGTTATGCTCGGTGACTTGGTTGATTGGGTGGTCAGGTTTCAGTGACTTGGTTAATTGGATGGTCAAGCTTGGTGACTTGGTTGATTGTGTGTTATTGTAATGAGATGATGTGGATAGTTGCTCACAATATCAATCACTGGATTGTCTAGTCCAGACTCGATTATACACAGATCAGCGTCATATAGCTGGAATGTTGCAAAGTGCTTCAATAAACACAATAAACACACACTCACTACCTAAAGCTTCAAAGTCAAGACCAAAAATTAAGTGCTATGTTTTCCAATGTCTTCTTCAGAGGGTTCAGTTATGTTGACCTGATAGAAGAGGCACAGTCTCACAAGCTGTTTGCCCTCAAGAGAATCACGTGTCACTCCAAGGATGATGAACGGGTGGCCATGCAAGAGGTGGAGATCATGGGAACATTTCACCACAACAACATCGTGCCCCTGGAAGCTCACTGCATGAAGCCTGTCGGACACTACACCAAAACACTCGACATCACCAGTGAGGTGTTCATCGTCATGCCGTATTATAGGGTAGGTAGAAGGACAGTACTTCCCACATTCAGAGAGAGGAAAGTCAGTGGTTCGACATCACCAGTGAGGTGTTCATCGTCATGCCGTATTATAGGGTAGGTAGAAGGATAGTACTTCCCACATTCAGAGAGAGGAAAGTCAGTGGTTCGACATCACCAGTGAGGTGTTCATCGTCATGCCGTATTATAGGGTAGGTAGAAGGATAGTACTTCCCACATTCAGAGAGAGGAAAGTCAGTGGTTCGACATCACCAGTGAGGTGTTCATCGTCATGCCGTATTATAGGGTAGGTAGAAGGATAGTACTTCCCACATTCAGAGAGAGGAAAGTCAGTGGTTCGACATCACCAGTGAGGTGTTCATCGTCATGCCGTATTATAGGGTAGGTAGAAGGATAGTACTTCCCACATTCAGAGAGAGGAAAGTCGGTGGTTCGACATCACCAGTGAGGTGTTCATCGTCATGCCGTATTATAGGGTAGGTAGAAGGATAGTACTTCCCACATTCAGAGAGAGGAAAGTCGGTGGTTCGACATCACCAGTGAGGTGTTCATCGTCATGCCGTATTATAGGGTAGGTAGAAGGATAGTACTTCCCACATTCAGAGAGAGGAAAGTCAGTGGTTCGATCCCGGGCTCTGTTGTACCAAAAGACACGTGTGAGTGTGTCTGCGTGTGTGTTTATGTGCGCACACACATGCTGCATTCTGATTGGATGAAAACCATTAGTAGGGATTCACATCAATCCCAGCTATCTTTTCACTTTTTACTGTGTAATAAGATGATGAATACTTTTTTGATAAATATCTTTTCTTTCTCAATCTCAAATTTGAAATTTGAATTTGTTCGTCCCAGGCAAAATGGACACCACATTAATTTGTTTTAAGTTTGATCAATATATATCAGAATAACTTTACTTTACTAAAAAAAATAATAGTCTTGGTTCTCTGGCACCACCTGCACCATCCTAAAGTCTGGCGCACAACAATGCGATCCAATATGGCACGCAGTTACTTCCCTTTACAAGGGCACTGCTTTACTCATTCGTGACCAACTCATGTTATTCAGGGACAAGCTGAATAGCGACATCATGCCCCTCTCATGGCCATTTTTGCGATCAGGTTCTGTCTTAGCGCAAACAGGCATACCTAAAACAATTGTCAACTCGTTGCATAATGGTTCAAATATATTTCCCCATATATTATATGTATTTCAGATGCAATTTAAAGCACATCGGGACGTGCAGAATTATACAGTATGATTGAACACATTTAACTGTTGGGTATATTTTTAGATGCAAGACATATGTAAAATCAAAAATTATTTCTGAGGGGTTCTTTTTTGAAGAACTTGAAATCATACACGCGTTCTGATTGGTTTGTCATATTTTCGCAAACAACATTCATCATTAGGGGGACGAGTCTTCTTGCAGGTTACGGAAAGAGGCGAGTGGTGACGAATGTGCTTTATTGCGCATCTCGTGTTATGGCGGCAAAAGGAGTTTGTATGCTTATTAATGTAGGGAGGCCCTTTCCAAGGTTTATGATACACAGCTGTTTATTTGGTTACATATTAGTTTGAACAAACAAAAACAAACAAAAAAATGTTGATAAACATGTGTATTCAGATCTACAGGTGTTATCGAGTGTTCAATGCCCCCAAATTTTAACATTTGACATGAAACGTCCAGGGCCCTGTTCCGCAAAGCGATCTTTGTGCTATGTTGATCATAAGCCTGTGTTAAAGTATGGGAGTTACAATCAGCTTAGCACTATGATCGCTTTGTGGAACAGGGCCTTGGACATTTCATTTCAAACATTAAAATTTCGGGTTCCGGGTTAGAATGCTCATCACTACCCACAGATCTGAAAAAAAGTTTATTTCCTTTCACTCTCTCACCCACAGAGAGGCGGCCTACAAGACAAGATGGAGTTCCTCACGGCCAAGTCTGAGAAGATGGCGGAGGACAAGCTGTGGAGAATGTTCTTGGGCATCTGTCATGGTGTCCGAGCTTTACATTCATTCAACCCTCCATATGCACACAGGTGATATTGCAGTCTTTCACTCACATGCTGCCATTTACTGCCTCTGTGGTGCAGTGGATAGAGCATCTGCCCGTGGTTCGATCCCTTGGTCGCTTAATAAATTGGGTAACTGGGTCTCATATACTGCCTCTGTGGTGTAATGGATAGAGCGTCTGCCCGTGGTTCGATCCCTTGGCCCCTCAATAAATTGGGTAACTGGGTCTCATATACTGCCTCTGTGGTGCAGTGGATAGAGTGTCTGCCCGTGGTTCGATCCCTTCGACCCTCAATAAATTGGGTAACTGGGTCTCACATACTGCCTCTGTGGTGCAGTGGAAAGAGCATCTTCCCGGTGTTCGATCCCTTGGCCCCTCAATAAATTGGTTGACTGGGTCTCATATACTGCCTCTGTGGTGCAGTGGATAGAGCCTCTGCCCGTGGTTCGATCCCTTGGCCCCTCAATAAATTGGGTAACTGGGTCTCATATACTGCCTCTGTGGTGCAGTGGATAGTGTCTGCCCGTGGTTCGATCCCTTCGACCCTCAATAAATTGGGTAACTGGGTCTCACATACTGCCTCTGTGGTGCAGTGGAAAGAGCATCTTCCCGGTGTTCGATCCCTTGGCCCCTCAATAAATTGGTTGACTGGGTCTCATATACTGCCTCTGTGGTGCAGTGGATAGAGCCTCTGCCCGTGGTTCGATCCCTTGGCCCCTCAATAAATTGGGTAACTGGGTCTCATATACTGCCTCTGTGGTGCAGCGGATAGAGCGTCTGCTTGTGGTTTGATCCCTTGGTCCCTCAATAAATTGGTTGACTGGGTCTCATATACTGCCTCTGTGGTGTAATAAATAGGGCGTTGTCTGGAAAGTTAAAGGTCGGGGGTTCGATCCCCGTCCGTGTCACCAAAAGATGTAAGAGATAGTACTTGTTATCCAGCCTGGCACTCGGTATTCCGGGGATAAAATACGGACTGGCTGGCTCAGTGCCAGTGGGCTTTCCTTCCACATCAAGCCAACACACTGCAGTTCTTTTTAAAGCAGATTTTAACCAAAATTCACTCGTTCACTCACAGAGACCTGAAGCCGGCCAACATCATGATAGCAGATGACGAAACCCCAGTGTTGATGGATCTGGGCTCAGCAGCCAAAGCTAGGGTGGATGTAAGGAATCTCCGCGAGGCTCGGGCACTGCAGGTTAGTATCCATGCTATCCAGTGTCACAGTGTTTGAAATAATTTTTGAACCCTACAAAGTACAAGACAGTCAGGCAGGTGATCTGTAAGTGGTGCCAGCCAATCTTCAAAGTTACCTGCCCGAATTCGGATGTTGTAAATATTGAAAAAGTGCAAAAAGTAAGAGACAAATCATGTCTTGATTCAGTTGAAATAATGCTAACAATGACTTGAGAATCTTCTAGGAGTTTTAAAGTCGTCTTAAAATTATCTGCCAGACAGTCGGGCAGGTGGAGGAAAATTTCTCACAGTCCGACAGAAAAGTTACCAGCCACTGGCCGGCGGGCAAGCAGTTATTTCTGACACTGCAGTTTAACATGGCAGGCCTAGCACTGCAGGGGTCATTCCATCCTCAGTTATCCAGGGTATTATAAGAGCTTTCCATTATGAGAAACATAATATCCTGAACCCACCGTAGCTTCTTTTCAGAAGTAATGTCACCACTTCCATCGCCCTATCTCTATCAAAGCCCATAATTTCTCTCATTCCTGAGTTTAATTTGGTTGGAGTGCTATGTTTAGCATCATACTTTACGACTCAAGCTGTGGTAGCGATTGGGTCTAGGGTATTTATCAATATAGAATGGAGATATAGTACCCTGGATACTCGAGGATGGGGTCACGAGTTCCCCAAAACATTTTGGAAATGCTTTGAAAATCTTTAAACAGCATCTAAATGTATTGAACATTAATTGATTTAAGTAAAAATAATTCCTTTATGTGTGAGGTACCATATGGTGATCAGTCCATGGAATAATCCCCTTTTATTAACAATGTCTTTTTCGATCATTGTGCAGTTTTTGTAAAGGCATGGTGGCCTTGCAGGGTTGCCATGGTGTCCTGTGTAGGGTTGCCATGACAACTACCTATTTAACCTGTATGTTATTCCAGGACACGGCAGAAGAGAGGTGCTCTATGCTGTACAGAGCCCCGGAACTGTTTAACGTGGACTCTAACGCTAATATCGATGAAAGAACAGACATTTGGGTGAGTATACAATATCAGGGCCCCAGATCTGTTTAATGAGGAGATAGGGAGGCCATAGATTCAAATTATACAGCAGCAAAACTTAAGGACCCAGTTATGTCAGGAAACTCAGAACAGCATGTAATGTTTCATAAGGTAATGGAATAACAGATTGGAAGTTTTCCTGTATGAGTCTCACTGCAAGCAAAATTATTTTAATCAAATGGTTGGCGTAGAGGAGAACCCAAATGAATTTGTGAGGGCCTAACTCTGTTCTTTTATGATTAGATTATAAGTTCTAGCAGTATGACTCGGGATTATATGTGATATTATGCGTCACACGTTAGGTTTGATTCCACATATACTCCAAGTCATACTGCTACAAAGAATTTATATTGCCATGTTTAATCTGCCATTGTAAAAGAATTAAAATAAATTAATAATTGATAGAAAACAGCTGTTTGGTTGAGCTGAGGCTAACTTGTGCTATGTCTCGTGACTTTCATTGACTCGTAAAACAATGTGCAGCTTTTTGCTTCGTAACGGGGTGTAAGGGATTTATTCTACCACTCAAAAATCCATGTGTTTCCAGTTTTCTTCATGGCGGGGTATAAGCGATATATTCTACCACTCAGAAATCCCTGTAAAGCCAGTTTTCTTCATGGTGGGGTATAAAGGATTTATTCTACCGCTCAGAAATACATGTGTAGCCAGTTTTCTTCATGGCGGGGTATAAGCGATATATTCTACCACTCAGAAATCCCTGTGAAGCCAGTTTTCTTCATGGTGGGGCATAAGGGATTTATTCTCCCCCACAGAAATTATTTCATAGTATTTTATCAAGATCATGTGAACCAATGAGATCACAACATTCTGACATGGAGGTAAGATAAGAGATATTGAATGTAAGAAATTATGCATGTCATGTCAACCAATTCCTGAAGTTTCATCTCTTGTTGACAGAGCCTGGGCTGTGTGCTGTATGCCATGGCCTTCCTGGAGTCTCCCTTCGAGAAGGCATACCAAAGAGGGGATAGTATCGCACTAGCTTCACTCGGACGCAATGTTAAGTTCCCTGAAAATTCAAGGTATGTGATTTATGTGGTTTTCAAGTGTACTTGTCAATACACAAAGAGTTTAGCCATGGGACTTCCACAATGAGATGCAGTGCAGTGATGTTGTAGTTTAATGAACGTTGCAGAGCTACAATTCTTGGTTTCGTCATCGACAGTTTAACTCTTTGAATTGAATTCTCAGCTGTATCGACAGTTTAACTCTTTGTCTCCAATTCTCAGCTGTATTGACAGTTTAGCTCTTTGTCTACAATTCTTGTCTGTATCATCGACAGTTTAATTGTTTGTCTACAATTCTTGTCTGTATCATCGACAGTTTAACTCTTTGTCTACAATTCTTGTCTGTATCATCGACAGTTTAACTCATTGTCTACAATTCTTGTCTGTATCATCGACAGTTTAATTGTTTGTCTTGAATTCTCAGTGATGCATTCAGGGTTAGAATAGGTCCCCAGCAATCTATCCTGATCGTTAGAGGTGGACTAAATTGATCAGGTGGTCAGGCTCGGTAATTTGGTTGTTGGCGTGTCAATGTGTCAATGGCGTGGATCGTTCTTCACAATATCAATCCCTGGATTGTCTGGGCCAGTCTCGTTTATTTACGAATCACTGTCATATGGATGGAATATTGCTGAGTGCATCGTAAAGCATCAAACAAACATCATGTTATCCATCAGATGACTTTGAAAGACTTTTTAAAGGGCTCCAGATACAGGACAGTTCAATTACTCTGTTAATGCCAAAAATGCACACAAAAAACACCAGCAAACAGCCTTAACTAATAGTAAATAGAATTACTAAGAATCAAAAAGAGAGCTCACATGATTTATTTTGTTCATTTTGTTTTTATGTCGTTAAGTTTTCCTGCTATATAATTTGAATCTATGGACACCCTAACTACTCCTTAAACAGTTCTGGCCTTAAATATGTCTTAGATATGACATTTAAACATAATTTTACAATTTCATGTTGATTTCTGTTTGATCACATACCAAATTGATTTTTTTTTTAAATCTGTGAACCAAATATTTAAACAGTATCGTTGTGTTATTACGGTTCATATGTTAAGGAGATTTGGGTAACTTATATAAAAGTGGTTTAGTGTGTAAAATATTGAAATTTTCCCTCTTTTTATGTCAGTTTCAGCAAGTCTGTGGAAGATATGATTCTCTATCTGATGACCGTGAATGTAATGGAGCGGCCATTTATTGACCAAGTTATTTCCCGAGTGGACAGTGTCACACAAGCAAGTGAAAACCGAGTCTGATTGGCTCCCTTTGTCATGTGATCAAAGTGATTAGTTATTCATATCATGTGACTCATCCTTGTCCTCTGTGTCATGTGACTTGACCGTATGCATCATGTGATCTGCCCTAACATCCTACCATTAACGATGGTCTTTGTTCAGAGAACAGATACAGTATTCTGTCTGCTTCCTGTGATTGTCTCTGATGTTTTGGTTGTCTTGGTTGTGGGAGACACTGTGATATGGAACTTAACGGACTTACTCATCCATTTACAGCATCAGAAATTAACACAAGCCCACTGCTACAGACAAGTTAACATGTCTCAAAATGTATTAAGAGTAAGTTAGGTTAACTTAAGGGTGAGAGTTGATGGCCCAGTGGTTGGCTCCTGATGCCTGAGACCTGGGTTCTATTCCCATGGATACAATGCAAGCACAGATACAGAACTTTTGAAAAGGGAGGTGCACCTTAAAATATTAATCTGATAGCACATAATTTGTTGAACAATTTGCATTTGTTATCCAAACATTGAGAAGTTAATAGTTTCTGTCGGAAACGTGTCTCCAGATGATTTAGTTAAATGTTTTTTAATATGTTAAAGTGATTAAATGTGCTGATTCATGATTTCATCAGTTCCGTGGTCACGTGGGAGCTGTGTGATAGGGTTGTCTTCACAGCTAGTTGAAACAACTTCTTCTTCAGCAAGACCTCACACAGCTCTTCTTTCTGTTAAGAACAAGCAGTAGATGCATTAAGGAGTAATGCAGGATAAGTATACAAATATATAAAATATCTAGGATTTTACTAGGTTCCTGTTCATAAGGACTGGTCAATTTTTCAGACTACTAGCCTCAGGGGGTATTACCGTATTTCCTCATTTAAGTGGCAGGCCACAATTAACGTTGGGTAGTTTTTATGCACGGAATTCCCCCCATTATTATGATGGCAGGGGTAAAGAGTTTCTGAAAGAAATGTCCAGGAATTTAATTGAGGAAATACGGTAAGTGTTTTTATCTGATGCTGTTTTGATTTGTGGTCAATTTTGTATAGGTTGTGTTTGTCACATTAAATCAAACAATTTCATTGGCTGTGATCAGTATCATAAGTACATGATATGATATGAATTATGATATGAAATCATTGTTAATTTTGAATGTTTTGTTTTCTTAGAAGGATGTGATCAATTTGCATATTTGATAGGCTTTTTTACATATTTATAATATACTATGTGTATGTGCAGTGTGTTGGTATTCGGAGATCTCAAGTGGTATAGCTGCACACCTGGTTGACACAAGCCATGGTGGGGACACAGGTCATGGTGGGGACACTGGCCACGGTGGGGACACAAGCCATGGTGGGGACACAGGTGGGGACACAAGCCATGGTGGGACACAGGCCATGGTGGGGACACAGGTGGGGACACAAGCCATGGTGGGACACAGGCCATGGTGGGGACACAGGCCATGGTGGGACACAGGCCGTGGTGGGGACACAAGTCATGGTGGGGACACAGGCCATGGTGGGGACACAGGCCATGGTGGGGACACAAGTCATGGTGGGACACAGGCCGTGGTGGGGACACAGGTCATGATGGGGACACAAGCCATGGTGGGGACACAGGTCATGATGGGGACACAAGCCATGGTGGGGACACAAGCCATGGTGGGGACACAAGTCATGGTGGGGACACAGGCCATGGTGGGGACACAGGTGGGGACACAAGCCATGGTGGGACACAGGCCATGGTGGGGACACAGGCCATGGTGGGACACAGGCCGTGGTGGGGACACAAGTCATGGTGGGGACACAGGCCATGGTGGGGACACAGGTGGGGACACAAGCCATGGTGGGACACAGGCCATGGTGGGGACACAGGCCATGGTGGGACACAGGCCGTGGTGGGGACACAGGCCATGGTGGGGACACAGGTGGGGACACAAGCCATGGTGGGACACAGGCCATGGTGGGGACACAGGCCATGGTGGGGACACATGCCATGGTGGGGACACAGGCCATGGTGGGGACACAGGTGGGGACACAAGCCATGGTGGGACACAAGTCATGGTGGGACACAGGCCATGGTGGGGACACAAGTCATGGTGGGACACAGGCCATGGTGGGGACACAAGTCATGGTGGGGACACAGGCCATGGTGGGGACACAAGTCATGGTGGGACACAGGCCATGGTGGGGACACAAGTCATGGTGGGGACACAGGCCATGGTGGGGACACAAGCCATGGTGGGGACACAAGCCATGGTGGGACACAGGCCATGGTGGGGACACAGGCCATGGTGGGGACACAGGCCATGGTGGGACACAGGCCATGGTGGGACACAGGTGGGGACACAGGTCATGGTGGGGACACAAGCCATGGTGGGACACAGGCCATGGTGGGACACAGGCCATGGTGGGGACACACACAGGCCATGGTGGGACACAGGCCATGGTGGGGACACAGGCCATGGTGGGGACACAGGCCATGGTGGGACACAGGCCATGGTGGGACACAGGTGGGGACACAGGTCATGGTGGGGACACAAGCCATGGTGGGACACAGGCCATGGTGGGACACAGGCCATGGTGGGGACACACACAGGCCATGGTGGGGACACAGGATATGGTGGGGACACAGGATATGGTGGGGACACAGGATATGGTGGGGACACAGGATATGGTGGGGACACAGGCCATGGTGGGACACAGGCCATGGTGGGGACACAGGCCATGGTGGGACACAGGCTATGGTGGGGACACAGGATATGGTGGGGACACAGGCCATGGTGGGACACAGGCCATGGTGGGGACACAGGCCATGGTGGGACACAGGCCATGGTGGGGACACAGGCCATGGTGGGACACGGGCCATGGTGCGGACTCAGGCATTAAGATTTGTTCAGGATAATTGACATATGACAGTTGTGAAACAATGATTGCTTTCTGGAACGGGTTGCTAGAAATAATAAAATATTCCTCTATTGAATAAGTTTGTCAAATCCTTTTCATGTTTCAAGATACATTCAGATCTTTTGATAACCTTTTGTATAATGATGTCATGGTTTGAAAAATCCTGAACGGTAACTAAGTCATCTTACTAAAACTGTTTTGTATCTGATCAACTGTTTATGGTATAAAAACCTTCTTCAGTGGAAGGTACAACTGTCCCAAAAGATTAACCCACTCCACTATGCTTCCTGTATGAAATTCATTGCATTAGTGTCTGCTTTGCCAGGACTTGCTTTGAATCAGATTGACGCATATGTAAGACTTGTGTGAAAACAAACCATGCTTGTCAGTCTGATTCTTGGAAATGTGTACTATTTTATAGTGAAAACATCAAATTGTCACAATATGAATATTGATAGTTTCAAAAAAATAACTGTAACTGCATAAGGAATTCTACTCAAGCCTCAACTGTTTTTCTGAAAGTTTTTGTGAAATTCCCCCAAAATTAAAATTTTGTTTCTTAAACCAATGAAGGATGCTTTACCCTTTGTCAAGCAAGAGTCTGTGGTACTTGTGCTGAAACATCACGTTAGTTAAAAAACTAAAGAAGTTGAATTCCGCAAGTGAACCCTGTCTTATTGTCAGGACAGCTTCTATATGCCCCTTAAACACAGTACATAACCTCCTAATCCGAAAAGAATCGTGGACTTGGTTTGATTTTATTTATGGTGTCCTCCCCTGTTAAGCAGAGTGACGATTTCAGTCAGTTTAAAAAATTATATTATATATTTATTTGGTTTTATTATAAATGATAATGTATACAATCTATTCATCTGTCAACACAGAAATTGGATGACTTAAGCACCGTTGTGCCGAGGTTGTGACCTTTGCGGGATTCATGCAATAAGTTTATGATTGATGCATAATTTTTACACTCAGTGGGACATAGGGCACGTTCATGTAGCTAGGTTTATTATATATAGTTATTGCGGCTACTGACTGTCTCAAAAATTTTTACATCACTCACGCATCTGTTGCAGCTGTTATTGAATGTAAATTTCCTCTTTTTAGTGTCTCATTTTCCAAATTTTTTTTATGCTGAAGGGGTCCCTGTCCCCACTTGTTCAGTTTTTAGGGAAGAACACTTGACTAAGAAAAGAGAATATTCTTTGTGACGATAAGAACCATATGCTGAATGGAAGTTTCAGAATCTGCTTGGCCAATGTGCCCGAAATTTATGACATAATGAGAATAAGGTAGGCAATGACAGCAAACATTACGTGGTGGTTTTCTACAGCTGATGAATGAGGTGGTAGCTTATTTTTGTAGGGATTTAGGTGTTTATGTCGATAATTTTGTGTTTATGTAAACAGATTCAACCTATTTGTTGTTTCAAGTTTATGTTACGGTGGCTTCACTCCGTATTTGTGGTATAATATTTGCTGGTTGCACCATGATTGTGTCACTCTATACACATGAAAAACACATAAGCCCCACCCTTCTTTATTTCCATACCAATCTCATGAAAATCAGATCTTAGTTCTCGCTACCGCTAAACAAAGATCTGAGGACATCCCATTACGGGTCACATCAGACCGACCTTGCGCGAACTTTGACTGACCAATGGAATGACCAATCAGAAGGGAGGCTTTCTCGTGCTTTACGGCACTAATTTCAAATTGGCGACTACGTTTCGAAACATATTTTGACAAATTCTCGATTACAAATTTGAAACCTGAACAAAAGAACATTCTGGAATGGCTAATTGATGGTCTAGATTGTATGGATTTAATCATTAAACCCGTAACTATCATTCGGAGTTTTAAGTTTTTGAGGTTGCATGATTAGATATCACATTCCGACTGTCACTTTCATAATCTGGTAAGCCATGCTCTGATTGGTCGGATGAAAGATCGTTCTGACGTGACCCCTAATGGGATGTCCTCAGATCTTTGTTTAGCGGCAGCGAGAACTAAGATCTGATTTTAAGGAGATTGTTTCCATATATCCTGAACTTCCATCAATCTTTTACACATTGGTACAATGTGTGAAGCCCAGTTCTGGTGGCTCTGCCATGATATTGCTGGAATATTGCTAAAAGGGGCATAAAACAATAGTCACTCACTAACTCAATCTTTTGGATTGACCTAATTTTAAAATGTATGTCAAGATACTATAAATACCTGCTACAGTGTTGATATACGAACAGTTTCTCCTCATGGCTCATTCTCCTTAAAATCAGATCTTAGTTCTCGCTGCCGCTAAACAAAGATGTGAGGACATCCCATTACGGGTCACGTCAGACCGACCTTTCCCAAACTTTGACCGACCAATGGAATGACAAACAACTTACAAGTAGTTGATAATAGCCAATCAGAAGGCAGCTTAATCGAGCTCTACGGCACGAGTTTCAAACTGGCAATTACGCTTCGCATCATATTTTGACATATACTCCATTTAAAAAATTAAAACCTGAACAAAAGAACATTCTGTAATGGCTAATAGATGGTCTAGATTTTATGAATACCCAGATATACCCTGTGGGATTTTAATCGAGGTTGCATGATCAAAAATCACATTCCAACAGTCACTTTCATGATCTGATAAGCGATGCTCTGATTGGTCAGATGAAAGGTCATTCTGACATGACCCTCACTGGGATGTCTTCAAATCTTTGTTCAGTGGTAGCGAGAATGAAGATCTGATTTTAATGAGATAACCTCATGGCTGCACTTGATGGTTAATGAAACAAGGGCAGATGGAGCTATTGAATGGATAGTCTTATAACTAGCGCCATGGAACAACAAACACATCATTAGATCTTCAGTTTCTGTTTATATATGAGTATGTCACTTTGTAAACACATACACAGTCAAGTCATGATATGATTAAGAACAATGGCTATTTTACATGGAAATATATAAGGTCATTTATTCTGGGGTCGGGGAGTCTGAGGGAATCAGGGGAGGGTCACCAAAAATATAAGTCTCTAGGGAAGGGTCATGAAACATAATACATGTACACATATTTGAGGAGGGTCATGGCAAAATGGATGTTTTATAATAAAATGTAAAGTGCTTTTGCATTTTGTCTTTTTCAGGGAGGGTCACAATTTCTTATAAAGATATGGGGTGGGTCATCCAAAAATATGACAAGCTTTTAGCAAGGTAATTATTTTCATAAAATTAGAGTTTTAAAAAGATCTGACACCCCCACGTCGCCTGTAATAAATATGACTGGTCCCTATGTGGTGTTTTTTCTCAATTCAAGTGTAGATCTTGATAGTGATCATTACAATATTTCATAGCATCACAGGCAAAGGGCCCATGGGATTTCAGGACAGAATTGTATCATGCACTTGTAACTGGGGCATAGTTCAAGGTACTCATTCAATGGGAGTTTCTCATTTGAATCACATGCAGCACAATTATATCCCATAATTGTAGACCAACCTAACACAAGAACGCTGTATTTACATCGAGAATTACACAGATTTCCATAGGTTTGTGGGCACGGGTGGCCCAGTCGTCTAAGGCACTATGATTTGCTGTGCAGAGTTGCGTCCCTTGGGCACGCCAGAAACCTATGATTGTGGCTTCGAATCCCGATTATGTTTCTAGGTTTGTCAGCACCATACCCGTGCTCGTGGGTTTCACCGAAGTGGTAAACGTCTGAGACCTGCATCACTTCGGGCTTTCCTCCCACATTAAGCTGACACGCTGTGATGTAACTGGAATACTGTTAAAAGTGGCGTTAAACCCAACTCACTCACTCACTCACTATATCCTCCACATTGACCAGACGAGCAACAAGCCGTCGCAGCACAGCATATCTCAACGGTCATCGCATGGAACCCGCACGGACCACTCACTCACTCACTCCATGGGTTTGTGGAGCTTGAGAGGAAGTCACGTTTGTTCTTACTATTCCATAGAAATGGTGATACCGTAATTGTGGTAATAAGAGCTTTGGGAGCTTAGAAAATTGACAGAGGTGGGTGTCTATTTAGACCATACACAAGTTTCAATGTTGCAGATACCCCTTGCCGTGAAATATTGTGACTTGAAGAGACATTCATTCAGGGTCATCATCGTGGGATAAGCAGTTGTGGCGAGCAATTCTTGCTTTTTGTTTCAGGGTTTCAAAATGTTTAGATGACACAGGTGGGTTTGAATCCTGATTCGTCCTGTTTATATTCTTAGGTTTGTCATTGCCATGCCCAGTTTGGTGGGTTTCACCAAAGTGGTTAACGTCTTTGACCAGTTCAGGTTTGCCTCCCAGGTAGGCGCTAGTGAAAAATCTGATATATTGTGCAAAGAAGGGTTCAGCCAAACCCATTAGCTCAAACTATATAGTGATAATATAAGGGTAATGCTATTTTTCAGGGCATTATCATTTGCAGAAACCTAAGGTCTTTCATTAACGGCCCAATGAAGGAGGCCAGTTGAAAAGACCGAGGGCTTCTGCAAATGATAATGCCCTGAAAAATAGCGTTACCGATATTATAGCTAAAATGGATGGAATTTGTTATCAATTAAAAAGATAAATACAATATCGGTTTAGAAACATTTACTGCAATCAACACGAATGTCAATGACCACTTTTACAAATATAGAGACGTCATAAAACAAACCAGATGACGTCACAATTCAACCTGATGTCACCTATCCCTATCCTATCACGTCACCTTACAACGGCGTGATAATGCCCCCTCGTCAAGCAATATGAGGGCATTATCAAGTTACTGTGGCCCGCTGATTTCTGATAACATGGGATAATTCTATCCATTTTAGCTATAAATAGTAATAATGGTGCAATAGTTACATTCCAGACATATTTCACATTAGTATTGTACATAAAAAGGAGTGACAAATTTTGTATCATTGTACCATATTTGTATCAAATAAAACCTCATCTCTAAGATAACCAACTACTTTGTTGTGATTTTTCTTCTCACATGGACCCGGCCAAGTCGTGTTAGGCACTGCAGTTTGCAGTTCAGAGTTGCATCCCTTGGGCATGCCAGAATCCTCTAAAAACCTCATCTCTAAGATAACCAACTATACTAGCCACATAAAGAAACTGTGCACGGAGAAAATATAGATATAAGGGCACACCGTTCATATATGAAATATAGGTTTGAACACAGCAATTATTGGAGACATTCAAACGCTCATGCACGTGCCATGCGATATGACGTCATTGATGGGGGCCTATGGACGTGTAATGTGTTACTGCACGCACCCTGTGCAGCTGTACACAGCACGGCAACTCGAAATACGCTGTCACTTTGGAAAGCATGATCTGTGGTCATTCAAAAATTCAAAACTTCTCAGGCGCAGACACAAGCATATCATAAGCAAATCTTGCCAAGATTGACAGCTGCACAGCGTCATGAAGCCATTGGAATTGATCCGAGCGGGAATGAGGCAACAACAGGTGGCAACACATTTCCAATGCCATCGTAACACGATATCGGCATTGGTGAGGCGTTATCAGAACACAAATGACGTTGCCGACCACCCACGTTCAGGACGTCCCCGAGTAACGACGCCAAGACAGGACAGATGGATTCGAGTTACACATCTCCGACACAGGTTCCAAACGGCACTGGACTGCGCCGTATCCACCCCAACACTGTCAGGAATCGTTTACGTCAGTACGGGATTCGACCACGACGCCCTGCCATACGTCCCATTCTGAAACACCGTCATCGAGTCAACCGTCTAAGATGGTGTCGAAATCATGTTCGCCAACCTCGAATATGGTGGAGAAATGTTGTCTTTACAGATGAATCGAGGTTCAACATTTCCCACAGTGACGGGCGCCAACGTGTCTACCGGCATTTGGGAGAACGTTATGCACGCAACTGTATTGTGGAGAGGAATCGTTTTGGACGTGGCTCTGTGATGATTTGGGGTGGGATAACAGCACGGCACCGAACCCCTTTGGTGGTTGTTCAGGGCAATCTCACCGGTGTTGGCTACAGATATCAGATTCTGAGGCCTGTGGTCATTCCTTTCCTGCAACGTCATGGCCCGGGATTGACATTTCAACAGGACAACGCTCGTCCTCACACGGCTAGGGTCGCAATGGATTTCCTTCACCATAACAATGTCATGTTACTGCCATGGCCTGCAAATTCTCCAGATCACTCCCCAATAGAGCATGTGTGGGATGAAATGGAGCGCCGTCTGCGTCGTCTTCCACATCCTCCAGATAACGTCCGTGACTTGGCACAGGATTTGAGGAGGATATGGCAGGCCATTCCCCAGACCTTCCATGCCCATTTGGTGGACTCCATGCGTCGCCGATGCACTGCTGTGATTCACGCACAGGGTGGTCATACCCGTTATTGACTTTGTGACTTTGTCGTTTGACCCCCTACTCCATTTTGATCTTCTGACGTCATCGTAACAGATGTTGTTCAGGTCCCGTTGACATTTTCTTATGGTCTGATCATTCAGCTGCTACAGCGTCTGCATCATTTTGTTCTTGCTGTGTTGTATTTCAATCCAGAATATATTTTCTCCGTGCACAGTTTCTTTATGTGGCTAGTATACTTTGTTGTAATTTTTCTTGTCTCATGGGCCCGGCCAAGTCGTGTTAGGCACTGCAGTTCGCGGTGCAGAGTTGCATCCCATGGGCATGCCAGAATCCTCTAAAAACCTCATCTCTAATATAACCAACTACTTTGTTGTGATTTTTCTTGTCTCATGGGCCCGGCCAAGTCATCTTAGGCACTGCAGTCCGCAGTTCAGAGTTGCATCCCTTGGGCATGCCAGAATCCTCTAATTCTTTTAAATCCTCTATCTCTACCTCTATTATATCATTGCCATAAATCATGTATTTTGGCTGCAATCACACAAACTAATCTCCAGAATTTTCAACAGAAGTCCTCTTCACTGTCAACCACACATAAGTAGTTGTCAAGACATTAGGAACGCCAATCAACATCTAGATCTTTAGCTTGTCAATGCCGGAAAACCTCATTTCTTTGCATGTGTGTGCTAGAGTCCTCTAGCACTTAGGGACCAACCATTTGATATGGGTGGGGGTCGGGGGTGGATTTTATGGAGCCGCTGGATAAGCCTCGGCCGTACCACCGTATGAGGGAGCTAGAGAGCTGGAAGCCAGTCAGCTTTATTTCACCAAGAATCACATACGGCACGGTCACCGCACGGTCACCAAGACCGTGGCGAGGAGAGCCACCCATGTATCCTCCAGGGGGGCACGGGTGACCCAGTCGTCTAAGGCGCCGCAATTCGCTGTGCAGAGTTGCGTTTCTTGGGCACGCCAGAAAATGTGTTCAATGTGTTAAGTCCTGGTGTCTATTGATGAAGGTGACACAAGACCCTACTTTCATAGTGAAGGGGGTCCAACAACAAGAGGGGGAACGGGTGGCCCAGTCGTCTAAGTCGCCGCGATTTGCTGTGCAGAGTTGTGTCCCGTGGGTACGCCAGAAACCTATGATTGTGGGTTCGAATCCCGGTTTGCCCCGATTATGTTTCTCGGTTTTTCAGCACCATACCCGTGCTCGTGGGTTTCACCGAGGTGATAAACGTCTGAGACCTGCATCACTTCGGGCTTTCCTCCCACATTAAGCTGACACGCCACGATATGACTGGAATACTGTTAAAAGCGGCGTTAAACCCAACTCACTCACTCACTCACTATATCCTCCACATTGACCAGACGAGCAACAAGCCGTCGCAGCACAGCATATCTCAACGGTCATCGCATGGAACCCGCACGGACCACACAGGAGCCAAGCCAACGTCCGTTACCAGATCCTCACGGTCACCGCAAGGTTCCCGTATGGGTTCTTCTAAGCCCAAGCCAAAGCCCATGGACTCTTGAGCGTCTGAGAAGCACTCAAATTCGGCTACCGATGACAGCTGGGATAAGGACCCTAGAGAAGACAATCAAGACCAACCCGACAGTTCGGGAACCGTTCCATACAGATTAGAGTCTTACTTTCCACGGACCTTAATCCTCCCCGAGTCGTGATCACCCTCCGACGATGACACGCGGGATGATGACATGGGTCCTTTGATTGATCCAGCTGCCATACGCCAGGCTTTATCACCCCCAAGGTTTACCTCTGACCCTACAGATTCAGAGGAAGTTGAAGAAACTTTCGATTCACCTGATTATGGTCCGTCAGGATATTTTTCAACTTCATTTCTCTACCTCGGAGCAAATTGAACAGCCGTGTCATCTAATACCTCTGATACAACCGAAATCGGGGACGTCCTAGCTGTCATACGCACAGAACTGTTTTACCAGCTTTAAGGGACGGCATTGTAGCCTAGTGGTTAAAGCGTTTGCTCGTCAGGCCGAAGACCCGGGTTCGATTCCACACATGGGTATAAAGTGTGAATTCCATTTCTGATGTCCCCCACCGTGATATTGCTGGAATATTGCTGAAAGCGGCGTAAAACCACACTCACTCACTTTACCAGCTTAAATAGTAACAGCGACCAGAAGGTTAGCAACAACGAAATTACTCTCCTAGGTAGATGCAGAAGGTTAGTAAATATTACTTATTAAATTAGTATAATTCACTACTTAAACCACATTGTAAAATAATGTGTTAAGAATGTAAACACATAAAGACATGTTTAGGAATGCGCGTCAATCCTAAACGGTACGCACATCTGGTGTGTTCTGTCTAAACACGTTTAGGCTCTAAACACATGAAATGAGCTATCGCCTCATAGCCTAAACACCACATCACCCCAATCAAAACTTATTTAGATTGGGGGTGGGGGGGGTGGGGGGTGGGGGGGGGGGGGGGGGGGGGGGGTGGGGGGGCAGTTGCCCCCTTGGATTTTTGTAAGTTGGGGACAAGTGATACTTGTACAAATATTTGCCCTCCCTGTCAAAAAAAGTTAACTACGGCCTTGATCACACATATACCACCAGGACTAAAAACAAACTTGATTATGTTTCTCTAGGTCTGTCAGTACCATATCTGTGCTCGTGGGTTTCATCAAAGTGGTACACGTCTGAAACCTGCATAATTTTTAGCTTTCTTTCCACATTAAGCTGACACGTCGTTACATAACAGGAATATTTTTAACAGTATTCCAGCTATATCACGGCGTGTCAGCTTAATGTGGGAGGAAAGCCCGAAGTGATGCAGGTCTCAGACGTTTACCACTACGGTGAAACCCACTTGCACGGGTATGGTGCTGACAAACCTAGAAACATAATTGGGGCGAACCGGGATTCGAACACACAATCATAGGTTTCTGGCGTGGCCAAGGGACGCAACTCTGCACAGCGAATTGCGGCGCCTCAGACGACTGGGTCACCCGTGCCCCCTCCTCTCTGTACCAACCGAAAACGTTATGCACACACATGAATGACATGTTTGTTTCTATCAATGAAATAAAACATTGACATTCCTCCTGATATGTTTTCATTCACATAGTTTAAAAAGTGCTCTCTACGTCACCAGTTTGATACCATATGCCAGAGAAAGTGATCGAGCTACCCAGTCTGTCTGTGAATTGTTGTTCGTTAGCGCGATCTGTGACGCATAGTCTGTCTTACAGACCCTGATACAAATATATATCAAATACAGCCCATGCAAGTCTATAATGTTTGGCAAGTCTAGATCACTGCAGTATCAGGAAAATGAAGAGAGTCACTGGGCTCCTTTTTATTATATTTTTATTAAGATAACTAAACAACTGTTTTTTTATGTACGATATGTTCATTTCAGAGACTAGATTTTAGTCTATGTGACGCACAGCTGAAAAGATAGATAACTCTTGGGGTCTTGGGAGCTCTGGAACCCAGAGATAAAATAGTCGAATGCACTGAGGCATCACACAGAACTCCCAAGAAAGAGCTCACAATCCATTTTCAATCCATCTTACTGACCCCGTTGCTGGTTCCTCCTCAAAATGTCAAGGATCATATTTTTTATATCTCCCTAGGGAAGAAGTGATCTCATCTAGAGCTATAATTGTTTGGGTTTTTTTAACAATTAGTGCAAATGTTACATCACTATGGCAATGAGGAAATATACGCCTAAAAAATTAAGAAAAGCCCGCTTCGTTACATAAAGAATATTAATACATAAAAGATAAGTATGTCTATATATTCATATGCACACGGATATTATACTTCATGAAGAAAGTCGAAAGCATTTGCTACCAAGCTGTACAATTCTCTTTTTTAAATTTGACCTTCAGATGAGAGCTTAAACTATCCCCGTGCATAAAACCTGACATTCACCGTTACCACGTATACTAATGGCCGATAACAACCGAGCGCCGCGCTACCCTCTTCGCTTAGTGAAACCGCGCAGGATTTGTTGTTATTTGTAAAGATGCACAGTCCAATAAAACCCGTGCACTGCAGAACCTGCATCGGGAGCTTCCATATACGGTGCCCTGGTATGGTGAGAGTTAGTGTGTCGATGGTTTTGCCATCGTTCAAAACTATGTAGCAGCTGGTGGATGTGTACTTCTATCACCGGGCACAGCGCTCGCACATGAAGCAGCTAATAGTGACTATATCCTCAGTGGGCCGTTAACAAGTTTTAGTTGGGAGATCTCGCAACGCGGAAAGCACTGCGCAGTAATGGTGCTGGAGTTTTTCTGGATAGTACTTCTCTGCGGCACAGGTTAGTCATTGATGTGCATTTCACGATCTATTGTGCCACAGTATACTTATTTGCACTGAGTTCGTGTATCATATCTACCATATTTACCATAGCTACATATGACACGATTTGATGTTGGCTATTAAAATATCCATATATACAATATTTCAATGTCATGTTCTCGCTACCGATTTTAATAACATTGTTGGTATAAGAACTTTTGTCGTGTGTTTTCAACAGGAATGCATATGTCAGAACAAAACAAGCCAATTTCTAAAAAAAATAGGAAAGGTCTGATATGGAGAGGGTGCGCTATTTGGGTTCAGAGTTTTCTGTATCACATGTTAATACCGTTGTGTCGAACATTGACGTGTCGAACTTATGGTTGTCTCGATGTAAAAGCTTGGTCACTGCATGCGTATTCTTTATTTATTTATCATGTTCGGTTGTGTCGAACCTCGGTTAACTCGAAGTATTTACGTAGGTTCCTTCAACTTCGACACAACGGTATTTGACTGTAGATGCTTGTAGGGTTTTATACCATACATCAACAAGATTATACACATGGATACATACCCATGCTCATAAATATAGCCACGTCTATACAAAGAGATGACAATAGTTGTGAGGTGAAATTGGGTTTAACGTCGCGTCCAAGATCATTGCACTTGTATACCGACGTGCATGGTGTATGTGTGTGTCTGCTTGTACTAGTCCGGACTGATGCCGATTTATAGTGCTAGTACATTGAGATACCATGCCGCAGTTTAACAAGAACACCCCACTGACACACAGTATTCTGACTCCGAGCCGACCAGTCCTTGTAAAAGCCCCTTAATGCCGAACGCCAGACAGGGTAACATCTTTTAACGTGTTTTAGTATGACGCGGCTGGGGATCGAACCCCGGACCTTCCGCTCTCCGGGCGGACGCTCTACCACTAGACCACGGAGGCGGTACCAATAGTTATGAAAATGGATACATATAGTCACGGCTCAACTGGTTAATCTGAAGACAGGTGAGAGATGACGCTATTCACAGTAAAATGAACGCATGGGCTTATCACCGGGTCGACATGACCTCGTTCACACGCCCCTCCCCTCCGCCCCTGAACATATTCAACTCTCACTGTATACTTGTATACCAGAGCAACAGCAAGGACGTTATCTGAGCCATTGCTCATTACAGTTCCAATACACGCGTATCAGTCGACCAAGATTAACGAAGGGTTAACAGACTGTATGGAATGTTTAACATGACACTGATCAGTCATTACAAACAAACAAACAAACAAACACACATGTCGACATGACTTATCACGTGGTGAAATTCTCGCGTGACCCGGGTGCCGTTATATGCCATTGTCTAAACATTTCATAGGAGAGGAGCGTGTCAGATAGTCATCGCCAAGTTTTACGCTCATTTGACCTTGAACCTCCAGCATCTACTGTCTGGGGGATGCCACATGGCATGGGCTTGTTTGTAATACTGTGAGGCTCGGCGTGTGAAGAATGTTGTTTTTCAGTCAGTCAGTCAGTCAGTCAGTCGGTACTATTTCACACTGTTCCCCAAAATAATGAGGCTGCGGGGTAGCTTAGTGGTTAAGACGCTCGCTTCTCATGCAGAAGGCCCGGGTTCGATTTCCTGCATGTACATTGTGTGAAACGTATTGTTGGTATTTCTTCGCCATGACATTGCTGGAATATTGCTAAATTGCTACGCACCACTCAACAACAGTGATCATTGTAACAGACGATATAACACAACATTATCTGATATGCATACATCCTTGTAACATACTATATAACACAACACTATTTGATATGCATACATCCTTGTAACAGACTATATAACACAACACTATTTGGTATACATACATCCTTGTAAGAGACTATATAACTCAACACTATTTGATATGCATACATCCTTGCAACAGATTATATAACACAACACTATTTGGTATACATACATCCCTGTAACAGACTATATAACTCAACACTATTTGATATGCATACATCCTTGCAACAGATTATATAACACAACACTATTTGGTATACATACATCCTTGTAACAGACTATATAACACAACACTATCTGAGATAAACATACATCCTTGCAACAGATTATATAACACAACACTATTTGGTATACATACATCCTTGTAACAGACTATATAACACAACACTATCTGAGATAAACACATCATTGGAACAGGCTATATAACACAACACTATATGATCTACATACATCCTTGTAACAGACTATATAGCACAACACTGTGTGATATACATACATCATTGTAACAGACTATATAACAACACTATCTGAGATACATACATCCTTGTAACAGACTATATAACACAAGACATCTCAGTTCAACGATACTCATGCTAGACAAGCAAGCTACCTTTCCGATTGATTTCTCAGAGACGTACGTGAGCGGGGTAATAATTGCCCGCTCCTTAACCAACCAGAAGCTTGTTATTTAATGTAAGGTGAGATAAACATGAATGTCTAGCATATACAGTGTAAACGTGCACATGTTTTGGCAAGCCCTGCACATTACATCGCAAAGCACGTCTTCCCAAAAGAAACAGGGCCGCATCTGTGTTTACAAGTCCTTCGGGAAGCCTTGATAATTGTGGCACTCAAACACTCAAGGTCGTTAGAAATAAGTCTAGGTTTCTTCATGTAAAATTGTTTAAATATAAGTTGACTCAGTCACAAAAATACAGAAGTTTCTTTTGGAGATATTTTGTTGCAAGAACAGGTATGCATGTGTACTGCTTATACTTTCATATGGAAGAGTGAGTGATTGAGTGAGTATGATTTTACGCCGCTTTTAGCAATATTCCAGCAATATCACGGCGGGGGACACCAGAAATGGGCTTCACACATTGTGCCCATGTCGGGAATCGAACCCGGGTCTTCGGCGTGACGAGCGAACGCTTGAACCACTAGGCTACCCGACCGCCCTCATATGGAAGAGGTTGGCACGGAAGTCTATAGAATGTGGCGTGTTTGGTGGAGTATAAATATTCAAATCTCTATTTAACTTCTGCTTTGCGTTAAGTTCTGCACAAAAGCTAGGCGCTGGCGTAGCCACGTTTGCTCGTCACGCGGAAGTTCCTGGTTCGATTTCCGTACATGGGTACAATGTGTGAAGCCCATTTCGGGTGTCCCCTGCCGTGATACTGCCGGGATCTTACTAAAAGCGACATCAAACCATACTCACTCACTCACTTCACAAATACATGCGCGTCATATGATTGAGATTCTCGTGAGTCTTGCCTATGTGAGTGAGTGAGTTTGGTTTAACGCCGCTTTTAACAGTATTCCAATTACATCGCGGTGTGTCAGCTTAATGTGGGAGGAAAGCCTGAAGTGATGCAGGTTTCAGACGTTTACCACTTCGGTAAACCCACAAGCACGGGTGTGGTGCTGACAAACCTAGAAACATAATCGGGGCGAACCGTGATTCGAACCCACAATCATAGGTTTCTGGCGTGCCCAAGGGACACAACTCTGCACAGCGAATCGCGGCGCCTTAGACGACTGGGCCACCCGTGCCACCGAGACTTGCCTATGGCAACACATGTTGAGTGATGTACGTTGTGAGCTTGATATATCGGTACAACAGCTGTCAGTGCGGCACATTCTCTGCCAAACAGACAAACTGACACTGAGTATTGGTATCCCCGGCAGAACAGAACTGTCGGGTAAAAGAAGGTCTATGCTTGAAAATCGGATTGGTACGGAAGCCTTTTAGGGCCATTTGTTTTGTTTTTTCATTTTTTTCTTGAAATTTCAAGATACTAACTTAAATTTTCGAAGTTGACATTTCAAGATACATACTAAGTTAAACTTTCAACTTATCTTGACATTTCAAGATAATTATTTTGACATTTCAAGATCATTATCTTGAAATTTCAACTTTCGTATCGTGAAATTTCAACATAGCATCTTGAAATTTCAAGATACTAAGTTGAAAGTTCAAGTTATAATCTTAAAATTTCAAGACATTACCTTGAATATAACATAACGATATCAGGCCAGTATCTTGAAATTTCAATAAAAACATTAAAAAAATGCCCTGTAGGCTTCCTTAGATTGGACCAAAACATTACAAATGTTGAAACACTACAAACCTTAGGTATAAAAACACAACTATGACACTCGCATCAAATACATCACCCGCGAATAACCTTTTCGTATTTGTTTCAAATTGGTCTTCAGCAACCCAAACTTGTCCTAAGAGGCGACTAACGGGATTGGCTTGCTGACCTAGTTGATGCATGTCATCGTATCCCAATTACGTATAGATCGATGTGCATGATGTCAATCACTGGATATTCTGGTCCAGACTCGATGATTTACAGACCGCCATCATATAGTTAGAATATTGCTGAGTGCGGCGTTAAACAACAAACAAACAAAAAACAAAAACTCCTATCTGTCGAAAGGATAGTCAACAGCCATACGTTCTTTACGTTTTCGGAGTGTGACGTTAAACAACAAACAAACAAACAATAATCAATGTTAGCCACCATCCGGTAGTTTAGTTCCCGAAAGTAAACAAGAGACGTGCCCATGTTATATTCTTAGAATCAGAAATCTACTAAGTCATGCACGAAGAGTGGCACCAAATAATGGTCCCATGTAAAACCAGTAATTAACTCGTGAAATATTTACAAGAAATGTAGACATATCATGTGGAATATGAGAACAGTATATATGTTACACCCAATCCGTGCTACTTCCCACTGCGTGCATTGGCCATATGCCCAATGCACGCAATGGTCAATACAGCTTGCCAAATGCACGCAATGAGCAATACAACTTGCCCAATGCACGCAATGAGCAATACAACTTGCCCAATGCACGCAATGGGCAATACAGCTTGCCCAATGCACGCAATGGGCAATACAGCTTGCCCAATGCACGCAATGAGCAATACAGCTTGCCCAATGCACGCAATGGACAATACAGCTTGCCCAGTGCACGCAATGAGCAATACAGCTTGCCCAATGCACGCAATGAGCAATACAGCTTGCGCAATGCACGCAATGAGCAATACAACTTGCCCAATGCACGCAATGGGCAATACAGCTTGCCCAATGCATGCGATGGACAGTAACGTGTATGGTGAGGTGAGGTGAAATGGGGTTTAACGTCGCGTCCAAGATTATTGCACTTATATAGCGACGTGAATGCACGTGTATGTGACTGCTTGTACTAGTCCGGACTGATGCCGATTTATAGTGCTAGCACACTGAGATACCATGCCGCAGTTTAACATGAATACCCCACTCAGACACAGTATACTGACTCCGAGCCGACCAGTCCTTGTTTTAGCCCCTTAATGCCGAGCGCCAGACAGGGTAACAACAAGTACCATCTTTTAACGTCTTTTGGTATGACGCGGCTGGGGATCGAACCCCTGACCTTCCGCTCTCCGGGCGGACGCTCTACCATTAGACCACGGAGACCACTTGTATACCGACGTGCATGGTGTGTGTGTGTGTCTGCTTGTACTAGTCCGGACTGATGCCGATTTATAGTGCTAGTACATTGAGATACCATGCCGCAGTTTAACAAGAACACCCCACTGACACACAGTATACTGACTCCGAGCCGACCAGTCCTTGTTAAAGCCCCTTAATGCCGAGCCCCAGACAGGGTAACATCTTTTAACGTCTTTTCGTATGACGCGGCTGGGGATCGAACCCCGGACCTTCCGCTCTCCGGGCGGACGCTCTACCATTAGACCACGGAGGCGGTCCAGTAACGTGTATGAGTTTTAAAATCTTATTCACAGAAGTCAAAAGGACCAAGTTATTTTATAAGGACAATAATTATATCGACTCAAATTAAGAGAGTTTGTTAAAACATATAGTGATGCTTGTTAAAAACAAGATATGTAAAACAATACCAATTTCAATTGCGTGCTTTGGGCAGAACAATTACCTGCCCACTGCGTGAAATGAGCAAGCTGGTTGCCCATTGCGTGAAATATTTGGAGAGTTAGTTTTCTTTCGCAACTATTGCCCATTGCATGCAATGAGCAGATAATTGTTTGCACATTGCGTGCATTGGTCAAGCTGTATTGCCCATTGCACGCATTGAGCAAACGGCCTGCCCAATGCACGCAATGGACAGTTGCACAGATTGTGTGTAACATATATACAACTATTCCCGAAGATATAGGCACTACGCGCATACAAACACGTATTACGCTACCAAAGCTTATTGATGAGACTGTTTACCCCGTTTTGGTACCAGGTGAGTGAGTGAGTGAGTTTGATTTTACGCCGCTTTTAGCAATATTCCAGCAATATCACGGCGGGGGACACCAGAAATGGGCTTCACACATTGTACCCATGTTGGGAATCGAACCCGTGTCTTCGGCGTGACAAGCGAACGCTTTAACCACTAGGCTACCCGACCGCCCTTTTTGTACCAAGATTCAGGTGTCTATTTAGAGGATATTCGGTACTCGGTAGTGTGGTACTCGGGAGATGCAAATAAAATCGTATTTGGTTCTCAGATGCAACGTTTAAAAAGATATAATGGTGTATAAAGGTGTACAAATATTTTATTTTTTAGTTATTTTTTCAGTAATTTAACTTCAAATCACACCCTTTTCATGGTCCTTGAGATTTGTGTTAAGTAGTATTAGGGATGCAGGGGTGATATTAGTTGGTATTCGGGGGCTGGATGCAGCACCCTCATTAACTGATACAAGACCTGTTCAAGATGTGGCAGCTGTTTGTTATACTGTAAACCTTCTTACGGCGTTATTCCTGATTTTACCAAAATACAATAAAACAAAACAAAGCCAGAGTTACATTTTAGAAACAAAATATCAGATATACTCAGTGAGCACGGGTGGCCCAGTCATCTAAGGTGCCGCGCTTCGCTGTGCAGAGTTGCTTCCCTTGGGCACGCCAGAAACCTATGATTGTGGGTTCGAATCCTGGTTCGCCCCGATTATGTTTCTAGGTTTTTCAGCACCACACCCGTGCTCGTGGGTTTCACCGAAGTGGTAAACGTCTGAGACCTGCATCACTTCGGGCTTTCCTCCCACAGTATGCTGACACGCCGTGATATAACTGGAATAATGTTAAAAGCGGCGTTAAACCCAACTCACTCACACTCACTCACATATAAGCATTTGTGTTTTTTAAGTGATAAAATACTGAATATATTTATCTGAAAATATAGAATTGATATTTCACTCGAAATATTTCACCGATTATGTCGGAATTACTTTCAGTCTGCATCAGTGACATTATAATTTTCAGAGCAAGATAATGAACATCGTTATGAAAATACAAAATAAACAGAATATGTCTTTTTTTTGGCACATGACATATTTTATCTCATCTCGTGACCTGAAAAAGTTGACATTTGCACTCGTGAAAATTGTCATTTTGACAGGTCTCTCAATGGAAGGACTGACGAATAGCCTATATAAATGTCAAACGTAATATAATAATGATGCGATTGGAATAAGCCGCCACGATGGTGAAATGGTGCGAAATCCCAGCTGGGAATCCAACGATGTCACGTGTTGATTCATGCAAATACTATTTCCTGACGGTGTATCTTGTGTGAACCGCGTCGTCCCATACGACCTGTGGTGGCAGACACGCGGAGGCATGGCATGTCACATATATTTGTAACTTTAAGCATTGATCGGAAATAGACAGAAAGAGCGTTAAGCCTACACATATTACTGTGATGAATAGACTGCACTAAACAACATAGATTTTTCCTTGGCCAACGCAACATGTGTTCAAAAGAATCAATGAATATTGTCTTGAGAGAAGCGTGATTTCTTTCACCTGGAAAATGTGAACGGAAACAGACTTTGCAAGGGCGGGTCCAAAATAACAAATTCCTCTCTCAGTCAATTTTATTGCCTACAATATATTACATTTGGTTTTCAGAAGGGGCGGACCCCTGGGTGGGTATTCTGACCACAAACCAAAAATTATTATCAGGGTTAATCTTGGATTCGAACCCGTGACCATATGGGTTAGGCATAACACATAAAACCGGTACTTAGAGACCGCGAAAACGTAAAGAACGTAATGGCTGTTGACTATCCTCTCGACAAATTGAGTTTTTGTTTTTTGTTTGTTTGTTGTTTAACGCCGCACTCAGCAATATTCCAGCTATATGACGGCGGTCTGTAAATAATCGAGTCTGGACCAGACAATCCAGTGAATGACATCATGAGCATCGGTCCACTCAGATGGGATACGACATGCATCAGCCAAGTCTGCGAGCCGTCTCTTACGACAAGCGCTTAGTCGCCTTTTACGGTACGCATGGGTTGCTGAAGACCTATTCTAACCCGGATCTTCGACAGATACGGGATGATACAACATTAGTGTAGGCAATATAATATACATGTATATTATCAACAATTTCTGTCTGCTGCAGTGTCCATTGGTGCAGATATAAGCGACTACACGGTCAACATCACGACGACGGACTCTACACCTACGCGGGGCAACTCCACCGTTGATCTGAAATGCACGTATACGGGTGAAGCGCTGTCGGTGACAATCGACAGGATGAGGAGGGCTGATGGGTCGTGGAAGGCCCTGGCCCGCTTCAGCATCTCCAGGAATACATCCCAACTTGAAGGAAGTGGCCTTGACCTTAAAGCCAGAGCTGAATTGTCTATGGCGAATGGATCTGTGAGCTTAAACCTCCATAGTACACAATGCAACGACACTGCAAAATATAAATGTCAGATCATGCCTAGCAGTGATGAAAGGCTTGCTATCTACAGTACGACGTCAATAGATGTGTTGGGTAAGTAGCACCTTGTGAGGGTTTGTTTGTTTGCACCCAGCAATATTCCACCTATATGACGGCGGTCCGTAAATAATCAAATCTGGACCAGACAATCAAGTGATTGACATCATGAGAGTCGATCCACGCAATTGGGATACGATGACATGCATAATCAACCAAGTCAGCGAGCCTGACCACCTGAACCCGTTAGTCGCCTTCTGAGTGAGTGAGTGAGTGATTGAGTGAGTGAGATGGGTTTAACGCTGAATTGAATAGTATTCCAGTTATATCCCTGGACCCACTTGCACAAAGCGATCTTAGCGCTAAGATGATCGTAATTCCCATACTTTAACATAGGCTTACAATAGTCTTAGCGCTAAGATCGCTTTGTGCAAGTGGACCCTGGTGTCAGCTTAAGGTGTGAGGAACGTCCCAAGTGATGCAGGTCTCAGTCGTTTACCACTTCGGTGCAACCCACGAGCAAGGGTATGGTGCTGATAAACCTAGAAACATAATCGGGGCGAACCGGGATTCGAACCCACAATCATAGGTTTCTGGCTTGCCTAAGGGGCGCAACTCTGCACATTTCTGGAGATTCGAACATGTGCTCGCAACTTTTGGACGCTATTTTTGAGAGGGAAGTGTTTGGTGAGTTGCTGCCCGTACATGTAGCTGGGCAACACAGATAAAAGAAATAGCAGAACGATGGCACCCAAAAGTAGGAGAGATATGACAATCGGTATTGGGAGAAAAGGTACAGATAATTCACATGAAAATTATTAGAATACCAAACTTATCCCCCCAGTACATAAAATGGAGAGTAGACTATCTGGATCGGGTGGTCAGGTTTGCCGACTTGGTTGATGCACGTCAATGTATCCCAGATCGTTGCTCATCATGTCAATCACTGGATTGGCTGGTCCAGACTCCATCGTTTTTCAGACCGCCATCATATGGCTGGAATATTGCTGAGTGAGAAACAAACAAAGCACAGGCTGTCTGCCATACTTTATGTAGAAGGGCAATAATTGCTATTGGTAACAGTGAGTGAGTGAGTGAGTTGGGTTTAACGCTGCTTTTAACAGTATTCCAGTTATATCAGGGCAGCTATTGGTAACAAATACAAGTGAATTAATGTATTGATATTTGTGTATTCCAGATGAGGTTGGGGAGCCCTGTGGAGCTCCATGGCACACCATCAGCGTTCTACACCTAGGCATCCTCCTCTTGGCCAAATCGCTGCTGATGTAAATGTACCCTCATTGTACACAGTCACCATCATCATCATAAAATTATACAATAGTTGCTCAGTGTCTGTAGTGTATAGTGAGTGAGTGAGTGAGTGAGTGAGTGAGTGAGTGAGTGAGTGAGTGAGCTGCATTACTACAAACACACTCTTTGTTTGTTTGTTGTTTAACGCTGCACCCAGCTATATGATGGCGGTCTGTAAATAATCGAGTCTGGACCAGACAATCCAGTGATTGACATCATGAGCATTGATCCATACAATTGGGATACAATGACATGCATCAACCAAGGTTGTGAGCCTGACCTAATTGATATTCCTGTGAGACTTGCCTATGAGTGAGTGAGTTGGATTTACCCTGCTTTTAACAGTATTACAGTTATATCATGGCGTGTCAGCTTAATGTGGGAGGAAAGCCCGAAGTGATGCAGGTGTCAGACGTTTACCACTTCTGTGAAACCCAGAAGCATGGTATGGTGCTGGCAGACCTAGAAAAATAATCGGGGCAAACTGGGATTCGAACCCATAATCATAGGTTTCTGATGTGGCCAAGGGACACAACTCTGCACAGCAAATCACGGCGCCTTAAGACGACTGGGCTACCCGTCACCCTACCTCTTACAAGAATAGTCGCCTCTTACAAGAATGGGTCACTGAAGACCTCTTCTAAACCTAATCAATATATCAATATAACATGATACTTTTGAGTTGATACATCACTGCTAAATGTTTTAATCAATGACACAGCTCATTCAAGCTATATTACCACAGCCTGTAAATAATCAAGGCAGACAAACCAGTGGTCGATATAATGAGCAACATTGTCTGAGTACGATGTCAGTCTGACCACTTGTGTCTAGTGGATAGAGCATCTGCCTTGAGTCTAATACATCAGTCCCCTGGCCATGCCATTCAAAAAAAAAGATGTTGGTCAAATCTGGCCCAGACAATCCAGTGATTGACATCGATCCACGCAAATGGTATACGATGACATGCATCAACCAAATCAGCGAGCCTGTCCACCCGATCCCTTGGTCGCCTCTTACAAACAATATGGTACTTGGAATGTGTAATGTGGCCTGACTAGGTTCCTATTAGCCCATTTTAATAATGACCGCAAAATAACACAACTTTTGAAACTGTTTGACAACTTTATTTCTCAACAAACTTTCACATGAACCAATATTTGTACTGACTTCATAGCATCAACAAACTTCAACAAACAAACTGGTGCAAACAAACCCATTTTATAGAAGCATCGGAATCAGGTGGCTTATTAACGTTTTACTGTTTTACGGAAACCATTGATAAATAAGAGTGAGTGAGTGAGTGAGTTGTGTTTAACGCTGCTTTTAACAGTATTCTAGTCATATCAGGGCGTGTCAGCTTAATGTGGAAAGGAAAGCCCGAAGTGATGCAGGTCTAAGACGTTTACCACTTCGGTGAAATCGACGAGCACGGGTATGGTGCTGACAAACCTAGAAACATAATCGGGGCGAACAGGGATTCGAACCCACAATCATAGGTTTCTGGCGTGCCTAAGGGACGTAACTCTGCACAGTGAATTGTGGCACCTTAGACAACTGGGCCACCCGTGCCCCCTGATAAATAAGACAGTGCCACGCCCAGACAGTTCAGTCTCAGCCCTACAAATGCCTGTAACAGTCGCTGCATCCTCATCAGTGAGATGCACAGAAGGCCACTCTGTACAGTATTTCAGCTATCACAGTGTGTCAGGTTATGTGGGTAGCAAGCCCAAAGTGATGCAGGCGCTAAGACTTTACCACTCTGGTGAAACAAAAGTTTCTGGTGCTGAGTGAGTGAGTGAGTATGGTTTTACGCCGCTTTTAGCAATATTCCAGCAATATCACGGCGGGGGACACCAGAAATGGGCTTCACAGATTGTACCCATGTCAGGAATCGAACCCGGGTCTTCGGCATGACGAACGAACGCTTTAACCACTAGGCTACCCTACTGCCCCATTTTCTGGTGCTGACAAACCAGAAATGATAACTTTGCACTCCACAGTCCAGATCTTGACTTAAACTGAACAAACCGTGGGCAGTCCATGTCTCGCAGTTTCTTGAATAGAGCCCTATTCCACAACGCGGCTGTAGCGCTACGACAGTTTTAGCCTATGTTAAAGTATGGGAGTTAGGATCATCTTAGCGCCACAATCGTTTTGTGGAACGAGACCCAGGATGCAGTTTTTTGTACATTGCAAACCTCTACACCCTGGCTGTGCTGGTAACGCTAACATATGTCTTACTTCAGAGCTCCAGATAAGCTTTTGGTGTTGTGGGTATTTTACCCATGCATTTTAAAATCATTGGGTATCAGTTATTCTTTCTGCGTATTCAAATTTCTGTTAACCACTAGTTTTTACACATGTGGGTATTTAAGTTAAATATTTAAAAACTCTATTCATCTAGTCCCTACAAACTGGTGTCGTGTGGGTTGGAGAGCTTTATAGGACTAAAAAATACCACGATACTTCCACAAGAAAGTGTGATGGCAAATGATCATGATGTAACTGTCATCGTGGAGTTTGGCAAGGTTGACGAATGCCCGTTTATAATTTCAAAATAAGTTGCTGATTTGCTAATCGTATACGCAGGGTTACTTCACAATATTTTGATGATACGCACAAGTTTGATTTTTGTAGCGTATCTGTAATGTTCGTTGCGTATTTGATACGCTTAGATTATATTTTACTGTGTATTTCTGCATTTCGGATGCGTATTTCACGCAGATACGCAGCTTATCTGGAGCTCTGTACTTTCATGTAAACCCATAACAAGCAGCCTCTGTACATTAGCAATTAGCAAAATATCACATCATATCTTGAATAAACTGTTTAAGCCACAAGATAAAGCTTCAACCTTCACTCAGGGTATCAACACGTTTTTCATGTGGCCTAGGGAACATTTGCTAGACTACTCCAAAGCATCATTTTTTCCACAAACCAGATGGATAGATTTGACTTAGAAATCACTACTGGTTGTCTTGATTTATGTTTGTCATGCGTGTACTTACAGAGAGTGAGTGAGTGAGTTGGGTGTGACGCCGCTTTCAACAGTATTCCAGTTATATCACAGCGTGTCAGCTTAATGTGGGAGGAAAGCCCGAAGTGATGCAGGTCTCAGACATTTACCACTTCGGTGAAACCCACGAGCACGGGTATGGTGCTGACAAACCTAGAAACATAATCGGGGCGAACCGGGATTCGAAGCCACAATCATAGGTTTCTGGCGTACCGAAGGGACGCAACTCTGCACAGCGAAGTGCGGTGCCTTAGACGACTGGGCCACCCGTAGCCCCCCCCAGTGTACTTACAGAAGGCTGAAAAAGGTGTTAAAGCTGTCCCAATTTCATTGCTGTCCCTTAAGGCATGCCAGAACAGTTTTGTTGTTGTCAAGCTTATGATACAAAGCCAAGACAGCATGCAATACATACTGCCACACGAATAATCTGGGCAGGACCACATACAAGCACCCCCAGGACAGATCCATTTTGGTGATATTTACATAATCTTTTAATTACTATCATTACATTTCTGATACAACAAACGGTGTACATTGGCCATGCAGTCTAGTGTTCCATAGCCTCGCCCTCATCATCAGTACTGTCTGGTTCAACGTCGTTGACGCCATTTTGAGCGTCATCATCATCTTCATCACCTTCACCTGTAGAAGGAAACAATATGGACTCAAAGACAAGCGTGTCTGCTGTTGTGTATGGATTTATACCCAATACAGTGTTGGTGCCATATTTATACCCAATACAGTGTTGGTGCCAGATTTATACCCAATATTGTCTTGGTGCCAGATTTATACCCAATACTGTCTTGGTGCCAGATTTATACCTCAAACGGTCTTGTTGCCAGATTTATACCCAATACTGTCTTGGTGCCAGATTCATACCTCAAACGGTCTTGTTGCCAGATTTATACCCAATACTGTCTTGGTGCCAGATTTATACCCTATACGGTCTTGGTGCCAGATTTATACCCAATATGGTCTTGGTGCCAGATTTATACCCTATACGGTCTTGGTGCCAGATTTATACCCAATATGGTCTTGGTGCCAGATTTATACCCAATATGGTCTTGGTGCCAGATTTATACCCAATATGGTCTTGGTGCCAGATTTATACCCAATACTGTCTTGGTGCCAGATTTATACCCAATATGGTCTTGGTGCCAGATTTATACCCTATACGGTCTTGGTGCCAGATTTATACCCAATATGGTCTTGGTGCCAGATTTATACCCAATATGGTCTTGGTGCCAGATTTATACCCTATACGGTCTTGGTGCCAGATTTATACCCAATATGGTCTTGGTGCCAGATTTATACCCAATACTGTCTTGGTGCCAGATTTATACCCTATACGGTCTTGGTGCCAGATTTATACCCAATATGGTCTTGGTGCCAGATTTATACCCAATACTGTCTTGGTGCCAGATTTATACCCTATACGGTCTTGGTGCCAGATTTATACCCAATATGGTCTTGGTGTCAAATACATACCCAATAAGGTCTTGGTGCCAGATTTAGACGATATACTGTCTTGTTGCTAGATTTATACGCAACACAGTTGTGGTGCTAGATTTATACCTAATACAGCCTTGGTTCCAGGATTTTACCAAATACGGTCTTGTTGCCAGACCGTTACCCAAGACGGTCTTCATGCCAGATTTATACCCAATATTGTCTTGGTGCCAGATTTATACCCAATACTGTCTTGGTGCCAGATTCATACCTCAAACGGTCTTAGTGCCAGATTTATACCATATACAGTCTTTGAACGTTTATACCACAAGGCTACCCCACCTCTCCAGTTTCTAGAAACCAAGCAATGTTAAGTGAGGCATCTGTTAGGCAGAGTGAGTGAGTATGGTTTTACGCCGCTTTTAGCAATATTCCAGCAATATCACAGCGGGGGACACCAAAAATGGGCTTCACGCATTGTACCCATGTTAGGAATTGAACCCGTGTCTTCGGCATGACGAGCGAACGCTTTAACCACTAGGCTACCCAACAGCCCCGTTAGGCAGAAGAAAATGGAGCCATCGGTTTGACAATTGCAGCTCACCTGGTCCAAGCTCCTCCAACAAATCTGTGATATGCTTCAACAGATCAGCATCCTCGTACTTCACCTTGGCATACACCTGTAACCAAGGAAACACAAGTGTGAATGAGTGTATGTCACCGTCACAATATTGAAGCCATATCACAGAAGCCCAATTGAATTTGGGTCAGACAAGTGAATTAAATCGAAGGCCACACCTCTGTAAAACATTAATTTACAACAATGGTTTTAGTTGATGACTTAATGATGTATTTAAAAAGTCATCTATAGTTTTGAATGAAAATTGGCAGTATGTGCGTACTGTTCGTATTGATTAGTACTTATTTATACTAAACTTCTTTATGATAAATCAAAGTCTTTACAAGCGTTCTTGTCAAATTTCAAGGACTCATGAGCTATTTTGTAGCTTATCAACATGTTCAAGCAGTGTCTGAAATAAAGAATTTGCCAGGCTGCCATCAGAACCCACAGACTTTAGAAGCTCAGGACCTCATTTAAAAAAAAGGCAGTTTATTGTGACAATTAAATTTTATAAGGACCCATACAAATTTGAAACTTCAGGCCTGACACAAGATCTACCTACCACAGGCGCTTATTTCGAACACTGTGTTCTCGACACTGTGTTCTCGAAGTTCGGTGCACTGAGATAGTACCTACTGTTCCCGATATGTTCGGTGTACCTTGTGTTCCCGACATGTTTGGTGTACCTTGTGTTCCCGACATGTTGGGTTTACCTAGTGTTCCCGACATGTTGGGTGTACCTAGTGTTCCCGACAGGTTGGGTGTACCTTGTGTTCCCGACAGGTTGGGTGTACCTTGTGTTCCCGACATGTTGGGTGTACCTAGTGTTCCCGAAATGTTTGGTGTACCTTGTGTTCCCGACATGTTTGGAGTACCTTCTGTTCCCGACATGTTTGGTGTACCTTGTGTTCCCGACATGTTCGGTGTACCTTCTGTTCCCGACATGTTTGGTGTACCTTGTGTTCCCGACATGTTGGGTGTACCTTGTGTTCCCGACATGTTGGGTGTACCTAGTGTTCCCGACATGTTCGGTGTACCTTCTGTTCCCGACATATTGGGTGTACCTAGTGTTCCCGACATGTATGGTGTACCTTGTGTTCCCGACATGTTTGGAGTACCTTCTGTTCCCGACATGTTTGGTGTACCTTGTGTTCCCGACATGTTGGGTGTACCTTGTGTTCCCGACATGTTTGGTGTACCTTGTGTTCCCGACATGTTGGGTGTACCTAGTGTTCCCGACATGTTCGGTGTACCTTCTGTTCCCGACATATTGGGTGTACCTAGTGTTCCCGACATGTATGGTGTACCTTGTGTTCCCGACATGTTTGGAGTACCTTCTGTTCCCGACATGTTTGGTGTACCTTGTGTTCCCGACATGTTGGGTGTACCTTGTGTTCCCGACATGTTTGGTGTACCTTGTGTTCCCGACATGTTGGGTGTACCTAGTGTTCCCGACAGGTTGGGTGTACCTAGTGTTCCGGACATGTTGGGTGTACCTTGTGTTCCCGACATGTTGGGTGTACCTTGTGTTCCCGAGATGTTGGGTGTACCTTGTGTTCCCGAGATGTTTGGTGTACTTTGTGTTCCCGAGATGTTGGGTGTACCTTGTGTTCCCGAGATGTTTGGTGTACCTTGTGTTCCCGACATGTTGGGTGTACCTTGTGTTCCCGACATGTTGGGTGTACCTTGTGTTCCCGAGATGTTGGGTGTACCTTGTGTTCCCGAGATGTTTGGTGTACCTTGTGTTCCCGACATGTTGGGTGTACCTTGTGTTCCCGACATGTTGGGTGTACCTTGTGTTCCCGAGATGTTGGGTGTACCTAGTGTTCCCGACATGTTGGATGTACCTAGTGTTCCCGACATGTTGGGTGTACCTTGTGTTCCCGAATTGTTGGGTGTACCTTGTGTTCCCAAGATGTTGGGTGTACCTTGTGTTCCCGACATGTTGGGTGTACCTTGTGTTCCCGAGATGTTGGGTGTACCTTGTGTTCCCGAGATGTTGGGTGTACCTTGTGTTCCCGAGATGTTGGGTGTACCTTGTGTTCCCGAGATGTTGGGTGTACCTTGTGTTCCCGAGATGTTGGGTGTACCTTGTGTTCCCGAGATGTTGGGTGTACCTTGTGTTCCCGAGATGTTTGGTGTACCTTGTGTTCCCGACATGTTGGGTGTATCTAGTGATCCCGAGATGTTGGGTGTACCTTGTGTTCCCGACATGTTGGGTGTACCTTGTGTTCCCGACATGTTGGGTGTACCTTGTGTTCCCGAGATGTTGGGTGTACCTAGTGTTCCCGACATGTTGGGTGTACCTAGTGTTCTCGACCTGTTGGGTGTACCTTGTGTTCCCGACATGTTTGGTGTACCTAGTGTTCCCGACATGTTGGGTGTACATAGTGTTCCCGACATGTTTGGTGTACCTTCTGTTCCCGACATGTTTGGTGTACCTAGTGTTCCCGACATGTTTGGTGTACCTTGTGTTCCCGACATGTTTGGTGTACCTGTGTTCCCGACATGTTGGGTGTACCTTGTGTTCCCGACATGTTGGGTGTACCTTCTGTTCCCGACATGTTTGGTGTACCTAGTGTTCCCGACATGTTGGGTGTACCTAGTGTTCCCGATATGTTCGGTGTACCTTGTGTTCCCGACATGTTGGGTGTACCTAGTGTTCCTGACATGTTGGGTGTACCTAGTGTTCCTGACATGTTGGGTGTACCTAGTGTTCCTGACATGTTGGGTGTACCTAGTGTTCCTGACATGTTGGGTGTACCTAGTGTTCCTGACATGTTGGGTGTACCTTGTGTTCCCGACATGTTGGGTGTACCTTCTGTTCCCGACATGTTTGGTGTACCTAGTGTTCCCGACATGTTGGGTGTACCTAGTGTTCCCGATATGTTCGGTGTACCTTGTGTTCCCGACATGTTGGGTGTACCTAGTGTTCCTGACATGTTGGGTGTACCTAGTGTTCCTGACATGTTGGGTGTACCTAGTGTTCCTGACATGTTGGGTGTACCTAGTGTTCCCGACAGGTTGGGTTTACCTAGTGTTCCCGACATGATGGGTGTACCTTGTGTTCCCGACATGTTGGGTGTACCTAGTGTTCCCGACATGTTGGGTGTACCTAGCGTTCTTAGTGTTCCCGACATGTTGGGTGTACCTTGTGTTCCCAACATGTTCAGCGAGATGGTACCTAGTGTTCCTGACATGTTCGGTGAGATGGTACCTAGTGTTCCCGACATGTTCGGTGAGATGGCACCTAGCGTTCCCGACATGTTGGGTGCCTTACCTTGTTGGCCTTGGTGAGATAGTACCTAGCATTCTCCCTGAAGTCCTGGCCCTGCAGGTAGTTGGCCCAGCCGAGCATGTACCACACTGGCGGCACCTCGTCATCCTCATCCAGCAGAGACTCCAACACCTCACACGCCAGCTAGAACAGCAAGTGAACAACAGCTTTAGTATTTGTTTGTTTCTTGTCTAATGCCGCACTCAGCAAGTTCCAGCCATATGACGCCAGTCTCTAAATAATCAAGTCTGGATGTGTATGTCGTGCTGACAGACCTAGAAACATAATCGGGGTGAACCGGGATACAAACCGATGATCAAAGGTAGGGCTGGGACGGGTAACTCGGGTACTCGGGTCGGGTGAGTACTGAGTAGGACCCGGGTACCCACAGGACCGTGGTAAGTCACGTGATACATTGTTTAACGACAAAAGGTATCTAAAACTCTATGTTTAAACAAGTCACTAATGTTCACAGTTCTTCCTGACTACCACGCCCATTCCTTCTGACTGTTATATGTTTGAATAAAAATATAACTTCAGTCAACGTTAGTGTATACACAAGGTCATTTCATACATATATCTAAACACATTTTACAAGAGCTATGGTCAAACTTTTCACAATCGGACAGTTTTCACCTACCTCTTGAGACCTACAGCAGGTACCAGGTAGGGTCGGGTAATAGGGGGATGGGTACCCGGTTAGTAAATTTGGACTCATCCCAGCCATAATCAAAGGATTCTGGCTTACCTAAGGGACACAACTCTGCACAGCGAATTATGGCACCTTAGACAACTAGGCCCCCCATGCCCCCAGTCTATGTTTGTTTGTTTGTTTGTTGTTAAATGCCGCACTCAGCAATATTCCAGCTATATTAAAGCAGTCTGTAAATAATCAAGTCTGGACCAGCCAATCCAGTGATTGACATTATGGACCAGCCAATCCAGTGATTGACATTATGAGCATCGAACTACAGGGTTGGGATACAATGACATGCATCAAGCAAGTCAACGAGCCTGAACACCTGATCCCGTTAGTTGCCTCTAACGACAAGCATAGTCACCATTAACGGCAAGCATGGGTTGCTGAAGACCAAGGTTGTAATATCAAACAACTGGCCATTCTGTCATGAGACCCACACCACACTCACTACTCCAAAGAAAGTTGCAGAAGGTTTGTGAAAATCCAGCTGTCTAATATGCCATGCTTTAGTTTGTCCACAGCATGATCGGTGGTTTTCAGTCCATTCGACATCAAGTCAATATTGACCCAATCATAGATTTTTTCAAGGGAATATAAATTTTTGGTGATGCAAACACCTTTCCCCTTATACTTGCTAGGCACAATGTTGAGATTATTTGTACTCGTTGTACTCGTAGTCAAAGGGAAACCACTCTCACTCTCCATATAAACTAACTGCCTTTGGCAAGAAAAGGTCACTGCGACAGTATGCATATACGCTGCTAGTGTTTTAACCGAAATAAAAAAAACCTGGGGTGTTGTTTCAAGCAAAATTTGGTATGGAATGAATATAAGCTATCATCTGTTATCGACTCATAATCGGTAAACACACAATTTTCAGCAGTGTTTGGTTGCATCTGTTGTTTGTGTAATGAAAGAAATGATACAGCAGACCCATACTGTTGAATTGTTTTCTTCAACATGCCATCTTTTGGCCCCATTGTACCTATTGTAAGCTCCTAATACAGGTCTGACCCTGTCTTAATTTTTGTCGTCAACTTCAGATAACTTAGTACTAAGACAGCTTCAAAATAGACTTATCTAAGATATTTTTCGCTACAACACCTTGAAATCAATCTTAGCGCTAAGACAGCTTGGAGAATAGACTTAGCTGTTTTTAGCTACGACACCTTGAAGTCAATCTTAGCGCTAAGACAGCTTTGTGAATAGACTGCCTGGACCATCCTTTTGTTTTGATCTTAATTGTTGATGTAGTGATGTCACTTCCAAAGTTATGGTAGCAAATGGCTCCATGGAGGAATACTATCATGTATAAAAGAAGGTGTACACATGAGTAACCTACCTCAAATTCCTCCACCTCAATTAGAATCTTCCCTGCAGCCATTCTGGCATCAAAGGTCAGCGAAACAGTCTGGAAATACAAGTTACCATGGCTACAGGCATGAGAATACTACAAAGCGGTAGGGGTATTTCAATGCAAGTAATTGTCCAATAATGCCACAGTCAACACTATTTCAGCAATATCAAGTCTGTACAAGGCAAAGCCGCAACTAAAAACATGAGCATCAAACTATACTACCTGAACACTAGGCCACACTATGCTCCATGATGCCATACAAGGCCACAAGGCCATACCAGACGGCCCTAGCCCACACCAGGCTACTTGAGGCTACACAAGGCCACACAAGACCACACTTTGCAAATCCAGGCCACACAAGACCACTCTAGGCCACACAAGACCAGTCTAGGCTGTACAAGACCACTCTAGGCCACACAAGACCACTCTAGGCCACACAAGGCCACACAAGACCACTCTAGGCCACACAAGACCACTCTAGGCCACACAAGGCCACACAAGACCACTCTAGGCCACACAAGACCACTCTAGGCCACACAAGACCACTTTAGGCCACACAAGGCCACTCTAGGCCACACAAGGCCAAACAAGACCATTCTTGGCCACACAAGACCACTCTAGGCCGAACAAGACCACTCTAGGCCACACAAGGCCGCTCTAGGCCACACAAGGCCACACCAGGCCACACAAGACCACTCTAGGCCACACCAGGCCCCTCTAGGCCGCACAAGGCCACTCAAGGCCGCACAAGACCATTCTAGGGCACACAAGACCACTCTAGGCCGCACAAGACCACTCTAGGCCACACAAGGCCGCTCTAGGGCACACAAGGCCACTCTAGGCCACACAATGCCACCCTAGGCCACACAAGACCACTCTAGGCCACACAAGATTACTCTAGGATGCACAAGACCTCTCTAGGCCACACAAGGCCGCTCTAGGCCACACCATGCCACTCTAGACCACACTAGACCACACTAGGCCACATTTGGCCACATTTGGCCACACCAGGCCACACAAGGGCACACAGTCAACTACCCTTCCAAGTCTAAATCCATTTTTGTAAGATAATGAAACTTGTTTTAAAAATCAATCACTTTAAAAACAATTTATCCTTCACTTAACATAATCCTAAAAAATGAGATTGTGCAGTTTTTTCATCACAGTAATTTCATTAATTGTCCTTACCTCAACTGGGTCAAATTCTTCATCAGGGACATCACCTTTATCCAGCGCTTGCACCTTTGGTAACCATAGCGACACACTCTTCTTAATATCTTCTCTCGCTTCCTACTCGCAAGAAAATAAGTTTTAAAATGTTAATACCAGCTGTGAGAAAGGATTACTTTCAATGATGTTTGACCTCTTTACATGAAATTAATATTTGTTTATTGAACATATTCAACTTTGGTCATTTCAGTCACATACCAATTTAACAACAATATTGACAAAACTGAGCAAATTCATCTCAAAACTTAATTCTGATATATGTTCTGAAAAGGTGAAGTGAAATTGGGTTTAACGTTGCGTCCAAGTGTGTGTGTGGGGGGTGTGTGTGTGTGGGGTGTGTGTGTGGTGTGTGTGTGTGTGTGTGTGTGTGTGTGTGTGTGTGTGTGTGTGTGTGTGTGTGTGTGTGTGTGTGTGTGTGTGTGTGTGTGTGTGTGTGTGTGTGACGCAGCTGTTTTCTTATAATAGAAGAGACAAGAGTTTTGCTTATTTGTTGTTAAACGCAGCACTCAGCAATATTCCAGCTATATGACGGCGGTCTGTAAATAATCAAATCTGGACCAGACAATCCAGTGACTGACATCATGAGCATCAATCCTCGCAATTGGGATACGATGACATGCATCAACCAAGTCAGCCAGTCTCACCACCCGATCTCCACTTACGATAAGCATGGGTCACTGAACACCAATTCTACCCCGGAATCTTCACGGGACAGAAGAGAAGAGAATGCTTAATATGGCACAACTGTATTGTTATTTGTTAGTATTCAAAATATCTATCACAAAGAAGTTTTCATGAACAAAAGTGTGGTGAGGTGAGGTGAGGTAAGATGAAATGGAGCATAACGTCGAGTCCCAGATTATTGCGTGGGTGCACGTTTGTGTGTGTGGCTGCTCGTACCAGTCCGGACTAATGCCGATTTTATAGAGTTAGCCCAATGAGATATCATGCCGCAGTTTAACATAAATACCCCACTAAGACACAGTATACTGACTCTGTGAGTCCTTAATACCAAGCGCCAGGCAGGGTAACAACAACTACCATCTTTTAACATCTTTTGGTATGACATGGCCATGGATCAAACCCCTGATTGGGGTGTCCAGGCGGACACTCTACCACTAGACTATGGAGCAAGAGTAATGAATAGCATAACACTAAACTGACTTGTTTCTTGTCTTTAGACAGCATGAAGCTGGCTCTCAGTTGATAGGCTTCGGGGTTTTCTCCGTCTGTCTCAATCGCCTTCTCCACATTCTCTTTACATTTGTTTTCTGCATCTTCGTCAAAACTGAAATTACGACAGCGCTTAAATCTAAACCGTGTGGATAAATGAAAATAATCAATCTTGAACTAAGATGAGGGGGGTAGGGTGGGTGGGTGAATGAATGAGTGGGTGGGTGGGTGGGTGAGTGAGTGAGTGAGTGAGTGAGTTGGTGAGTGGGTTGGTGAGTGAGTGAGTGAGTGAGTGAGTGAGTGAGTGAGTGAGTGAGTGGGTGAGTGGGTGTTGGTGGTTGTTGGGTTGGATGGACAGTTGGTTTGTTGGTTGGTTGGCTTGTTGGTTGGTTGTTGGCAGAGGACACCAGAAAAATTGGGGAATCGAACATGGGCCTTTGAAGGTCTCCGCTTGAAGAAGTGATATCAATTAAGGAGTAATGCAGGATAAGTAAAAAGTCCGTTACTTTGCAGGACCCTCATATTTCCTATAAGGACCCTTGAAATTAATTACTGTAAATCTTGAAACTGATGTGAGCTTGAATAAAATGCAAAAAACGTGAGTGATTAAACATCACATTTATATCTCAAAATGACGCAAAAAGACGGCTCACTTCACATTTTGGATAGCTGAAATACCATCTGGGTAAAAAATAAACAATTATATATATTGCACATCACTGTTTCTTGAGCAGCCCTTGTAACAAGTCTCTAAAAATGTCATTCAAACACTAGAAATTCATACTGAGTCGCATTTTTGGCTGGGGGCCGCAGTCGCATTCATCTGGAGACGCATTAATTTCAAGACATACAGTATTAGGGGTCCCGTTTCTTCCAAGAACAAATGTCAAGCAGAGGAATTTGAAGGAGAAAATTTTGTTTTGGGGCAAGTACACACCACGAGTCTGTCATGTATATCTCTGCGATGGAGCAGAAGGCGTTGGAGATGTCTCTGTCTGTGATGGTGGTGTCTTCCGCTCCTCGGCATGCTGCTGCAACCTGACGACATCCCAAACACAGTTGTAACAAATGTTTGCAATCTTTGGCCAGTCTTGTCAAATTGAGTTTGGTAAGTAATGTCGAGGGAAATAGTTATATTATATTATCAGAAGGGACGTACTTCATCACTAAACATGAATAAATTTATAGTTTCACTGTCCCAGAAAGCTGTGACACATATTGGACTCTGCAAAATGTCTGTTTGTTTTGAAGTGTGATGGAGAAATGTGGTGTGCGCAAGACCAGCGTTAGAAATAGGTACTAGTCCTGTAGTCCTTGCCAAACTGCCCAATAGTTAAGCTATCATAAGGACTAGTAGAAATTTGCCATTTTTAAGGGTTTTGCTATATGTTACCATTATGACGACTAGTGGACTAAAAATGTTAGCTTCTACTGCTGAAGGCCAATTATTGACAATGGTGGTCTCACCTCCTTGGCCTCCCTCTCTCCCTTCTCCTTGACCATCAGCTCAATGCCTTTCTGGAAGCACTGCACCGCGGTGGCGCCCTCCATCAGTTGGCCCAGGTACATGTACTTGGCGTGACCCTCCTCCGGACTCACCTCCACCGCCCGCCCAAAACACTGGAAGAAGTAAGGGTGTGAACATCTTACCATTGATGAGTGAGTGAGTGAGTTGGGTTTAATGCCGCTTTTTACATTATTCCAGTTTTATCACGGCATTCAGCTTAATGTGGGAGGAAAGCCCAAAGTGATGCTGGTCTCAGACGTTTACCACTTCGGTGAAACCCACGAGCACGGCTATGGTGCTGAAAAACCTTGAAACATAATCGGGGCGAAGCGGGATTCGAACCCACAATCATAGGTTTCTGGTGTGCCCAAAGGACGCAAATCTGCACAGCGAATCGCTGCGCCTTAGACGACTGGGCCACCCGTGCCCCCCTTACCATTGGTACTTGCAGCAGAGTTCCAGATAACTTTTTGAGCAATTGAGTTTTTACTCAACATGCTCAAAGGTAAAAACATTTTCAGATTTAAAAAAAAATAAAATAATCTTTTAACTATAGGCTTGATTCGAAAAGTAAATTAGCTCGTAATTGTGTTTCTGAAAATTAGCTCCATTGTACGCATGCTGAAAAAGCTTCATTGGATATTTACGCATGCTGTTTTTATACATTTGAGTTTTTCATTTGATGGATGCGTTTCTGTATGCAAGTTAATTGAAAGTATTTGGGTTTTGAATATTTTGGGGGGTATTTAACGCAAATACGCAGCTTATCTGTAGCTCAGTTGCAGTGCCTCATCCATCATTTAACGTAACAGACAAACAAGATTTTTTGTTTTGTTTCATTTGTTGTTTTACATCGCACTCAGCAATATTCCGGTTATATGACGGTGATCTGTATATAATCGATTGGGATACGATGACATGCATCAACCAAGTCAGTGAGTCTGACCATCCGATCCCGTTGGTTGCCTCTTATGACAAGCATAGTCGCTCTTACAACAAGCATGGCTTGCTGAAGACCTACTCTATCCCAGATCTTCATGGGTCAGACAAATGAGAAGCTGATGACCCAGGAACTCGGCATGACCCTCCCCTGGACTCCACCAGACTAAACACTGGCACCTGGCCTTGTTAGTAAACTGAGAAGTGATGACACGACCTGCATTTTAATTGGTTGGTTGGTTTGTTTGTTGTTTAACGCTGCGCTCAGCAATATTCCAGCTATATGACGGCGGTCTGTAAATAATCGAGTCTGGACCAGACAATCCAGTGATTGATATCATGAGCATCGAACCACGCAATTAGGATCGATGACATGCATCAACCAAGTCAGCGAGCCTGACCACCCAATCCCATTATTTGCCTTTTACGACAAGCATAGTCGCCTTTTACGGCAAGCATGGGTTGCTGAAGATCTATTCTACCCCGGAATCTTCACGGGTCTCTTGATGTGGGAGGAGGGCATGAAGTGAGGCACATCTTTCTTCAGACCTTTAACGTTTTGGTGAAACACATGAGCACGGGTATGGTGCTGACAAACCTTGGAACAAAAACCGGGCGAATCTTGGATTCAAATTGTCGATCATGTTTCTGGCACACCTAAGGGGATGCTCCTAGTAGTCCCCCCAACTATGTACCTACCTGCTTGGCGCCATCAGTGTTGCCGACCTCCAGTAGCAGCGTCCCTACAGTCTCTAGGGCTCGGATGTGATCGGGCTCCAGCTCCAATGCTCGCTGGCAGAACTTCTGGGCCACTTCAAACTCAAACCTGTCAATGCAGTCTTCTGCCTGTGAATAGACATTCAGTACCATGTTCATGTTGGTGGAGTGAGTGAGTGAGTCAGTTGGGTTTAACATGTTTAATGCTGCTTCTAACAGTATTCCAGTTATATCACAGCGTGTCAGATTAATGTGGGAGGAATCCCGAAGTGATGCTGGTCACAGACGTTTACAACATCGGTGAAACCCACGAGCACGGGTATGGTGCTGACAAACCGAGAAACATAATCGGGGCGAACCGGGATTCGAACCCACAATCATAGGTTTCTGGCGTGCCCAAGGGACGCAATTCTGCACAGCGAATCGCGGCGCCCTTAGACGACTGGGCCACCCGTTCCCCCTCATATTGTTGGACCCCCTTCACTATGAAAGTAGGGTCTTGTATCACCTTCGTCAATAGACACCAGGACTTAACACATTGTACACATTGAATCTGTCTGCTCACAAATACAAACTCTCCAAAATCTGTAACACGGAGAACAAAATCATTGGTATCTCTCTCCAGGACATTGGAGTGAATGGTGAGTGAGTATGGTTTTACACCGCTTTTAGCAATATTGCAGTAATATCACGGCGGGGGACACCAGAAATGGGCTTCACACATTGTACCCATGTAGGGATTCAAACTCGGGTCTTCGGCGTGACGAGCGAACGCTTTAACCACTAGGCTACCCGACCCCCCCCCCCCAGGACATTGGAAGTATTTATGAGCAGCAATTAGTTAATAAAGCATCGATGTTTTAGGGACACCAGAAATGGGCTTCACACATCGTAAACATCTCGGGAATCGAACCCTGTTCTTAGGCGTGACGAGTGAACACTTTAACCACTAGGATACCCGACCGAAGGGGGAATACAACATGGTGTAGGCCCATCTTTGAGCACCAGTAAATACACTTTTTTGGCTGGTTAAGTAAAAAGGTCAAGTTACCCATCTCCATGATCATATAGTCCAAAGCCCACCACCTAATTAGCAAAAAACACTTCCTGATCAGTAAATGTGACTGGACCAGTTAAGGCACCAACCAAACGGACCTGTAACACTTCTGTTCACTGTTTGCTTAACCAGGGATTTATCAGTGGTAGAAACTAACAGTTCTCGTCCACTAGTCCTTATAATGACAACATAAAGCAAAACCCTTAAAAAGGGCAAATTTCTACTAGTCCTTATGATACAGGACTACAGGACTAGTGCCAATTTCTAACGCTGATTTATCTAGACCTGCTCAGGGGTTGACATCTGGCCCCAATTCTGAAGTAATTGTCAGTAAAAATGAGTAATTTTGTTCAAAATTTCACAAATGGGACTTTTTAAAAGTCCTTAATTTTTTAAAATGCAGGTGTATTTGAATATTTCATTCACAAATGTAAAAGTGAACATTAACATGATTAAAGCCTCTTCTTGTCTATTGGTCCTGTTGTCATTGAAATGCCTCGAAAGTCACCCTGAAAAAACATTTATGATTATGACAATGTAACTTGGCAACTTTTTTATTCCAATTTGGGATTTTTCCTATATACTGTCTGCCATGGGGATTTAGTTAGGAATCCTAGATAATTCCCTCTTATACATCAAAGCACAGGAGTCCGTATCTAAAAATAGACGCCCTCATGCATATTCATGACCATCTCCACACGTGAGCCCAGTCATGAATATGCATGAGGGCGTCTATTTTTTAGATACGGACTCCTATGATCAAAGCTACAGTTCACCTTGTCCAGAAGCTGGTCTACAGAGTAGTTCTGTTTTCCCTTCAGGCTTGATTTGGCTTCTTCCTGTTTGGCTTCCCGAGCTGCCTCCCTCAGGGCCTTCTTCCGCTCCACTGAAACACAATGCACCACGCTTGTACACACACTTTCAGAGGGTCTTGGTTTGGTTTGTTGTTTAACGCTGCACTCAGCAATATTCCAGCTATATGACGGCGGTCTGTAAATAATCGAGTCTGGACCAGACAATCCAGTGATTGATATCATGAGCATCGATCCACGCAATTGGGATCGATGACATGCATCAACTGAGTCAGCGAGCCTGACCACCCAAACCCGTTAGTCGCCTTTTACGACACGCATAGTCACCTTTTACGGCAAGCATGGGTTGCTGAAGACCCATTCTACCCCAGAATCTTCACGGGTCTACACTTTCAGAGGGATTCCTACTGGTTATATTGGGGAAAGATTTGCAGAAATTGTAACTCACTATTGCAGACAACTTGCCGAATTTGTCTGGGCCTGTTACAAACTAATCAAAATCAGATCTTAGTTCTCGCTATCGCTTAACAAAGATCTGAGGACATCCCATTACAGGTCACATCAGAACGACCTTTCATCCGACCAATCAAAGCATGGCTGATCAGATTGTGAAAGTGATAGTTGGAATGTGTTTTCTAATCATGCAACCTCGAAAACGTTAACATGGGCTATTCTGAACGACAGTTACGGCCAGTACGACTGATTCCGTCAAAATTATCGTTTGTCTCTCACTTCCGTGGGATAAATATTTGAAAGGAGGAGGCATTACACAGTACGTGGGAAGCACTGCCACACAATCTCAACCATATATTAGACATTCTGGAATATTCGTTTGTTCAGTTTTCAAAATTTTAATCGAGAACTGTGTCAACATATGTTCTAAGCGTAGTCTAAAATGGAAGTCGCCAGGTTGAAACAAGTGCCGTAAAGCTCAAGAAAGCTGCTTTCTAATTGGCTGATGTCAACTTCTTGTTAGTCATTTCAGTGGTCGGTCAAAGTTCGCGAAAGGTCATTTTGACGTGACCCGTAATGGGATCTCCTCAGATCTTTATTTAGCGGCAGCGAGAACCTAGATCTGATTTTCATGAGATGGGGCATGTTACAGAATAATTGTTTGATAGGCATTACTTAGAAGTTGATGGATGACAAAGAAGACACAATTTATGGATAACAACTTCTTTAGTTTAATACTGTAAAGGCAATGTTTCAGTATAGATCCTTATACTGTTGTCAAGCAAGACTGAATGAGGAACATTGTACAGAATATATATAGTAGGTGGAGGATTCACTGTAGAGGATTAACAATAACAACAATTGCATACATGAGTAGGATAACATGAGTAAGTAATGACAACAGAAGGATACTGTCACAACATGATGGACAGAGAACACATAGGTGGAAGCCAGTGGGACACGAAGCCAATTTAACAGAATTAATTGCATAGGTGTAGTGGTTAATGCTTAATGAGTTCATAGTAGGCGGATGGGATGAAAAAGCCTTGATCTCTGTTGATTGATGGCGAGTGGCGGCGAATGTGGACTGCTTCTGTTAGTTTCCTTTAACATGTTTAAGTGAAATCTTGACAACGGTATAAGGATCTATACCGAAACATCGCCTTTACAGTATCAAAAGAAGTGGCTATCCATAAATTGCGTCTACTTTGTCTGTTACAGATACCCTAAATGTTACAGGTGAGCATGGTGAGGCGAAATGGGGTTTAACGTCGCGTCCAAGATTATTGCACTTATAGAGCGACATGCGTGTACGTGTGTGTGTTTGTGTGGCTGCTTGTACTAGTCCGGACTGATGCCGATTTAGTGCTAGCTCACTGAGATACCATGCCGCAGTTTAACATGAATACCCCACTCAGACACAGTATACTGACTCCGAGCCGACCAGTCCTTGTTTTAGCCCCTTAATCCCGAGCGCCAGACAGGGTAACAACAAGTACCATCTTTAAACGTCTTTTGGTATGACGCGGCCGGGGATCGAACCCGCTCTCCGGGTAGACGCTCTACCACTAGACCACGGAGGCGGTCATATAAATGTTATAGAGATTGGTTGAGCCTATAGGACAAAGCTGGTGTATGCACAATCTCATTAAAATCAGATCTTCCATACCATCCAATACCGCTCTACATGAACATGATGAAACCTCAATTGAAGGCAAACCCAAGCGAAGCTTCATTTTTTAACCACCTTGATTCGGGAAGCAAGCGAAAGAAAACCTTCACAGAACGCAAATATACCCTCAATAGTAGCGGTTGTAGATCCTGTAGATGCCATGGTGATCAAAATCAATAGGATGTATAATTTTCTTATTGTTTTTACAAAATTTGTTAATATTTGGACTGATGATATATTTGTTCACAAATAACAACTGCGAAAAATTATGTGCAAACAATTCACTGTTATCTAAGTCATATACTTGTTCACAATATTTTTATATAGTCTGTAAATAAACTGCATGTTATGTCAATAAAAATACGTAACATGAAAAAAGGACTCTAGTATTCTTTCATGTTTGAAGAACCTATCACTTCACTGTGGAATTATTTTTTAAGATCAAAATAGATCCAAATTAAAATGAGGAGAGGAGACTGCTTATTTTATCGTGTATATTTTATAGTCAAAATGTGTAACATTTTCACTTAGGCAATTTATAAAATGTCTGAATATTTCAGTAATTTACAAATTGACTGAACATGCTGAAACATCTGTCTATTTATTTAACAGATTGACTACCAATTATTAAGAGGTTCAAAAGGGCTTAAAACATCACAATAGGCTAATTATGCTACGATATAGAAATGTACTTTGAAGTTCGTTTTCTTTTAATCAGAGCTCCAGATAAGCTTTTGGTCTTATGGGTATTTTACCCATGCATTTTAAAATCATTGGGTATCAGTAATTCTATCTGGGTATTCAAATTTCTGTTACCCACTAGTTTTTACACATGTGGGTATTTAAGTTAAATATTTAAAAACACTTAGTCTCGTCCTTGCAAACTGTTGTCGAGTGGATTTGAGAGCTTTATAGGACTCAAAAATACCGCGATACTTCCACAAGAAAGGAAGGCAAATGATCATGATGTAACTGTCATCGTGGAGTTTGGCAAGAATGTCCGTATATAATTTCAAAATAAGTTTCATTTGCTAATCGAATACGCAGGGTTACTTCACAACATTTTGATGATATGCACTAGTTTTATTTTTGTAGCGTATCTGTAATGTTCGTTGCGTATTTGATACACTTGAATTTTATTTCACTGCATATTTCTGCATTTCTGATGCGTATTTTACGCAGATACGCAGCTTATCTGGAGCTCTGTTTTAATCCTATCATTTTCTCTGGGGGATGAAATTAAAAGCATGAAAATGTTTGGAATTTGTTATCATAACAACATAAATGGTCAGATTTTTCAGTCAATTTGTAAAATAACTAAATATTTAGGCGTTTGATAAATTGCCTAAGTGAAAATGTTACACATTTTGACTTTAAAATATACACACGATAAAATAAGCAATGCTCAGGTGAAATATTTACTTTGCGTTTCAAGTCAAAATAGTTTATACAAAAAATCACACAATTCCAAGCAAGTGACTTATCAAAACTTTGTCACCATTACCATGATTACCGATGCAAAGATAACTATATTTCCTTATTATTTTCAAGACTAAACTGTATTTCAGTTTGTTGATTCATGTAACCATACACCCTTACACTATCAATAAAAGTGACAAATGTGCTTACGAATGGCGCAGCACAGGTCGCAAACTAGTCTAGATTTCTGCAATATCCTCCGGGTACTCACGGGGGAAAAACAATAACAAAGGCAACAACCAGTCCTAGGGAATATTGCTGAAGATCGGTGCCCCTTTAACATGTTTAAGATCATCTACTCTCACCAAAGTTGAATAGTGCTGGTTATTCAGTCAAGCCCTAATAATTGACAATCTGTCTGGGACTATATAAGGGACTCACTGTCCTATCTGTGCTACTGCAGTGATGCACCATAAAAATGTTAAAAATGAGATAATTAATGGCCCTAGTTTATGAAATGGGAGTAGTGCACTTTTAATACTGGGTGCACTTTTCAAAATTTCAACCAGCGCAACATTGAGGATCAAACACAGGTTGCCAGCTTGAACTTAAGATAGTCTAAAGAGCTAATCTAATTAACAAACACCCTACCAAAAGATTTGCGCTCATTGACCACGTCATCAATACCTGATTGTTTATATGCATGTGCATTAGCGATTTTCTGTGAAATTCGAAACTTGAAAAGTTTGTACAGAGTTACCTCAAATTACATTGGATTAATTTGTTTAAAGAGACAGCTAGCCCATACCCTAACCCACAACTAACGCTAAGGATTGTAAAGGGGTGTTGGATCATTAAGACGTGTAAGTTTCCCTAAGATGGCTGGTTGGTTGGTTTGTTGTTAAACGCCACACTCAGCAATATTCCAGCTATATGACGGCGGTCTGTAAATAATCGAGTCTGGACCAGACAATCCAGTGATTGACATCATGAGCATCGATCCACTCAATTGGGATCGATGACAAGCATCAACCAAGTCAGGGAGCCTGACCACCCGATCCCGTTAGTCGCCTTTTACGACAAGCATAGTCGCCTTTTACGGCAAGCAAGGGTTGTTGAAGACCTATTCTACCACGGATCTTCACGGGTCTCCCGAAGACGGAAAAAGGGGTGTTGGATCGTGAAGCGAGAGGGTATTGCAATTTGATCTGTAATGTCTCCAAACAGAAAGAGCTGTCACTGTGAAAAACATGATCGACACATAGCAGTGAGAGAACTACATAAGCAAAATGTGTATACCAAGGGATGAACCTGGCTTTTTCTTGAATTTATTCTTTGGCATCTTTAAAATCCAGCTAGCATCCGCTGTCCAAATCCGAACACATGGACGTGACACATAGATGTTTTCCCTCAACTACTTACAAGTACATTTTCTTCCCGTTATCCTTTTCCTTATAAACATCTTACTGTAGTTTGTAAATTAAAACTCAATTTAAAAAAGGTTAAACATGTAAATATCTCACGTATAGTATGTGAATTTCACATGTTATTTGGCAAATGTAATTTATTAATGAAAACATATTCAAGTATGTTACGGGTTATATCGATATAAAGATTCAGGGGAAGTAACTCTGGTGTGTTATCACCCTTAGCTCCTAACACCGTATTTTCCGTGCTAAGGGGAGGCACGAAGAGAAAACAGTGACACAGAGCTTAGCGATCAAACACTCCCAGACTTCCGTCTGTCGCGACCGAACTTACTTTCTGTTTGCGGATTTCCGCACGACACAAGGTATATATATATATACGTATATATATACATATGCTATCACGATAGGATACAACTCTACCCATCCCGAAGAACATATTCAGACCAAGTTTCTGACCTGTCACTCAAATGGTAGAAAACTTACAAAAGGTTCGACACACCAGCTGAAGGACTCCGAACCGAAACACATCGACGCAGTTGGTTTAATACTCGATTATGATAGCCCTTCCTTGATCTAAGTTGGCATCATGTTGCAAATGTGAGAGTAATATGTTTTGACATCTTGTTAAAATGTAAAAACTAGAATGCTTGAGTAGCGGAATAAATTAACAACTACAAGCTTAATCAGCTACTGATCTGCTAATACTATAGGTGGTCTGTATGGTCTGTATTCAGAGCTTTCCGGAGATAAGCTTCCTATATCTAGAATCTTTATAGTTTAATCACTCTTTCCAAATGAAAGAAGAGAGTGATTAGTATGCATGGGACACACTCATAAACTATTGTGCCAAAGTTGTCTTTGTTTCAATATTCTGTGTTATCCAAACACTAATTACAGATAAACAAGAAGCAGGTCTGACTTGACACATTCACTCTCGGATGCCATGATCTTTAAAAGCCCGGATGTACAGGGATCAGTTATTGTAATGGACAGTGGTGTGATAGGGAGCGGTCATTACTCGATATTGCAACAGTCTTTGTCCGCGGTAATTGCATGTCTGTCTCCTTTCTATAAACCATTTTGATAATAGAGAAAAGTCAGTATCAAAAATCGTTTATAAGAAGCATCACAGTCGTACATTTACCATGTTTACTGCAGATATGTTTGTCGAAGGAGTCCTTAGATTAATAAACGAAGCAGCAAACCTCAAGGCAGCTGTGGTAATCTTATTCGGCCTGGGTCAAGTCTAAATTTACTACCCCGATACTCGAACCCTTATTTCCCAAACCTACCCAGGAACACACTGTAAGCCCCCAGATTCGGTACAAAATGTCCGATTGGGAATTGTTTTTTAAGAGCTCTGGCAAAGAGTATATAGATACACATATAAAATGATCTGATCATGCATGTACTGAAGTTGAATGAAGATTTATCTTTTTCATTCAAATGTATAAAAGTCATCGTATATATTTTTCCCTGGCTATGTTTTCAGGAACTCATTTCATCAGGAGGGATCCTCCCATTGGATAGTTTTATTGCTTACATATGGCTCATTAGGTGTAGTTACAGTACTTCACAAAGGTTTCACCAACATACCGTATTCGACGTAATAAGTGCACAGGCTGCTCTCAAAATTAGAAATAGGGGGCTCTTATTAGAATATCATTTTGGTGAAAGAGTTGAAAGATCGTAAATTTCGTGGTTTATGCTGACAGCCTGAAATGATACAAAAGAAAATTATGTGCTTATTATGCATGCACATACATGTTTCCAGAATTTAATTCCCCGTAATTAAGGGTGCATATAACAAACAGGTGCGTATTATACACGAATAAATTAGTCTTGTGCACATTGATCAATCGGAAGGGTGCTAATTGGGATTGTTCACTAGCCACTATATCATCAAATACCGCCATTGGCGCTTATAGCGGGGCACTTATTACGTCAAATACGGTAATTATATTTGTGAAAGACACCAGGTGTCATGGTTTGTGATGGTTGTTTCAGGTTTGATGGCAAATGAGAGGACCCCAGAAGAACAAGCATATTTTGATTTGTTGGCGAAGTACAAAGACGAGGAGAAGGAAGAAGAGAGAGAAGCTGAAGGTAGTTTAGGGTTTGAAAGTCCTTGTTGTAAGGGACTTGTGGTACAGTTTAAATAAGTTCTCAGTGCCTGAAAGGTAGGGCTGCAACGGTTCGGTTCGGTGTACCGAGATCCGGTACTTGTCGTCTCGATTCGATTTACAATGCCTAGATTTCGATTCGGTTCATTCCAATTTTTGTAATAAATTTAAAATTAACAAAAATAACCTACCTCGTTGGCGAAAAAAATTAAAAGACGCATTCATATTGACAAAGTGAAAATGTAAAAAAATGCATTTGTTTGAAACTTTTGACAACTGTCTCTTGAAAACGCAAATAGATTAGAGTGCCCTCCCTTTGAAAGCATGCCAGATGACGTGCTGTCACCAGCCCCAAGTCATCTAAAATCTAAGGTTTGGGCTCAAGTGTGGCTAGTGAGAGGGTCTTTTCAACAGCCGGGGATGTTGTGATTACTCGGAGGGCTTCCCTCAGTAGTGACAAAGTGGACATGCTTGTGTTTTTATCAAAAAACATGATCATCCCTGATGACCTGATTGACCTCACAGTCTGAGGTGATGAGTTTGTCCTGTTGGTGCACAGTGTTGCACTGTTCTATAAAAAAGTTAAAGTAAATACACCTTTTGTTACTTATTTATGCATATTATACATGAATCATTGTATATTATTAGACTAATGAATCGAATCGAAAATAATCGAATCGAATGGAAATAATCGAGCATCGAACCGAATTGAAGTATTGGTGAACCGTTGCAGCCCTACTGAAAGGCACACTTAGAAATTATATTTGTAACAACAAGGTTAATTGTAGGACCCCAGGACGTCCAGAAGGTCGGGGGTTAGATCCCCAGCCGCGTCATACCAAAAGATGTTAAAAGATGGTACTTGTTGTTACCCAGCCTGGCGCTCGACATAAGGGGCTAAATAAAGGACTGGTCGGCTCGGAGTCTGTGTATTCATGTTAAACTGTGGCGTGATATCTCAGTGGGCTAGCACTACAAAATCGGCATTAGTCCAGATTAGTACAAGCAGCCACACCCACCCACGTGCATGCACGTCGCCATGTAAGTGCAATAATCTTGGACGCGACTGTAAACCCCATTTCACCTCACTGTAAGAGGCGGTTAACAGGATCAGGTGATCAGGCTTGCTGACATGGTTGAATACTGGATTGTCTGGTCCAGACTTGATTATTGACAGACTGCCGTCATATTGCTGAGAATATGCTGAGTTCAATCCTTGGGCCTGTGTCAGGGTTAAAGAAGGTTACCCTTAACTCGTCAGGGTTAGAGAATGTTACCCTTAACTCGTCAGGGTTAGAAAAGGTTACCCTTAACATGTCAGGGTTAGAGAATGTTACCCTTAACTCGTCAGGGTTAGAGAATGTTACCCTTAACTCGTCAGGGTTAGAAAAGGTTACCCTTAACTCTAATCCCTAGCACCCCTTCATGATAGCAATTTCGGCTGACCTGTCCTTTGGGACTTATGTGTGTTAGTAGAGTACAAATTTCTATTGGGAGTTTTAGTATTGATAAAATTTCTGTTTTTATATTGATAAGATTTCTATTCTTGTATTGATATGATTTCATTTTAGATTTTTTGAAACTGATAGATTTTCTTAGGCTGCTCTTGTTTAAATACGTTTGAGTAACTGTCTATCTCTCAGAAAAAGAGTTAGTTTAGGCTTCGCTCTTGCATCTCTTGGTTTAAGGAGATCTAAATGCAAGTCTTGTTGTAACGGAGCTGGGCTGGGACATGGTCTTGCCATTCCAGTAACAAGTGAGCAATGGATTCGGGTCCATTGCAAGATGGGCATACGTTGTCATAGTGATCTTTGTGATCGAGTGCATGGCATGAGATGGCTACTTCAACTTTCATTTGAGTATGAGTATGGCTTTGAGTGAATCTTGGGTTGAATTTTGTATGGCCATCTGTGGATCTTACTTGCATCCCCCTGGGCTTGCCATTTTTGGGCTATGGAGGCTTTGAGTTTGCTTATTATCTCAAGTTTACTGAAGGGAATAGGCTGTATCTCTGCTGAGTCTAGAGCTATATTCACCATTTGAAGTCGACATTAGCCAATCAGAAGGCAGCTTTCACATGCTTTACAGCACTAGTTTCAAACTGGCGACTACGCTTCAAACATATTTTGACAAATTTTGAAAAGTGAACAAAAGAACATTATGGAATGGCAAATAGATGGCCTAGATTGTATGGATTTAGTCTTAAAGCCTGTATATGTCGTTTGGAATACCCAATGTTAAATTTTCAAGGTTGCATGATTAGCAAACACTTTTCGACTGTCACTTTCCTGATCTGGTAAGCAAGGTTGTGATTGGTTGGATGAAAGGTCATTCTGACGTGACCCGTAATCGGATGTTCTCAGATTTTGTTTAGCTGTAGTGAGAACTAAGTTCTGATTTTAATGAGATTGCACTATTCCCGTTTCAGAAACTGAGAAGGCTATTACCCAGCTAACACACAAAAATTTAAAACATTTTGAGAATGTTTCCTTATGGTTAGCTGAAAACTAAAATTTGTGGTGTTTCCCGAATGTTCTGTAATGACGAGAAACATTATTGAAACCTAATCAAAACTTCCTAGTTGAGAGCTTCTGGTGATTGTAGAGACATCATCATTGTAAGCTTCTTTTTCAGCTTTGAGTGTTCAAAAACTCATTCATTCAGGGGACACGGGTGGCCCAGTTGTCTAAGGCGCCGCTGTGCAGAGTTGCGTCCCTTGCTCGCGCTCGTGGGTTTCACCAAAGTAGTAAAAGTCTTAGACCTGCATCACTTTGGGCTTTCCTCCGACATTAAGCTGACACGCCGTGATATAACTGGAATACTGTTAAAAGCAGCGTTAAACCGAACTAACTAACTCACTCACTCACTCACTCACTCACTCACTCACTCACTCACTCACTCACTCACTCTTATTCATTCATGCACACCAACTAGTCAATTAACAAATCACCAAAAAATCAGCGATAGGAACTGTGAAAGATGAGCATGATGAGAACAGCAAACACTGTTATGTTTACAAAAAATAGTGCATTTTGTAATAAATGTTCACAAAGAAAATAACAAGGTTAGTTGTCCGATTGAGATGCTTCTTGTGTATATGTGTTGGCTTCTGTGTCAACAAAACAAAAATAACAACATTAATTTAATCCAGGGCCCACTTGCACAAAACGATCTTAGCGCTACGACTATTGTAAGCCTATGTTAAAGTATGGGAGTTAAGATCATCTTAGCGCTAAGATCGCTTTGTGCAAGTGGGCCCTGATGGTACAAATTTCGATTAAATAATCTATTTCGTTTAAGTTTGAATTATCCTCCTTGACCCATGAAGATTCTGGGGTAGAATAGGTCTTCAGCAACCCATGCTTGCCGTAAAAAGTGGCTATGCTTGTCGTAAGAGGCGACTGACGGGATCAGGTGGTCAGGCTCGCTGACCTGGTTGATGCATGTCATCGATCCCAATTGCATGGATCAATGCTCATGATGTCAATCACTGGATTGTCTGGTCCGGACTCGATTATTTACAGACCACCGTCATATAGCTGGAATATTGCTGAGTGCGGCATTAAACAAGTACCAACCAACCACAAATTTGAAGTATTTTTACGTGCAATATTAAGCTACATTTAATATTATTTTTCAATAATAGGATGCACATGTACATGTATATGTTGTTAAATCGAGCCCTGATCAGGGACATGTTGAGGTTATGATAAAACGTAAGAATTTGCCACCATCCTTGTGTGGGGCCTGTTTGAGGAAATCGGTCAGGACTTCCTTAACTTGACTCACTGTAGGCAACTTGTGGCTGAGTCAGGCTTTTGCAAGAACAAGGAAGAACATTTGCTGACATTTCACTAGATTGCTCTCTTGAAAGTCTGATTGTTTTTTAGAAACAGTTTTTCATAGTTATTCCAGTGTAAGGAAAATACAATCAATCAAAATCATGATTAATTCACCAATTTTTATTTTTTGTATTTAAATAGTGAGCTAAAATGCATATTAATGTGTTTTAAACAAAGTACATGTAAGTAATCCAAACAACCAAATGATATAACCGGAGGTTTCGTAAAATAATATTATTTTTATGTTTAATATTTTCAACAATGTGATCCTTTTTGGTAGATATTATGTATAACTTCTTTATAAAGTTTATACTTGTGATGTAATGTATTGAAATGATTCTTGTACTTTCTTCTATGTCATAAAATAATTTCCCAAATAATATTTGACTAAAATTAAATTGATTGAATTTAAAATCATGGTGTTTATAACACCTTTTTTATATTTCTTGTAAAAAAGTTGCATCTTGTATTTCCATGTAAGGAGGCTGACATGATTGATGAGGAATCATGGTCTGTATTTGGGGTGAAACAATACATGAAGGTCATGATATACGATACGTATCACCATACATCGGTCATGGTACGATACATATCACGATACTCATATACGTCAAATCGCATGGAATCCTCTCGACACTAAATATTTCAGAGTAGACTGAAAAGGAAAAGCTAGCTGCAGACACATGTTGGTAGCGGCTATATTTAGCTGTGAACTTAAAATGTAAACTACAGCTCATTTTGCAATATTGACTGACAAAAGCGCAGGGAATCAATAAAAGAGTAGTAAGTAATTTATTTTAGCAAGTGTATTGTCTTGTATCGACACAGTAAAAAATGTATCGTGTATTGTATCGTCACATGAAAACATGATGAACCAATGTATTGTTTCACTTCCAGTCTGTTTTGCTGGGGAAGTGACGTCTTGTTATAAAAATAACAAGCTGGGGTCAAGGAAGTTAATGAAATACTATACCGGATATATCCTGTTTTCCCTGTACATCACTGATAAGCAGAGAGACTACATATGTGACCAAATTTGTATAAGCAGATGGGATACGGGGCTGAGGACATGTGAAAGTCTTGTCTTTGTAAACATTTCTACATTTTGAACATTTTGCAAGAACTAAGTCAACGAGCCTGATCCCATTAGTCACCTCTTATGATAAGCATGGGTTGCTGAAGACCTATTCTAACCCGCATCTTCACATTTCGGAATGTGAAAGTAGTCAATCAGTGTTTATATTATGTCTAAGATACAGCCATGTGGTCATGTGACCAGCGCTGACAGATATTCATTCCATTTAAATCTATGTGTTAGTCAGTCAGTGTTTATATTATATCTAAGATACAGCTTTGTGGTCATGTGACCAGCGCTGACAGATATTCATTCCATTTAAATCTATGTGTTAGCCAGTCAGTGTTTATATTATATCTAAGATACAGCCTGCTGGTCATGTGACCAGCGCTGACAGATATTCATTCCATTTAAATCTATGTGTTAGTCAGTCAGTGTTTATATTATATCTAAGATACAGCCTTGTGGTCATGTGACCAGCGCTGACAGATATTCATTCCATTTAAATCTATGTGTTATTTGTCAGTTCTTGTCACGATATGGCTGAAATACTGCCGATGTCACGTTAAATAATAACTCACTCACCTCTCATCCAATGGGAAAGCCATTAAAACATTATTAGGAGAGAGTTTCAATAGACACAAGATGCCAGTAAAATAAATTCCTACTATGTTCTACTTTTTCTAGCTCAGTTCGAAGAGGATCTCGAGCGTGCTCTAGCCTTGAGCCTCTGTGAAGAAACAGTTGTCACGGGAACACAGTCAGGTGACGCCGACCCTGTCATAGATTTTCCACATGTAAGTACCACGCTTTACCAACAGTTGTATACTCCCCATGGAGTTGAGAACTCTGAAAACACACTGAAATCACTCTGCTTATCACATCAGTGATGTGGAGTTATGCACTTGTTAGTGGACTAGTACCTTCATCTTCAAATTTTAGTTGGATCATCTTCCCTAGGCAAGGGAGTAACTGACTATAAAAGTTCAGTTTCCACCCTTGCCGAACAAGGCATGAATTTCGTGGCTCGATTGTAGCGCCACCTGGGGCAGTTATGAGTTACGTCTCTTCTATGCCCCTCCTGTTGACCAGTCAGATTCCACCTCCCAATCAAGACGATCTGATCGATAATTAAGATCTTTGTTCTGTTAAATGGGTCTTACCTTGCGAAGTGCATTAAATCACATGAGCACTTGGATTAAAAACATGAAAAGATTTGGAAAATGTTTGCTGACACCCAGTTGACAGTACTCATACTCATACATTACAAATCCTGCAATCGACCAAAATCTGCACATCAGTCACCATGTTGTTTCCGAAACCAGATGTTGATTTCATTACATGATCTTGATTGGACTAGGCATAGACTCGTTAGTCCAGCCAAAATAAATATAACTCCATGATTCCAGCCTATTTCGGCAAGGGTGGAAACTGATCTTTTATGGACAGATATGGGCAATTTGGTATCTGGAATTATATTTTAATAACTACAATTATATTTAAACAATTCTGTAATCCTTGAATTTAATCTGACATTGTACTTGATGTGTCTTCAGCATGTTCAGAATGGAAAACAAATAATTTCAGGAAAACTTAGTTGCTGATCAGCCAGGTAATCGGAGACAACATTCCAGAAAGAACAGACGGTTTGTGACTGATTCATCACCTGATGCAGATGCCATGGCCTCAGGGGGAGATAATTACAATAGTGGTAGCCACCCATCTGGCAGACCACGCAGTATTGAACTAGCAGAACAGATGAGGAGACAGGTTATAGAGGATGCAGAGGATTCAACGGATTCAACTCAGAATCATCCGTCTGGTCGGCGGAGAAGTGTTGAAATGGCAGAGGAAATGAGAAAGAAAATGTTAGATGGAGCTCAGAGCAGTGATGGTGAACAGTTTCATCCATCCGGTCGTAGGCGGAGCGTTGAAATGGCAGAAGAAATGCGTAGACAAATGTCAGCACAAGGAAGTGATGATGAACAGTTTCACCCATCCGGTCGTAGGCGGAGCGTTGAAATGGCAGAGGAAATGCGGAGACAAATGTTGGAAGATAGTCAAAATGGAGAAAGTAGCACCTGCTATAATCTGCCAATGCGGAAAAGAAGTTTAAGACCTGTTGAAACTGTTAACATTGGTGAAGATGAGGAAGTTTCCCGTGAAATTGAAGAACTCATTCGAAGGGGTATTATAAAACCTGATCACAGAGCACCTCCTTCTTCCAACAGATCTGGTGCTATACCTGACAGTGACAGTGAACTGTTTGGTGACGGCAGTCTACATCCGAGCAATGGTGGTGAAGACCCTACAGACCATCATGTTCAGAGGCGGAAAACACGAGCACATGCTAACACTAGAATACCTCAGAATCATAGAATAGACTTCAAGAATCCCTTTCCTTTTGCCGATGATGAATTCCCTGTGAATTGGGAGAGATCAAGAATTCCAGATGGAATGGCAGGCGAATTGTTCCAGCTTGTAGAAATATTGCCCGGGGAAGAGGAGTACGAGACGATAGCCCGTGACTTCCACATCGCCGACCTTGAAGTTAAGAAGATGGAGCGTCTCCAGAATGTTCATCTCCTGGATCGGTACAAGGGAGAAAAGGAGCTTTTAATGAAGAGCAGAGGAAGAGGTAAGATCTCCCTAAATATATCAGTTGTCACTTTTATTCAAAAAAGATTCTGATTTTGTATGCTTTCATCATGTGTTCATTTACCAGAGTTCTTGATTAAGTCCTCGTCGCTGCCTTGATGGTAGGAGTTAGGGCTGGGATGAGTCCAAATTTACTACCCAGGTACCTATCCCCCTATTACCCGACCCTACCCAGGTACCCACTGTAGGTCTCAAGAGTTAGGTACAAATGTCTGATTGGGAATTTGTTTACTATAGCCCTGGCAAAACGTATTTAAATACATGTATTAAACAATCTGGTCAAGCATACACTTAAGTTTACTTAAGTTATTTCTTTATTCAACCATATGAAAAGTCAGAAGCAATGGGTGCATAGTCAGAAAATGCGAACATTGGTGACTTACAGTGTAACCATAGAGTTCTAGATAATTTTTGTCATTAGACGATATATCACCGGGTAGTCCTGTGGGTACAGAGGTCCTACTCAGAACCCACCCGACCCGAGTACCCGAGTTACCCGTCACAACCCTAGTCGTGTCATCACTTCTCTGTTTACTAACCAGGCCAGGTGCCAGTGTTTAGAGTGGTTGAGTCCAGGGGAGGGTCACGCCGAGTTCCTAGGTCGTCAGCTTCTCATTTGTCTGACCAATGAAGATCCGGGTTAGAGTAGGTCTTCAGCAACCCATGCTTGTTGTAAGAGCCACTACCGGTATACTTGTCAATAGAGGCAACCAACGGGATCGGGTGGTCAGACTCGCTGACTTATTAATGCATGTCATCGTATCCCAATTGATTATTTACATGTGACTAACCACTGGTCCGGGTTGTCCTGTGGTTACTCGGGTCCTACCCAGTACCCACCCGACCCGGGTACCCATGTTACCTGTCCCAGTCCTAGTAGGAGTTGAAGATTTCGGGTGTCATTAGATTCAAATACAGTGACAGTCGTAAGAGGCAACTAACAGGATCGAGAGGTCAGGCTTGCAGACTTGGTTGATACATGTCATCGTATCCGAATTGTGTCGATTGATGCTTATGATGTCAATCACTGGATTGTCTGGTCCAGACTTGATTATTTACAGATCGCCGTCATATAGCTGGAATATTGCTGAGTGCGGCATTAACAACAAACAAACACAAAACAAAATTTTATTTGTTGGTCCATAGGGACTGGCAGTCCACGCCTAATTTCACTAGTAAAACACTGGTAATTACCAATAAACGGGAACACTGTACTCTGAAAAAAGGCAGCCTGATAACGTTATATTATACACATACACTTGTAAGGGAAAAGGAGAGGCATATTGGGCAATACACCTACAGTTAAACAAAAGAAATGAGAACATGAGTATAAATTCTCTTCTGTATCCATGGTGTCGTTTTCAGATTTTGATGTAAACGCCCGGTACTTGTACCACGGGTCTGCGGCCAACAAGATGATTCTCTGTGAAGAGGGGCTGGATGCCAGGCTCGGGATGAGTGGATGTTTTGGAAAAGGCATCTATTTCAGGTAAACACCAGGAACTAAATATCATAACTAGGGTGTGGACACGTGAAGATCTTGGGAAGAATGAAATCCCATGCTTGCCGTAAAAGGCGACTATGCTGGACGTCAGAGGGGACTTACGGCATCGGGTGGTCAGGCTCGCTGACTTGGTAGATGCATGTCATCCTATCCCAATTGTTTGGATCGATGCTCATGATGTCAATCACTGGATTGTCTGGTCCAGACTCGATTATTTACAGACCCCCGTCATATGGCTGATATATTCCTGAGTGCGGTTTTAGACAACAAACAAACAAACAAACAAACAAACAAACTGGGGTGTGGCAGCGGGACTTCTTATGGTCACAAATGACTATTTCATCGAATGAGAATGATATAATATGAATAATGATAAATTTATCATTGGTAGGGTGTACAGGATTTTGCAATCTGAAACTCCTTTGGGTGTGGGTGTACAAGTATGCCCAGCTTGTCAAGACCTGTACACCCAACCATTCACACTATACACTTCAGGCATAACAAGATCAAAAGCTGCAAAATAATGGTAGAAATATTTAAAATCAAATATAACAATATTAATTCAAATAAAACAACTATGTTCCTGCTTCTTTTTATTGTATTTAAGGCTAATAAAATACAAGAAGTGGTTCTCATGCAATGTTTTTTGAAAATATAGTCCCAGCGGGCCAGCAGTGTCTCTTTTCTCTTTTGTTCAAACTATTATGTAACCAAACAAACAGATGGGTCACCAAATAAACAATTGTGTACAATCAACCTGGGAAAGGACCTCCCTACATTAATGTATTCCTTGATGAGTAAAATACTGGAATACAGTATTTGACTACCATTGGACTTGGAAATATTAATGATTTTTTTGTTTTTTATAAAATGGAAATAAAAACGAAACATATGGCGAACTTTATGATGTTGCGGGCGGTGCCTGTGAAACCAGACTATTATTAATTTTAGACTAATATAAAATATCATATATAACTTTTTCTCATATTTGTTTGCTGAAATTGCACTTGAAGCCACATTAAAAATTGCCCACTCTACCATGTCAACTGTCACAATTCTTGTTATATTGCCATTGTTGAAGCACCCGCTTGACCCAGATTAATACGGAGACAGCACACTACCGAAAGTGATGTAAGATTGTACATGGTCAGAGGTCGCCAGTTTGAAATAGATACGGAAAACCCCAAATGAAACAAAGCTAGAACACTTGAAAATTGTGAAGCATTCGACTTCGTATTACAGTGAACTACGGTTAAAAGCCACCCCTAAATTTAGTTTGTTAAAACCTTAGTTCATTATAAGCACATATACAACAGATGTACGGGTCCAAAACAACAGTTCGGTATATCTACCAGTTTGTTATAAGCATGTTCGTTATAAACATACTTTACTGTATACAATAAACTAAGTTTATAACAAACACGCATATAACAAACTGATGGATATAACAAACTGTTTTTGGGGTCCCGGTCATTTGCTGTATATGTGCTGTATGCAGTGCTAGAAATTGGCTGTAGTCCTGGAGGCCTTGCCAAACTGCCCAATAGTTAAGGTATGATAAGGACTAAAGTACGCACGGAATTGAAAAAAAAAGTTTCTTGATCTCAGATTTTAAATAAATGCAGTTAATATACAAAATATATACCGTATTCGACCTAATAAGCGCCCAGGGCGCTCTCAAAATTAGAAATAGGGGGCTCTTATTAGAATGGTATTTTGGTGCAAAAAAATCAGGTGAAAGATAAATTTCGTGGTTTATGCTGACAGCCTGACATATTTATATACGACAGATATATTTTTCCAGGATATTTAATTGCCCATAATTAAGGATGCATATAACACACGAGTGCGTATTATACACGAATAAATAAATCTTGTGTACATTGATCAATCGGAAGGGGTGCTAATTGGGATTGTTCACTAGCCAATATATTAACAAATATCGCCATGGGTGCTTATTAGAGCGGGGCGCTTATTACGTCGAATACGGTAAATATTCAAACAACTCAATTAGTACTAATTTTGCCTTGGTGCAAATACAGCGTATCAAAGGTTTTTATGTCATTTTACCCATAAAAGTGTGTAAAAATATGAACAAAACAGACTATTGTGAAACTGAGCTTAACCAGGGGTTAGTAGATCAAGGTGAATGTCCATGACCTATGACACCTTGACGACAGGTGAAAACAGGTGCTTGAAACCCACGTGCATGTGATTTGTCAGTGGTTGGTGATTTGTGAGTGGCATTGTGGGATAGTGAATCATCGTCAAAATATCAGAACGTAAAAGTAACATATTCCCTTCTCAAACAACAACTTACATGTCATTATTATTATATACATGGACATAGCTGTTATTTTTATTGTTGTTTTGATAACTTTTTTCCAGGCTACTTTGCATAATGCCTATAGCCTGTTTCTGCCATGTCAGTTTGGACTTAGTTTTATTTTTGAATGTTGAGTGCCTACAAATTACCTCCTGTAAAGTACGTTTTGTATTGAGCACTGAGATAAAATGAGCAAATCCAGACTAGTACTTTTCCAGTTGTTTTGTTATTTCATATTTACATCTACCTAATGCTTTGTGTCGATTATTAAATCCATCAAAACAGGTTTTTTTCATTTCCATGAGTACTTTAGTCCTGGAGTCCTTGCCAAACTGCCCAATAGTTAAGGTATGATAAGGACTAGTAGAAATTTGTCATTTTTAAGGATTTTGCTGTATGTTATCATCATTATTATTATTATCATTGTTATGTTTCTATAACTGTGTATTTATGCTTATTATATAACAAACTACAGTGATAACCAACTAAAAATTAGTGGTCCTTTTGGGTTCATAATAAATGATTTTACTGTGGGTTTGTGTTATAGTTATATTCTTCTGTGTCCCACTAGATGCACTGTATTATTTTTGTGTCCATTTTACTTGTTTTTGCGTATAGGATGCAGGATGTCTCGTTCAGTACATCATGCGTACAATGAAGGGATTTGCAACAGCATTCACTGTGTCATGGTTTTGTTCAACATTACCTTTGTCGTGTTTGTGTTTTTCTTCAGCGACAACCCCAAGAAGTGTGTTCAGTATGTGTCCAGGTCATCTGTGAAGTACATTCTCATGTGTCGGGTCATGCTGGGCGAGGCCAAGGTAATACGCAACAGACTGTTTTGTTTGTTTGTTTGTTGTTTAACGCCGAACTCAGCAATTATTCAAGCTATATGACGGCGGTCTGTAAATAATCGAATCTTGACTTGACAATCCTGTGATCAATATCATGCATCAATCCACGCAATTGGGATCGATTGCATGCATCAACCAAGACAGCAGGCCTCATCACCCCCGATCCCGTTAGTTGCCTCTTACGACAAGCATTGTCGCCTTTTACGGCAATCATGGGTTGCTGACAACCTATTTAACGCAGATCTTCACGGGTCCTGCAGGCTATTGCAGCGGTAGAAACTAACAGTTTCAGTCCACTAGTTCTTATAATGATAGCATATAGCAAAACCTTTAAAAATGTCAAAATTCTACTAGTCCTTAGGATACCTTTACTATTGGGCAGTATTGCAAGGACTATAGGACTAGTGCCAATTTCTAACCCTGCTATTGGCTTGTTGCAGTCTTGTCACTACATTTCCCATCTTCCCCAGGCAAGGGAGCTAAGTGACTTTATCAGCTGTTTTTACATCCAGTTTCCACCCTTGCCGAACTAGACTGGAATTTCTGGGTCGATCGTAGCGCCACCAGTGACTATTACAAGTTATGTCCCTTCTATGTCCCTCCTATTGACCAATCAGATTCTACCTCTCACATCACCAGCATTTTATTCAAACACAATGTTGGCGCCGAGTCAAGACGATCTGATCGATAATCAAAATCTCTATTGTGATAAAACAGGTCTTACTTCGCGAAGTGCATCAAATCACATGAGCACCTTGATTAAAAACATTAATAGATTTGGAAAATATCTATTGATGCCAACTCCTATACATAGCCTAACGATAGTTGTAGTGCTAATATTTCCTTTTGTGGAATGTGCCCTTGGTCTGTTCGCTCATGGGGTACTGTCTGTCATCTGTCGCCTTGCAATCTGGATTACAAGACATCTTGTCGTGTTTATGAAGTTTAATAGCATTTCCTACGTACTAAATGTGCAATGTTCGAAACTGTATAACCAGAAATGTGATAAGTAACGTTGTTCAATCATACACTTCCAGTGTTTTCTGACAAATATATTAAAATGACTATATGCTGTATTCATGTCACTATGTCAAAAACAAAGTTTTTCAAAGGTGTGACTGAAAATATGCGACTTTTGTCATGTTTCTCAATTAACTTTTTAATATGCCTTGAAATTTAATGTAAAGTACTAAAGATTTCTAAGTTTGAATCCCTTTATAACCGTTTCTCAGCCAAACAGATTGCACACATTACTGACATATTGTTTTCAATTGTAGATATATCCTCGGGGTGAAATGGAACGAGACTTGAAGCGAGAACCACCAAAAGAAGACCCAGCAGGAGGATGGAGGTTCTATGACTCTGTTCGGGTGAGGTTGTTGTGAACCTTGTCAGCTAAACCAGGGCAGTAATGTACCTCTCAAATAGATGGTCTATGACTGTTTAGCTGTGGTTGTGATTGAGTAATGTACTGGCTGTGGTTGTCATCGAGTAATGTACTGGCTGTAGTTGTCATTGAGTAATGTACTGACTGTGGTTGTCATTGAGTAATGTACTGACTGTGGTTGTTGTCAAGTAATGTACTGACTGTGGTTATCATCGAGTAATGTACTGACTGTGGTTGTTGTCAAGTAATGTACTGACTGTGGTTGTCATTGAGTAATGTACTGACTGTGGTTGTTGTCAAGTAATGTACTGACTGTGGTTATCATCGAGTAATGTACTGACTGTGGTTGTCATTGAGTAATGTACTGACTGTGGTTGTTGTCAAGTAATGTACTGACTGTGGTTATCATCGAGTAATGTACTGACTGTGGTTATCACTGAGTAATGTACTGACTGTGGTTATCGTCGAGTAATGTACTGACTGCGGTTGTCATGGAGTAATGTACTGGCTGCGGTTGTCATGGAGTAATGTACTGACTGGTTGTCATCGAGTAATGTACTGACTGTGGTTGTCATTGAGTAATGTACTGACTGTGGTTGTTGTCAAGTAATGTACTGACTGTGGTTATCATCGAGTAATGTACTGACTGTGGTTGTCATTGAGTAATGTACTGGCTGTGGTTGTTGTCAAGCAATGTACTGACTGTGGTTATCATCGAGTAATGTACTGACTGTTGTTGTCATTGAGTAATGTACTGACTGTGGCTGTTGTCAAGTAATGTACTGACTGTGGTTATCATTGAGTAATGTACTGACTGTGGTTATCATTGAGTAATGTACTGACTGTGGTTATCGTCGAGTAATGTACTGACTGTGGTTGTCATTGAGTAATGTACTGACTGTGGTTGTTGTCAAGTAATGTACTGACTGTGGTTGTCATTGAGTAATGTACTGACTGTGGTTATCATCGAGTAATGTGCTGACTGTGGTTGTCATTGAGTAATGTACTGACTGTGGTTGTTGTCAAGTAATGTACTGACTGTGGTTATCATCGAGTAATGTACTGGCTGTGGTTGTCATGGAGTAATGTACTAACTGAGGTTGTCATTGAGTAACGTACTGACTGTGGTTGTCATTGAGTAATGTACTGGGTGTGGTTGTCGTGGAGTAATGTACTCGCTGTGGTTGTCATTGAGTAATGTACTGACTGTGGTTGTCATTGAGTAATGTTCTGACTGTGGTTGTCATTGAGTAATGTACTGGCTGTGGTTGTCATTGAGTAATGTACTGACTGTGGTTGTCATCAAGCAAGGTACTGGCTGTAGTTGTCATCGAGTAATGTACTGACTGTGGTTGTCATGGAGTAATGTACTGGCTGTGGTTGTCATGGAGCAATGTATTGACTGTGGTTGTCATTAAGTAATGTACTGACTGTGGTTATCATTGAGTAATGTACTGACTGTGGTTATCATTAAGTAATGTACTGACTGTGGTTGTCATGGTGTAATGTACTGACTGTGGTTGTCGTGGAGTAATGTACTGGCTGTGGTTGTCATTGAGTAATGTACTGGCTGTGGTTGTCATGGAGTAATGTACTGACTGCAGTTGTCATTGCGTAATGTTCTGACTGTGGTTGTCATTGAGTAATGTACTGACTGTGGTTGTCATTGATTAATGTACAGACTGAGGTTGTCATGGAGTAATGTACTTACCGGTTGTCATCGAGGGATGATATAGCTGTGGCTGAGGTGGTAATTGAGTAATGTGCTGACTGTACCTTGATGAAAAAAGCAATTTGACCACTGTTTGCCACTCATGCCCGTTTGTACATCTTGGTGTGAGAGAAATAGCCTTTGTTCTGGTCTGTTCTGATGTTTCATGAGAGACTATTCTGCCAGTGCGTCATGTCAACTTTTACTGCATCTTTCTTGCAGGGTCGACCAGTTGACTTCAATGAATATGTGATATATGAAAACCGCCGAGCCATGATTGAGTACATCATCACATTCCAACGCCAGGGTGCGCCAGCCGATGACACGGAACAGGAGGAGGTCGGCGGAGCTGTAGCTGCCAATGCACTTCCTCCATTACTTCTAGGTATGTAGTGACCCGTGAAGATCCGGGGTAGAATAGATCTTCAGCAACCCATGCTTGCCGTAAAAGGTGACTATGCTTGTCGTAAAAGGCGACTAACTGGATCGGGTGGTCAGGCTCTCTGACTTGGTTGATGCATGTCATCGATCCCAATTGCATGGATCGATGCTCATGATATCAATCACTGGATTGTCTGGTCCAGACTCGATTATTTACAGACCGCCGTCATATAGCTGGAATATTGCTGAGTGCAGCGTTAAACAACAAACCAACCAACCAACTAGGTATGTAGTGATCTTTCAGCAACAAGTAGGATTAGCATTGATTGTTTGTTTGTGTGTGGTTTAACGCCTTACTCCGCCATTTTCCAGCTTATCATGGCAGTCTGTAAATAATCGAGTCTGGACCAGACCGTCTAGTCATGAGCATCGATCCACGCAATTGGTATACAATGACATGTATCAACCAAGACAGCGAGCATGACCACCCGATCCTCCAAGTCGCCTCTTACAACCGATTTCCATTGAAGTTGTCATTCACATATCCATACCTGTCAACTCTCATTCATTTGGTGTGAGGCTCACACTTTTACAACAAATCTGACTCTCATGCTACTGTAATCTCGAGCCTATTCGCTAAAATGACTTTTAAGAACACCACGTTCTATTTAGTGCTTAATTGTCTTGTTCCACATCCGTAGCTGTATAGCATTTCTGTCATTATCTCTACATCTACCTGTGAAGACAATTTACAAATTACAAACTCAACCAGAGGGCTCATTATGGTTATAATTAAAAAATGGTAACATAGTTAAAATCACCATTCTGGTGCTAGACATACTAGACATGGTTATTGAATACCTGAAGAAAACAGGAACGGGGGTTGACACTTGGTATTTCATCTGTCTGGATTGCTTCAGGGCCCACTTGCACAAAGCGATCTTAGCGCTAAGACTATCGTAAGCCTATGTTAAAGTATTGGATGGGATATGTCGGCGTCTCCTCACACTTTGACATGCTGGGTCACTGTTTTATTCCCTGTGAAGATCCAGGTTAGAATCAGTCTTCAGCAGTGTCTTCAGCTTGTCTTATGAGGTGACTAACGGCTTTGGGTGGTTGATGCATGTCAACGTATTCCAATTGCGTAGATCGATACTCGTCATGTCAGTCATTATTTTGGTCTTGATTATTAACGGACCACTGTCATATAGATGGAATATTGCTGAAAACGTCATTAAATAACAAACAAGAAAACTTTGGTTCAGAAAAAGTCTTGACTCCATAGGCTAGAAAAAATAATAGTGTGATTTGTGTTGACCGAATTGTAAAATGTCTGGTTTGCACTATTCAAATCGGACATTTTGCAGTCACAATCCGACAAGTCCAGTGCACAGACCGATTTCCAGATCCCTGATCTTGGTTCTCAGGCACTGCCCACATCATCATAAAGTTTGCTGCACGTTTCATTTTTATTTCAATTTAATATTTTTTTTAAATCCTTAAATATTCCAAGTCCAACGGTTGTAAAATACTGGAAACTGTAGTCAAGTATTTTACTCATCAAGGAATACATTCACAGTCAAGTCTCATTAATCTGACACTCCTTAATCCGACAATCAACTTTATCCGACACAAATGATGGGAACCAATTTAATTAATGCTATTTATACCCGTTAATCAGACAGTCTCGCACTCCGACTCCCACGCACCTAATTTGCAACGAATTACTGAAATCACTCATTAATCAGTCTCGTTAATCCGACACAGTGATCAGCGTACTCCGTGGTCATCCGCCCACGAGTACACAGCCCCGTGTTTTGATGCGAGACGAGTCGGCGAGTAGCTGCATATTACAACGGCTGCAGAGATAAACTTGCTTAACAAGAAACAATTACTGCTTTAAATAAATAAAACAGGATTAATCACATGCCTAGATTACTTCAATGTCATTAAAATTGGATACAAGTTCTCGTTACCGCTGAGGACATCCCATTACAGGTCATGTCAGAACGACCTTTTGCGAACTTTGACCGACCAATGAAATTACTAACAGGAAGTCGACATTAGCCACTAAGAAAGCAGCTTTCTTAAGCATTGCGACACTAGTTTCAAATTAGCCACTTCCATTCCAGACTAGGCTTTAAAAATCAGTCAATTTTGAATCAGTCATACAGTCCGTAACAGTAGTTTTGTGTTAAACTTTAGTGGTTGCATGATTAGAAAACATATTCCGCTGACAATGTAACACAAAAATCTGAATATTTCATTTTTCCTTTTCCTACGTGTTCATATCGTTATCTATTGTGTAGTTCCAATCTTCAATCACGAACGTTTATACTAACGTAATACTCGTTAATCCGACTTAATCATATGCAACCAACAATGTCGGATTAACGGGACTTGACTGTATGTAGGCCCTTTCCCAGGTTGATTGTATACAACTGTTAACTTGGTTACATACTAGTTTGAAGAGAAAGCTCCTCACGCCCCACCTCCCCCCCCAAAAAAAACCCACCAAAACATCACCCGCCTGCACTATCTTTTTTTAAATACTAAGGCCTTTTTTATATGTATATTTTATCTTATCCTGACTCATACTAATAACTAATCTCATCAGTTTTAGAAAAGTTGTGGAAACTTCCTGTGCTGTGTTCCTGGAGAACAGCTCACCTGAACGCACCCTTAACCTGCGCATGCGCACCAGAACCACGTGACCAAGTTCTCACACTCATCATTCTCCCATTTGCGCGCCAACTGAATAGTTTATAATTTTTAGTGTGTGTGCTCTGTAATCATGTCAAATATGAAAATATCCAGAACAAGCATCTCCTTCTGGATGAGAGCAGTCATTCTGAGAGCCTACTAGGCAGCAGGGCTCCATCCACCATCAGCATCCAATCCACACCTAGTGAGAGCCAAATCTACCCTAGCACATCACAGCAACTGCTCCATCCAACCATTATGGAAGGTCGTTTCTTGAGATCAGACACTGTCTTCACAAATCACTGTCTCAGAGATTTCTCCACTCATGATGTTGCAGGAATTCACCAATTCCGACATTTAGTAGTCGCACAACGACTTACAATTCCTACCTGAAGATAGACCTCTACACTCACCCACGATCGCGCCGACTTGTTGACGTCAGGTTACCATAGCCACTGACCTAGAGTCCATGCTCCCCTGTTTTACTTTGCAATTCAGAACATGATTGAGAATCATTGTGATAAGTTTATGACTTTTTCTTAACACAATAATCGTTTAAAGTAAGCTGGAAAAATCTTTTCTCTGCGCACTTTATCAAATCCACAGAAACAGTTTTCACTCCGTATTTCATCAATAAGGAGGTGGTTCCCCACTAGATGTAAGATCATCATCAGGATGTTTTCATGTTACATCACCATCTGAATCACGCACACAGGTTGAACCCACCACCTTCTGTGTGATTCAAGCAATAAGTATGGCTCTAGTCGTGGCAACTTCCAAACTTTCGGGAAGTTGTGATCTATCGGACCGTCATTCAGGCGATGTTTCTGACAGATCACGATCTGAAAAATACTAACATGAAAGTGTATCCCGTGGATAAGCCGACCCCTTTCTACAGAATCTTTTTTCTGGTCCTCAAAATTCTGCTTATACGCGGTCATATACGGTATGAGTCAGGATAAGGTCATATATGTATTTCTTATAGTAAAAATATCTTTTATACTTATCCTGACTCATACGCTAGAGTAACCCTCTGAGCTGTCCCCTCATCCCCTCGTGTGTTTTGGCCGATAGGTAAGGGAAATGGGAGAGTGACAAGAATACTGGCTTAGTCACGTGGAACTGATGCGCCTGCGCGGCTCAGGTGTGTTCAGGTGAGCTGTTCTCCAGGAACACAGCACAGGAAGTTTCCACTACCTTTCGGAAATGAGGTAAGGTAAGCAATTAGTATAAATCAGGATAAGTAGAAAGGATATTTTTTACTCCCCGCAAGTCGCTGATGCTTGGCCAGTGGAAGAAAGCTTTTCTATGAGGCTTTGGCTTGATGACAGTAGGTAAAGAATTAGCCGTTTAGATTGTTTCTATTTATTACTAATTATGTATAGGGATCTACCCTTTAATTCCTACGTTCCTTCTGTAAGAAGATTGAACGACCCTACCGTAATGGCGTTTTTTCTGTGCTTTTTCTTCCTCACGGATTATTGACAAACGTGTCGTTGTTTTGGGGGGTGAATTATTGAGGTTTGGGACATTCTGAAGGTCTCCTGCCTCCAAACCGTCCGATACAGATGCGTTCAGGAGTAATGCAGGATAAGTGTAAAATATAGTAAAATCTAAACAAAATTTACATTTGTATACTTATCCTGCATTACCATGTTTAAGGACCCACCCGTCGCAGACTTGCCTCCCCACTTTGGCTTCAGTAACCTCAAAAGTATGTTTTTTAAGCTCGGGCGACAGGCAATGATGTGAGGAAGGTGTCTTGGCATCAAGGTCACATGACAGCGGCGATGGACCTTATAAAAACAATTTCTTCACCCCAAATCATCGCCTTGCGCTGTCTTTTTGTTGTCGTAAGGTAAGCAGTGAATGCATTAAGGAGTAATGCAGGATAAGTATACAAATGTAAAATATATTTAGATTTTATTAATTTCTTCAGAGGAAAGTGTTGAGGACCACATGAAAAGAATCGCACAAGTCCGGGAGGAGATCCGTATAAAACGAGCTGAAGAGAGGGGAGAGATATATACTGGCCCCACAGGGGTGAGTGTCGGGGAAGGAGAGGGGAGATATATATACTGGCCCCACAGAGGTGAGTGTGTGTGTGTGTGTGTGGGGGGGGGGGGGATATATACTTGTCCTCAGAGGTAAAGGGGGAGTGGTATACTGGTCTCATACTGGCGAGGGGGTGGGGATTGCTTTGTGTGTGAAAAGTACAGCTATTGAATCTCAGTGACAGAGATACGAGTGATGTCATTTGATTGTGATGTCATGGTAACCAATGCCGTCACAATTGTCTGCAAAGCATTGTGATGCAAATGCATATGAGATCTCTGGGGAGATTCTGCTTGATCAACCTCTCCTGTGGAAGTAAGTTTTTGATGATAAATCTTGGTCTCACAGTGGTAAAAATGAAGAACACCAAAGGGAATCACATCATGAATCGGAATTATGTCCCTACGAAAACCTGATGCCATGTTTGAATTGTTCATATGGCAAGGCAGCCATGAAAGTTTGTAAGCAGGATGATCGCAGTGAGAGTAGGGGTGAAATGATACAGCAAGGTCATGATACAATACGGTCCCGAGATGCATATTTACGTCAAATCGCATGGAAACTTTTCAGAAGTATTTCAGAGCAGGTTCAAAAAGAAAAGCTAGCTGAAGACACGTTTGTAGCAGCTATTTTAAGTTGTGAACTTAAAATGCTAATTACAACACATTTTGCAATATCTGACCGACAAAAACGGCAAGGGTCATTAAACAAGTAGTAAGTAATACATTTCACCAAGTCTATCGTCTTGTATCAATACAGAAAAAACGTATCGTGGATCGTATCGTAACACGAAAACACACGATATGCACCAATGTATCGTTTCACCCCTAAGTGAGAGCATTGTGACAGACAAGCATATGTATGTTTGTTGTTTAGTTGAGGACATGTTTGTTGTTTAGTTGAGGACATGTTTGTTGTTTAGTTGAGGACTTGTTTGTTGTTTTATGTCTCAGGCTCAGAGGCAGAAGGACCGAGATGTTTGGAGACGAGTGTTAAAGGTGACCTGCCCACCCGGCTCTGAGGTACAGTATATGACACTATATTATCGTGGGCTCTATATTATTGTGGTATCGGTAAATCTCGTAATCTACACACCCTGTCGACTGTTTACTTATGCAAATCTAAGCACGATATTTCAACAGTTGATCGAATACAGGACTGTTGTGGTATGTCACGGCTTCTAGTAAGTGTACACCTTAACTTTTTATGATGGTTTCTGGAATGTTTTTTAAGTGGAATTACCCCCTACCTGCATTCGAAATAGATTAGAAAAGAACCCATTTGTTTAGCGAAGTCCCTTGACCCAACCTAGTTCGTATGCATACTGATTATGCATAATTCAAAACAGGAAGTGATGTAAACCACATTATCCACACGTATTACACCACAAAATAGCCATACAGTGATAATATGGAGTTGCCCGCCCTTGAGTCCCTAATGACAGGTACTTTGTTTACCGAACTCAGAAAAGAAAATCAGCATCGATCAATACTAATTAATGTGTCATAAAAGTTGAACAAAGAACATTTTGCGTATGACATATGTAATAGGTCTGTAAGCGTACGCCATTATGATCCATGATGAATTAACTACGGCGATAATATAGCGTACCATCCAACCTTGACAGGAACAGCTTCTAATGAACACTTTAAATCTTCAAACTAATGCAAGCTTGTACGTGGTGAGATAAATGAAAAAAATACATGTCCCTTGCTGGAAAACATGCAGTGACCAGGGATGGATCTAGAATTCCAAGCCAAGTGCCCCTGACATGCTAATTGGGGGATATTTTTTGTTGTTGTTAGATTCAGTAGTCTCTGATCCTCAATGTGTTTACAATTTTTATGGATCTAGTTCATCCAGTTAATGTCACCCATTGTTAGGGACACGGGTTGCAATTGCTTGTTTGTTTGTTTGTTTGTTTGTTTGTTTGTTTGTTTGTTGTTTAGCACTGCACTCAGCAATATTCCAGCTATATGACTTCGGTCTGTTAACAAAGTCTGGACCAGACAATCACGTGATTGACATTATGAACATCAATCCACATAATTGGGATACGATGACATGCATCAACCAAGTCAGTGAGTCTGACCACCCGATCCCGTTAGTCACCTCTTACAACAAGCATAGTCGTCTTTTGCCGCAAGCATGGGTTGTTGAAGACCTATTCTACCCTAGATCTTCACAGGTCGTTGCAATAGTATCCCAGCAGTCTGTCTGTATATGGAGGAAATTACATTGGATGGGATGGACAAACATGGACTGGGTTGATTGCCTCATTGTTGTCAGAGTTCAGATTGCCTCATTGTTGTCAGAGTACAGATTGCCTCATTGTTGTCAGAGTACAGATTGCCTCATTTTTGTCAGGGTACAGATTGCCTCATTGTTGTCAGAGTACAGATTGCCTCATTGTTGTCAGAGTACAGATTGCCTCATTGTTGTCAGAGTACAGATTGCCTCATTGTTGTCAGAGTTCAGATTGCCTCATTGTTGTCAGAGTACAGATTGCCTCATTGTTGTCAGAGTACAGATTGCCTCATTTTTGTCAGGGTACAGATTGCCTCATTGTTGTCAGAGTACAGATTGCCTCATTGTTGTCAGAGTTCAGATTGCCTGGTGGTTGTCAGAGTACAGAATGCCTAATTGTTGTCAGAGTACAGATTGCCTGGTGGTTGTCAGAGTTCAGATTGCCTCATTGTTGTCAGAGTACAGAATGCCTTATTGTTGTCAGAGTTCAGATTGCCTCATTGTTGTCAGAGTACAGATTGCCTCATTGTTGTCAGAGTACAGATTGCCTCATTGTTGTCAGAGTTCAGATTGCCTCATTGTTGTCAGAGTTCAGATTGCCTCATTGTTGTCAGAGTTCAGATTGCCTCATTGTTGTCAGAGTACAGATTGCCTCATTGTTGTCAGAGTACAGATTGCCTCATTGTTGTCAGAGTACAGATTGCCTCATTGTTGTCAGAGTTCAGATTGCCTCATTGTTGTCAGAGTACAGATTGCCTCATTGTTGTCAGAGTACAGATTGCCTCATTTTTGTCAGGGTACAGATTGCCTCATTGTTGTCAGAGTACAGATTGCCTCATTGTTGTCAGAGTTCAGATTGCCTGGTGGTTGTCAGAGTACAGAATGCCTAATTGTTGTCAGAGTACAGATTGCCTGGTGGTTGTCAGAGTTCAGATTGCCTCATTGTTGTCAGAGTACAGATTGCCTCATTGTTGTCAGAGTTCAGATTGCCTCATTGTTGTCAGAGTACAGATTGCCTCATTGTTGTCAGAGTACAGATTGCCTCATTTTTGTCAGGGTACAGATTGCCTCATTGTTGTCAGAGTACAGATTGCCTCATTGTTGTCAGAGTTCAGATTGCCTGGTGGTTGTCAGAGTACAGAATGCCTAATTGTTGTCAGAGTACAGATTGCCTGGTGGTTGTCAGAGTTCAGATTGCCTCATTGTTGTCAGAGTACAGAATGCCTTATTGTTGTCAGAGTTCAGATTGCCTCATTGTTGTCAGAGTACAGATTGCCTCATTGTTGTCAGAGTACAGATTGCCTCATTGTTGTCAGAGTTCAGATTGCCTCATTGTTGTCAGAGTTCAGATTGCCTCATTGTTGTCAGAGTTCAGATTGCCTCATTGTTGTCAGAGTACAGATTGCCTGGTGGTTGTTAGAGTACAGATTGCCTGGTGGTTGTTAGAGTACAGATTCCCTGGTGGTTGTTAGAGTACAGATTCCCTCATTGTTGTCAGAGTACAGAGTGCCTCATTGTTGTCAGAGTACAGATTGCCTCATCGTGTCAGAGTTCAGATTGCCTCATTGTTGTCAGAGTTCAGATTGCCTGGTTGTTGTCAGAGTACAGAGTGCCTCATTGTTGTTAGAGTACAGATTGCATCATTGTTGTCAGAGTACAGATTGCCTCATTGTTGTCAGAGTTCAGATTGCCTCATTGTTGTCAGAGTACAGATTGCCTGGTTGTTGTCAGAGTTCAGATTGCCTGGTTGTTGTCAGAGTTCAGATTGCCTCATTGTTAGAGTACAGATTGCCTCATTGTTGTCAGAGTTCAGATTGCCTCATTGTTGTCAGAGTACAGAATGCCTTATTGTTGTCAGAGTTCAGATTGCCTCATTGTTGTCAGAGTACAGATTGCCTCATTGTTGTCAGAGTACAGATTGCCTCATTGTTGTCAGAGTTCAGATTGCCTCATTGTTGTCAGAGTTCAGATTGCCTCATTGTTGTCAGAGTTCAGATTGCCTCATTGTTGTCAGAGTACAGATTGCCTGGTGGTTGTTAGAGTACAGATTGCCTGGTGGTTGTTAGAGTACAGATTCCCTGGTGGTTGTTAGAGTACAGATTCCCTCATTGTTGTCAGAGTACAGAGTGCCTCATTGTTGTCAGAGTACAGATTGCCTCATCGTGTCAGAGTTCAGATTGCCTCATTGTTGTCAGAGTTCAGATTGCCTGGTTGTTGTCAGAGTACAGAGTGCCTCATTGTTGTTAGAGTACAGATTGCATCATTGTTGTCAGAGTACAGATTGCCTCATTGTTGTCAGAGTTCAGATTGCCTCATTGTTGTCAGAGTACAGATTGCCTGGTTGTTGTCAGAGTTCAGATTGCCTGGTTGTTGTCAGAGTTCAGATTGCCTCATTGTTAGAGTACAGATTGCCTCATTGTTGTCAGATTACAGATTGCCTCATTTTTGTCAGGGTACAGATTGCCTCATTGTTGTCAGAGTACAGATTGCCTCATTGTTGTCAGAGTTCAGATTGCCTGGTGGTTGTCAGAGTACAGAATGCCTAATTGTTGTCAGAGTACAGATTGCCTGGTGGTTGTCAGAGTTCAGATTGCCTCATTGTTGTCAGAGTACAGATTGCCTGGTGGTTGTCAGAGTACAGATTGTCTCATTGTTGTCAGAGTACAGATTGCCTCATTGTTGTCAGATTACAGATTGTCTCATTGTTGTCAGAGTACAGATTGTCTCATTGTTGTCAGAGTACAGATTGCCTCATTGTTGTCAGGGTACAGATTGCCTTATTGTTGTCAGAGTACAGATTGCCTCATTGTTGTCAGAGCTTACATTGCCTCATTGTTGTCAGAGTTCAGATTGCCTGGTGGTTGTCAGAGTACAGATTGCCTCATTGTTGTCAGAGCTTAGATTGCCTCATTGTTGTCAGAGTACAGAATGCCTAATTGTTGTCAGAGTACAGATTGCCTCATTGTTGTCAGAGTACAGATTGCCTCATTGTTGTCAGAGTTCAGATTGCCTGGTGGTTGTCAGAGTACAGATTGCCTCATTGTTGTCAGAGTTCAGATTGCCTGGTGGTTGTCAGAGTTCAGATTGCCTCATTGTTGTCAGAGTACAGATTGCCTCATTCTTGTCAGTTCAGAATCAGATATATTTATTTACAGGGTGACCTGTGATATAGCTCGAATATTGCTGAGTGCGATAATCATCCTTTGTAATTATGTAATCACGAAATGTATTTTCCTGAAATATGAAGGAAATATAATAATGATTAATGTGAATAATTAAATGTTCCATAATGTTGATGGTATCTATAAAAGAGAGTACCGTATTCCCCGTATTTAACCCCCTGTTCCAAAAAAATATGCACACCATGACCGACTACTCAACCAATCAGTAAGTAATCTTTATAAGTGCCCCGAACTACCAGACAGTTACAAGCTTGTTTACAGAAAACAGCAGCCTAGTAATTGCCTCGTAACTATCATCGAAAATGTTTTAGTTTTAATGATATTTGAACTAAGTTGGTAGATGATCTCCGAGAAGAAGTTAACTTGCCTGCGTAGTTTTTATAGGAGATCCTTTCTTTCAACGACCACCTCCGTGGTCTAGTGGTGAGAGCATCTGCCCGGAGAGCGGAAGGTCTGGGGTTCGATCCCTGGCCGTGTCATACAAAAAAACGTTAAAAGATCGATATTTTGGTGCCAATACTAATTTTTGCACTAAGATTGGTCACTTGTGGGTATCTGACAGCCTGCATCAAAACTGTTGCCAACTTCATCATTTAGACCCGATGAGTTAATGGTGATCAACAAGCTAGTTACTCTTTTCAGGGGGGGGCCGCCACTGTGATCTAGTGTTGGAGCATTCGCCCAGAGAGCGGAAGGTCCGGGGTTTGACCCCCTAGCCCCGTCAACCTAAAGACTTTAAAAGATGGTACTTGTTCGGCATTAAGGGGCTAAAACAAGGACTGGTTGGCTCAGTCAGTATACTGTGTCTGAGTGGGTATTAATGTTAAACTGCGGCATGGTATCTCAGTGGGCTAGCACTAAAATCGGCATTAGTCCAGACAAGTACAAGCAGCCACACACACACACATGCATTCACTTCGGTATATAAGTGTCATAATCTTGGACGAGACGTTAAACTTCACTTCACCTCACCTGTTTCAGGGCTATGACAATGCGGTAGGAATCTTTGAATACTTAAAGAAAGAAGAGCAAGAGGATGCAAGTTCTAAGGCTGCAGCGAGCGGAGGTAAGCCAGGAAGGATCATAATCAGAGCCTGCCATGATTATGTGGGAATCTCATCGTAGTGTCTCTCCTAGTAGTGTCTCTCCTAATTGTCTCTCCTCCTTATGTCAGTCTCCCCTGTCTGCATCTCTTCCTTGTCTCTCTTTCAAGGATTACCGTATTCGACGTAATAAGCGCCCATGGCGTTCTCAAAATTAGAAATAGGGGGCTCTTAATAGTGTATAAGTTTGGTGAAAAAAAAGAGAGAGTTGAAAGATCGTAAATTTCGTGGTTTATGCTGACAGCCTGAAATGATACAGAAGAAGGGTCTGTGCGTATTATACACGACAGATTATATTTTCCAGAATTTAATTGCCCATAATTAAGGGGGCATATAACACGCGAGTGTGTATTATACACGAATAAATAAGTCTTGTGTACAATGATCAATTTGAAGGGATGTTAATTGGGATTGTTCACTAGCCAATATATTAGCAAATATCAACCGTGGGCGCTTATTACATGGAAAACGGTATACAAATGTTAACAGGTTAAGGATTATACAAATATTTGAAGATATTTCATAATTAATTTCACAACGCGCTGTCATAGTACTGTCCCCGAAGCTGAGATCGTCGGTGTAAACAATGAATTATTCTTTACAAGTTCTCAGTAGCATTTGTATTAAGTCTGTTCAGCTACCATAAACTACACTGGGAGTTACCAGGTGGTCATGGATATTTTAAATTGAAATCACAACAGAACGTCCAGACTCAAATTTATATCGGTAAGGAGACCAGATAACAGTAAAATAGTTTGTCAATAAAAATAAGAATAATGTTCAATACTTACGATAAATGTACCGGGATGGTTAAATTGTTACAGTTTGTCCCGATTGCGTGCCTTGTTGACATCTCCATGTGTTTCATGTGCTATCCAGCCATCACCTTCTGCTCTCCAAGCGTCGCTTTCAAACCGGAAGTAGCGAAGTGTGAAAAAGGTCAATATGCTGAAGTTGACTGATGTTTATCATAATCCAAACATATAAAGTCAGAAGGAATATGTGCATAGTCAGAAAGAAATGCAAACATTTGTCACTTATCGTGTAACCATAGATTTCTAGGTAATTTTTGCCATTTAACAAAAATGTATCACATGACTTAACCTTTGGTCCAGGTAGTCATTAGGGCTTCCACGAGTCCTAATTTTTGGACTCGAGTACCCGAGGGGTGGAACTCGACTCATACTTGATTACCCGAAAATAGGACGTCCTTTAAGAATATTGGTTCATTAGATCAAAATTGCCATCTAAAAGTATTAAAACATGTTATAAGTATAATTGAACTGCACTGAAATGTAAATAGAAAGCGTCCACGGAACTTGTTTATCTGTCAAAGTGTATGGAAGTGTTCAGTGTTAATGTTTGCTTGTAACTACACTAATCTTAATCACGACCTTCAAAAACATTACGCCACGTCTACAAATACTACAATACATATTGAACACAAACCAAATTTTTCTGACGATCAGCGTTTCATTCGACACGTGCGAACAAGCACGAACTATAATTCGCAAGAAGAAAATCGATAATGTGCATCACGTGACATACACGTATACACAGCTGCTGGGCTGCAAGACTAAGGCCGCTAAATATGGAAATGTAGTACTATAAGTTCATTCATTCATGAGTTGGTCACGTTTTCAAACTGTACCAAACTGTCGACCTGTCACTTGATTTGTAAGCACTGAAATAGCACATATATACCAGCTAATCAGTTGTTAATCTGTGTAAGGGAATACACTTGGCATTTGAATTGGAGCAAAGAAGGAATAATCGCCTTGATACATTCAATTTCTTAAAGTCAGGAAGGAAAAACAATAATTACGTCTATTTTATGTGACATTCTCAATTGTTCTAATGTACATCTACTTTCTACAAAGAATACATTATTCAAACAATATTAAAACAGAGTGATCTCCCCTTATCGAGTACTCCAGTCCTTGATAACGGACTCGAGTCCCACTAAAACCGACCCATACCCGAGTACTCGTTGAAGCCCTAGTAGTCATGTGGGTACCCAGGTCCTACTCAGGACCCACCCGAGTACCCGAGTTACCCATCCCAGCCCTAGTCTTGGTGAATACCATGTGCAATGCAAAACAAGCCTCTCATTCATATTAGAGCATTGCAGTCATCATTTGGGTCACGTGTCGTACAATTATTTCCTGATAGGTACTCCGACTGATACATGGTCTGCAGCAATGCGAGTCTAAATGCTTGTTCCACAAAATTTACAAAGATGCCTGGGTTGTAGGGTCCTCGACCTTGAGTGGAAATGTGAAAAGTCCTGTCTGCCAAACTGTCCACTCTTTACGTGTAGATGTATTTGTAGAACTTGAGTATTTGGCTGTGCCCTAAGACAGATAAGGCTAAAAAAAATAAAAGAATTGGTTCTCAGGCAATGGTTTTTGAAAATATAGTGCGGGCGGGCGGTGTCTTTTTTTTTTTTTTTTGATTGTTCAAACTAGTATGTAACCAATAAACAGTTGTGTAATCAATAAACAATTGTGTACAATCAACCTGGGAAAGGGCCTCCCTACATAAATGTATTCCTTAATGAGTAAAATACAGGAATACACTATTTGACTACCGTTGGACTTTGAATATTTAAGGATTTTTAAAAAATTTATTTAAAAATGGAAATAAAAACGAAACATGCAGCAAACTTATGATGATGCGGGCGGTGCCTGAGAACCAAGAATATTAATTTTTTTTAGCCTAAAGGACTTGTGACAGCTTCGCCTCGCCCATTGTTCTTGCAACTGGTCGTTTATGTCCTGATAACATCCTGACACTCACCCTCTACAGTGATCGCTCGCTATTGCGCTACCAATGGGGTCCAAATAATTGGTGGGCGTTATAGACGATGAGCCGTTTAACCGAGGCCGAGGCGGGGGAGCGCGCTCGGGAAATCTCAAATCATCAATAGGCCTATGTGTTTATCTCACGTCACGTCAAAATAGTATATATTTTTATGGACCTAGATCTACCTGTAATATCATTCATTTATTAAATCTGTCATATTTCACAATGTCTGAAATACGTATTCCATCCTAATTTATCATTTTTTATCAATAAATTAAAAATTATTCACTATTTCCCGCGATGTTATTGAAAATAAAATTCTCGGACACACATTTCGACAACGGGTCCGCATCGAACATGTCAAAGAGCAAAATAAAGACTATTTTAAGCAAATCTTTAAATATATTATACAAAGTGATAAATAAAATCAACTAAAAGTAATCAAACTTACATCTAAGTTATTATTTCCATCGTTTCGTGCGATCGCGTGTAATGTAAGTCAAATGATATCTCGGCTTTCGTCGCCTTGAATTCTCGGCTCGGACCAGAGACCATATAATAGAGGGACGGCCCTCACCAACAGTTTATCATGAACCATCAGCGCTACGGTCTGGCATGTAACTGATACACCCCGACACCCTGCTGTTAACCTCTCTGTACCGCTGCAGATGCGCAATAGATGCGCAGACATTCACGACTGACCATTCTGGTAACCACGTAAACAATATTACATAATATCCGGGGTAAGAGTTAATTCCCTTAGCCGAGATTTCTCCGACTACGACCAGCGACAATCCAATAAAAGGACGTCCCTTAGCGGATTACCAAGATTTTTGTATGATATCTCTCATTAGCACATGTCAGTTGGCTGCAAACTATTTGCTGAACATGTGTGTCTTCCGGGACATTTATTTCAATTTACATATCTCATTTTATGCTGCAATTGTTAACTATTATAAATAAACAAATATACCAAATCTACTACGAACGCCACAGAAAACTACGATCCGGTAAATTGCACAGGAACTCAGGAAGTGTAAATAAAACTCATTCAGAAGCAGGGAAGACACTTGTAACATATCACCCTATTCCCGATGTTCACAAAATATATCTCCAGATTAACTTCATATCTTATATTAAGTCCAGACTAGATTTACTTGCAAAAATGCATGATCACCGACTGGTGTAAATGCTTTACTATTAGCCAGAAAAAAAATGACGCCATATTAATGTTTTTATTTCATGTAAATTCGCTACTATTTTATAATGCTAATAGTTCCAATGAATTAAAAATACACATTAAACTACGAGCGTTGTTAAATGAATTTTCGATGTGTTTGACAATGGGCTTCGAAAGAATCAAATGTTATTGGTTAATGCCAGTTTGGGGCTAGCAGTGATAATAGGGTTTGCCGGAGCGAGATAAGTTTGACACCTTCGACCTTGTTGTCTGGAACTTCTCTCCCGACGACTGCCGATATAATCCTTCTTTTTTCTTGGCATTTACAAAGCAAATGATAATTTTATAATACAAATATTTCATGTAACGGATTTTTATTTTTGTATGATGTTTTCATTGTTGTGTAAATACACAAAGTAAGTAGTACCTTCATCATATTTACATTATTATGATTGGGTTTAGGCCAAGATCATTTTGCTCATAATCAATATTTACACGGCATAAAATAAATAATTGATTAAATGTAGTCATGATTAATACAGACAAAATCTTCAGAAGATAACAAATATGTAGTATTGTAGTATGTAGTATATGCGCGATATGTGATAGAAGCCTAACTGAAACAAAGTTAAACTTACGAAAAAATGGCGAAAGCAAAGGTAAAAAAAATACGCGTCTTACAAAAACAATTCTAATATCATACAATATAAGTCACTTTGTATAATGTTTCAAAAGATATATGCGGATGATAATCACAGACAAAATGCATGTTATTTCGTCTGCTATATGGTAATTTAATTTAAAATATGTGACGTAAAATATGGCCTTGCGCCAAAAATCATACCAAAAAAACTACCGATCGTACCTAAATAACTTTGGTACCAAGCCAAAGGGGAAATCGTGATGAATGTAAAACTATTTAATTCAGGACCGATGATAGGAACACATTCGTCTGAAAGCATGCGGAAATTAAGAGTTGTGGTGTAATTATTTCGGGAAAAGTCAGATTTAGTCCCATTTCTGGAGTCAAAATCTGAAATATCGCATCCGCCCTAAATTTGTAAATGGCACTAAGCCAGTTTTTAACATATATCCTTTTTATACACCTTGGTAACCAAGGACTTTCATTGCGAATTAGAGGCCGTTATTGAAAATCAAAATCTGCACTTTTGCCGATTTTACATGTGCGCCATTTTGTTCTCTCGGACAAAGACAAAGCGTGATCACAGTCATCAAATACAGTGACAACGACATGCTTTAGGGCACCAACAAATCTCAGTTGTAATGTTAACAATGTTAAGAAATACATGAGTGTAATTTTGTTTAGTAAAATATATCTTTTGCATGGGAAAAAAAGGCGACAGCGATGACTGCAGTTAACGCGTTTCTGCTCGCTTCCGGACAGGCTGCGCAGTACAAGCCGTAGCACTGATGGTTTCGCGCATAGGCTAGAGGGCCGTCCCTCTATTATATGGTCTCTGGCTCGGACACAACGATTAATGCAAAAATATATGCATGAAAAATCTTTGTCACAGCTCGTAACCTAGCACGATACATTCGCGAAGTTCCATATTTTTAATATATATCGTGATTTCCTGCTTAAAACGTTCAGAATAACACGATTTAACAAAAAATCTTTCGCTAACTTCTGAAATTTATCAAACACGAGCTTGGTATCACAGCTTGATTGGCTGCCTGAGGTCACGTGCTCAAAATTGACCAATCACGAAACTTGTAGCAGATTTCGGCAAGAAAGCGTCATTAGAAACAAATTTTAATCCAATGAAATCGCTTGTTATAACTACGGGGAAAAACAGGCGATGTTACGAAAGCGCGATTACGAAATGAATGACCGCCGTGTTGTGACAGCAACTACATGTGTGTGACAGTTTAGCCTTAAATTGGATTGCCCACTAATTAAGAATATAAACTTCGCTTGTGGTTCTCTTTTATTGCATGCATGCGCTTCTAAGATCAAAGGATGTATAGTGTGAAAAGTTAACTAGTTGAACAATCGTATTTCCGGGACTTGCCGCGGATGTTTTCAAACAGATTATTAGAACTCCATTCAGCGATAAACGGTTGATTATGCAATGAGAAGCGTTATGTGCAAATGAACAACGAACAACAATACAATTATGTCTGTGTAAAACTCTCAGTAATAAAAGTGTACATAAATTTTGGGAGCCATGCGTTACCGCGCGTAATAACCGAAGTAGCGCTTTATCGAAGAGCGCAATAGCGAGCGATCACTGTATTACCAGCAGACACTGGCCATTACTTGTAAAATAATACAGACATGTATCTTCTTTGAACATCTCAACTATGAGGAAAGGTTGAATGAATGCTTTTTTTCCTTCTAAACTGGAATTATGCATTGAAACTGAAGCTGTTATTCACTAATTCTTTTCATTTTTTTACGCAGCTGGGAGCCTCACAACAAATAACACTAACAACAATAATGATAGTGACCTTGAACTTGCAACTGCAAGGTCACTAGCTGCAGAACCGGAAGACGACACTGTAGAGATGGTGATGGGCAGTCTCATTTCAGACTTCCTCGATGTCACGAAGATTGACAATGTTCAGAAGGCCAGGGACTACTTGCAAAAGTCGGGGATGAACTTAGACCAAGCTTTGCTGTTGTATTATGAGGAGGAATTGTGAGAGAAATTGTGCATGTAATCATTAAATTCCCATCTCTAAGTCTTATGCTGAACTGTTTTGAGACTAATAACTGTGACTACATTTGTCAAGTTAATGTTGCCCTCCGTCATAATGGGGAGAGTGCAGGACAGACTGGGAGCAGTTTCTGACTCAATTAAGTCATTATGACTTCAGTTAAACTTGTTTCAGTGTATGTTTTTGTTCTTGTAAAGTTTGTTTGTTTCCTTGTTTATATTAATTATTGCCATTTTGTTTTAAAAAGATGGAGACTGCTTCGGCATTCTATCAGTTTAGTTTTGTCAAAGGACAAGGTGTGATATGGGGCCTTTTTGGCCCAGGGGATACTATGGTTCTTTCTTAGGGTGGGGCCGAGATTGGAAGTTGTTGCGAGTGACCTACATATGACGTCAAGATCACAGTGAAGGTTATTCGTAAAGTATGTCTGCCATTATCACTAAAATGCTTTTTCTGCAAATAGTTTTATAAAGTCTTAAGGGTGTAGTTGTTATGTTATTTGTGGGTTGTATTTGATACATGTCTTATCAAGGGTCAAGGTCATCCTCAAGGCCATAGCCAGGGTATGAAACTCCCCAAAATTTCAGCCAGACCACAGGACTGGCTAGCTGAAATACTTGCCAGCCCTGACCAAAACCTGCCTGCCCACTATAACCATATGTTTCTCAGGATAAGCTAACGGGGTTTCTTTTTGGTTACATTTTATCATTCATCTTTACATGTGAATTAATGATTATCATCGGGAAATATTTAGAATATTTTCACATATGAAATATAACCTGACCGTCGGGCCGGGGGATTTGAAAATCTGGCAGCCCGAGTTGAAATCAACCAGTCTCGGACGGTCGGGCAGGCAGGTATTTCGAACACTGCCATAGCCTGAAATACAGTTTGTTTACCACCTAACATCGAGAAGGATATGTTGAATTCCACTGAGGATCATCATATTGGGTTACAGGCAAGATAGCCCTGGGAATCTCCTTGAAATTGATATTAAAGGTCAAATTCACTCTCAAGGTCATATGCTAAAGAATGTATTAAGTTCACTATAACCCAAGAAGTGTTCATTGTAGTAGGATGAAATTTGGCACATATCATCCTCAGAGTGGGTCATTGAAGTGGTAAGGTTTTTACGTGACCTTCATTGAAGGTCAGGTCACTGGAATAGTCATTCTGAAGGTAGTCTTGCTTCTTTGCATTCTGAATCAACCCCAGCGTTTGTATGACATGTTTGCCAGAGCTTTTACCCATGTTTTCAGCTGGAGATAATCGCAGCTAGAAATAATATAGCGTGTGATTGGCTGAAATTGATCGTCAAGTATGTATGACTTTCTTATTATGGTAGCTAGAGGGATAATCCGTTTTAAAGGTGTCTTGCATTTGATGTATGTTTTCCCAAGGCAGAAGTAAAAAGTTGTACTGCAATTGACATAGATAGACCAATGGCGAAGTCTGCTGTCTCCTAATTTTGTGATGTTAAGATGGTTCTTGATACATGTCTTGTGGGAATGTTTGGGGGCATTCAGGAAAAGATGGGGATGGCACCGTTTCTGTGTTTGCATGCAATGCAAACACCTTTCTTGTTTTCATACAAAAAAATACCCGTGAAGATCCGGGGTAGAATAGGTCTTCAGCAACCCATGCTTGCCGTAAAAGGTGACTATGCTTGTCGTAAGATGCGACTAAATGGGATCGGGTGGTCAGGATCGCTGACTTGGTTGATGCATGTCATCGATCCCATTTGCGTGGATTGATGCTCATGATATTAATCACTGGATTGTCTGGTCCAGACTCGATTATTTACAGACCGCCATAGCAAATCGCGGTGCCTTAGACAACTGGGCCACCCATGCCCCCACACTATATTCTGAACGAATATGTGCTTGCATTCACTGAACCTACGTGATATGACTGAGACATGATCCTGGCGATTGCTTTCCTCCATGGTAAGGCCAAATAAATTAAACATTCATTTAATATATGAAGACTTACTCTCCTGTGCATGGAGAAACCTGTTGATCCAGACGGTTCTTTTGTCATTATATATCCGTGCCGCTATGGGTGATGTTCCATTGCCCCTTTGTTGATAGTCAATGATAGTGGTTGATTTTCTGGTGATATGTTTAGGGCAGAGATGAATTTGCCATTTTGATGTGAGTGTGAAACGTGAAAGTTATCAGCCATATTTTTGTACTAACCATTCTATGTCATTACGGCTTATGGTGTCCTTTGGCAAGGGTGGAAACTGGGCTTTTGTAGACATTTAACTCCCTTGCCTCAGGAAGATAGTTGATTATTGAGAAGACATTGCGTTTGGCACGATTGAGTATCATATTATGTATATTCATTTATTTTGATTATAACCCATATTGTTAAACTTTGCTTTATTTGTTTTCTGCATTCTGATAACGAAGAGGTCATTTGTCATGGAAACATATGATGACATTATGATTGTTTCACATTGGTTGGAATACTGTATTCGACGTAATAAGCGCCAACAGCGATATTTGCTAATATATTGGCTAGTGAACAATCCTAATTAGCACCCTTCCGATTGATCAATGTACACAAGACTTATTTATTCGTGTATAAAACGCACTCGTGTGTTATACGCACCCTTAATTACAGGCAATTAAATTCTGGAAATACATATCTGTCGTGTATAATATGCACAGACTTTTCTTTTGTATCATTTCAGGCTGTCAGCATAAACCACAAAATTTATGATTTACGATCTTACAACTCTTTCGCCAAAATTATATTCTAATCAGAGCCCCCTATTTCTAATTTTGAGAGCGTCCTGGGTGCTTATTACGTCGAATATGGTAGGTCTAGATACGAAGCAAGTGCTATTAAAACATTCAATCATTTGTATATATTAGTTCAATAATATTTATATGTTGCCAGAGATGCAGATGTTATTGGGTGTTTGCTGCAAATCATTTAAAATCTTTTGCTAACTGTCAGCAAAAATGGAATTCCTGGACATCGAATACAGAATAACACTCTCAAATCACGTTTATCCCATATCATGTTCATATACTGAACCCCAAAAGTTAAGGATCATGAATAGTTTTGTGAATGTTGTTTCGTAGTGGACAATGAGCAGGCGATTTCATGATAATAACCCAAAAATGTTCATGATCCCTTACATTTTTGGTTCAGTAAAGTATGGTCAATCATGGTCTGATGAAGCACCATTCGTCACCACTCGCCCCATTCCGCAACCTCGTTAAGACTCGTCCCCCTATTGATGAATGTTATGTGCAAAAATACGACAAACCAAACAAACTGCGAGTATGACTTCTAGTACCTCGGTCAAAGAATCACTCAGGAACATTTTTTACTTTACATATGTCTTGCATCTAAACAAATACCCAACGTACAGTTAAATGTGTTCTAACATGCTATATAATACCGTAAGTTCCAATATGTTTTAAATAGCATCTGGATCTATGACATTGGGGAAAATATACGTGAATCATTACGCAACGAGTTGACAATTCTTTTAGCTATGCCCTTTTGAGCTTAGACGGAACCCAGTCAGAAAAAATGGCCACAAGAGGGGCATGAGTCTCTCTTTGGCTTGTCCCGGAATAGCACGAGTTGGTCACAATGATGAAGCACAACCAGGAAGGTGTCTGCTGGTAGGACTTTTTAATCACGGCGTATGTGGCGGTGTTCGACATGTTTTAGTCAACCAATGGCTAGAATGAAGCAGTCTGGCCTAGCATCATTGACTCAGACGAGTTGCCACAGATACAGGGTAATAGAAACAAAAAGGAATTAATTCCCATTTTACGACAAGAGGCCACTTCAATCTTTTTTATTTGATTTGAAAAATTACTACATTGGCAAAAGTCAAATAGTTCTTGTGAATGCTGAGTGAGTATGGTTTTATGCTGCTTTTAGCAATATTCCAGCAATATCACGGCGGGGGACACCAGAAGTGGGCTTCACACATTGTACCTATGGGGGAATCAAACCCGGGTTTTGATCGTGACGCGCAAACGCTTTAACCACTAGGCTACCCCAACGCCCTCTGAATGCAGAAAGTGGACATGTTACATATTGTATTCAAATAGTCAATAGGATTGATTCTTACAAGTGGGCCCAGTTATCACAAGGAGATAAGACTTACGACTTTGGTAAGTTGCGGGGTGTGTTGTATGACAAAACCTGCGAAGATCTGGGTTGGAATAGGTTTCAGCAACCCATACTTGCAGTAAGAGGCTACTATGCCTGTGTCGAAAGAGACATGGTCAGACTCGCTCACTTGGTTAATGCATATAATCGTATCCCAATTGTGTAGATTGATGCAATCCCTGGATTTTCTAGTCCAAACTTGATCATTTACAGACCGCCGTCTTATAGCGGGCAAGAACTCCTTCAAGTCCCTCTTCTTGAATCGAACATCAGACAAAAGATGTATGCATTCAGCTTGATAGAAAATATTGTGTGAAATAAATGTATATTTATTGCATGCTGTATCTGTTGGTTATTTCATTTGAGTGACATCTTCCTGAGGCAAGTGAGTTAACTGACTATAAAAGTCCAGTTTCCACCCTTGCTAAACTAGGCTGGTATTATGGAGTTACATTTTGGCTGGACTAACAAGTCTATGCATAGTCCAACAAAATCGCTTATCGATGGGGGGGGGGGGGGGAGTTGGATGTTTCTGGGCAGTAAAATTGACTGAGAGAATCTTGATATTTTGGACCCCTACATTTTACAAATGCTGGATCCGCCCAGCCAGTGACCACCAAATCCATTCTTGTTGCCCTTCAAGAGCCGGATAAGAATTGGTCTTGTAAGAAGCAAACATGCTTGTCATATGAGATGAATAACGGGATCAGGTGGTCAGTCAGTGAGTGAGCGAGTAAATATGGTTTTACGCCGCTTTTAGCAATATTCCAGCAATATCATGATGGGGGACAGACACTAGAAATGGGCTTCAGACATTGTACCCATCCCATGTCAGGAATTGAACCTGGGTCTTCGGCGTGACGAGCAAACACTTTAACCACTAGGCTACCAGACGGCCCCTCGGGTGGTCAGGCTTGTTGACTTAGTTGATTCATTTCATCTTATACCAATTACACAAATGCTCATGATGTCAATCACTGGATTGTCTGGTCCAGACCCGATTATTTACAGACCGCCGTCATATAGGTGGAATATTGCAGAGTGCAGCGTTAAGCAACAAACAAACAAATAACAAACAAACATACATTTGGTTTACAAAAATGCTTGACTCCTTCAAAATGAAAACCCAAACGCACAAACCATTAAAATGTTTTATTTAGTGTGTCGCAGGACATACAGGAAATATCAACAAGTTTGGGAAATATATTAATATTTATTTCATTAAACTTGAACAATTATGATCAACATCATAACACATCAATATTTTGAATTCTGATAAAAAACAATCTACAGCAGTGCCCAAGACAACCACAAACATGATTTAATAGT